TGAACTTTTATACCGATATACGGTTACTTTAATAACATTGTCGTGTATATAGAAATCTTGATACGCGTAATGTTAAACTTGTCTTAACGTTTAACTCTTGTTGTTTGACCTGTCAGCTCCGTCCCTACTGCTAACTTCAAGCTAGTTCGCTAGCATTTCGTAAACGTGCTAGCAGCGCGTGGAGGCCACGAGCGCTAACAGTAGGCCATAAAATGTCTCCAAGAAAACAATAACAGAACCCGGGAAACGGTGGCAACGCGATCCCTGCGCTGCGCTCCATGTGTACTATTCATTTGAGAACTTTTATTAGTTTTACCTGCTTGCTCTTGGCGTAAGGTTTAGAAGCGATGTGATATCTCCTGCTTCTAATTTTCCCTCCACCCGTGGCCGCCATGGCTCTTTCGTCTGAGTGTCTATCGATATTTCGGCGCCGGATAGCTGTCATCCAGGACAGCGGCCACCTGCAAAGGAATTGTGGGAAATGTAGTACCTGAACCAAACAAAGGATACCCACATTCTCGACTACAGAACTGGGTTTATGTGTTAAAATACCCAAAATACGCTATGGTAGTTTTGTATATGTCAACAGCACACACATAAAGCATTGAGTAAAGGTATGGGATTTTACCCCATTGGCCTAATAGAGAAACAAAGCGATTAATTAAGTGCAAATCTATATAGTTTGGAATTACAGCTTCAGCACATTACTAAAATGAAATTTTATTAAAAATAATCTAAGTGGTTTGGTATGTTTTGTATTCAAGCATATGAAGATGAAACTGTATAAACTAAATAAATATCATCACAATTTATAGATCACAAGTGTTTCCCCTTTCCAATTTCTATTTGTTTTACTAAAATGTCCCAGATCATCCAGCAAAATGTAATGGAAGACACTGAGAACCTGAGGAAGTACAAACATTTTTTTTTTTTAAAGACTATATTATTTATTTTTTTTAACCAAACCAAACACCGGTTTCCAAATTAACTAAATTTAATTGAACAAAAATGGAAACGAAACACTCTGCCAAATAAACAGGTTGGTATATAAAACCAGAGAACCATCATCGATTAAAGAAAAAAAAAAAAAAAAAAAAAAAAAATATATATATATATATATATATATATATATATATATATATATATACACATACATACACAATTATATGCATGTGTACACGATTATATAGAAAACACACACACACATATACACTGCTCAAAAAAAATTAAACACTTTGAAAACACATCAGATCTCAATATGGAAAACAATCATGCTGTTTATTCATACTGATATGGACTGGGTGATGTGTTAGGAACAAAAGGAGGCCACATCATTTGATGGAAATGACACCATTAACCTGAAAAAAATGATGCGGCAGGCTAGTCCACTTTGCTGAAATTTCATTGCAGCAACTCAGAATGGTATTCAATAATTTGTATGCCCCCCCCGTGCGTGTATGCATGCCTGACAACGTCGGGGCATGCTCCTAATGAGACGACGGATGGCGTATTGGGGTATCTCCTCCCAGATCTGGACCAGGGTATCACTGAGCTCCTGGACAGTCTGTGGTGCAACCTGGCGGTGTCGGATGGATCGAAACATAATGTCTCAGATGTGTTCTGTTGGATTTAGGTTAGGTGAGCATGGGGACCAATCAATGGTATCAATTCCATCATCCTCCAGGAACTGCCTGCATACTCTCACCACATGAGGCCGGGCATTGTCGTGCATTAGGAGGAACCCAGGACCCACTGCATCAGCATAGGGTCTGACAATGGGTGCAAGGATTTCATCCCGATAACTAATGGCAGGCAGGGTGCCGTTGTCTAGCCTGTATAGGTCTGTGCGTCCCTCCGGGGATATGCCCTTTACTTAGGTAGTCCATTTTCAAGTCAAAGGAATCCAAAGGTCTTTAAACTATGTTTAACCACTGATGGAGAGAAGCTACACTGTAGCCACAGCTAACATGGGGCACACTAACAATATCTTACACACTAACATTATCTTGCAAAAACACACAAAAACTGAGTTGCATGAGATTAAACTAGCAACCCTGCGGTTGTGGGATGAATGTTTGCATCCTATAGCATTGTCATCACTCACAAGACTGTTGGAAAATAATAAGGGGACCAATGAGATACACAGTTTAACTTTTTGGATGGTGTGAGAACCAACTGGGTTAAAATCAACACTGTTTGCTCCATCGCAGCAATCTCAGACAAAACATTTCAAAGCAATTTTCAATTAAAATCGGTTTAGGACTCTGTTATATGACCTTAAAGATGCTTCTTATGCTTGAAAATTGTTGCTGAACTGAAACAATTCTGTGGTACCTAGAGGAAAATGACTCCTCCGCAGTGAGGAAAAACATGACCTCACCGTCCAATTTGAGCTCTTTTGTTGTTTTTTATAAGAATGGTCAAAAATAAAATACAAGCCACCAGATGTGTAAAAACACATTTAAAAAAAATCTTAAGTTATTATAAATAGAGTAATATACATAATTTATGATTTTCCTTCTAGTTCACAAAATTTAAGTTTTCAGCCTTTGAACTATTTGTGGTGGAAAAATACACTGTACAGCATGTTACCCCAAACACACCATATTCATGCTAAAGAATGGCAGTGGCAGCATCATCTTGTATGTCTTTTTTTAATGCTAGAAATAGCATTCAAAAATCCTCATAAAACCTATAGAAGACGTGAGACTGGAAAAATGGTTCACCCTTGAAAAGACTAATGAACTTGAGGATGCAGTGAAACCTACAATCCCTAATATGTAAACCAAAAGCTCAGTTAAAGTCCAGGCCTAAATCTAATTGATAATTTCTATGAAGGATACTGACTAGATTAACAGAAAAGTTAAAGCAACCAAATCAGAGCTTGTGCCAATCTTGAGCCAAGACAGTAAAATGGAAACACCAACACTGCTGTGAAGAACTTTACCAGTCTCGTCTTTAATTATAATCCTTTAAAATTTATTAATTCATCACTTACAACTCTGTGAAAATTAGTTGACGACAGTTTGCATCATAAAAGTAGGGTTTGAAAGATGGACTTCTTGTTGAAAAGTCAAATTCTCTGTTCATTTAATTCTACTGTACCTTAAGGATATTTTGCAATTTCTTAATGGAACATAACTACAGGTAGTTTAACAACAAAACAAGGAAAAATGTAGTCTGACTTAACATCAGGGATGGTTTTCCTCATATTGTGTAGGTCACTGTTTCCCAACCTTTTTTTTACTTTTGTACCTATTTGGGCATTTGGTCTTACCATGAGTATCCCTCTCAGTCAAAGGTAGATGATTGTCCAAAAGTGGAACGCGCAATAACTGAAATAAAGACTATGTCGAGACTGATCTCTGTGAGAAGCAGAACAGAGATATACAAAAGATCTTTTGTCCCAGCTTCCATTAGACGGACTTGAAGGACTGAGTTTTATTTAATGTTTTTAAATCTAATTATGTTTTTTTTAAATCTAATTATGTTTTTTTTTTTTTTGTTTTTTTATCTTTGCTATCGAGCAGGGGAATTTCCAATTTATTCATTCCTTTTAATTTGAGCATTTAATTTTATAAATATATGCTTTCTATCACAAATAAAAAAAAAACAAACAAAGCGAATATGTTGCCTGGAAGTTATTAAGGAATCAAAATAAATACAAGATAAAATCATATTATGTGCCTGTATTTAATAAAATGGAGCTCCTCTGAGTAACTCCCTTATAATCACATTTAAAATTGATGAATGGGGAACAAATACAGAGCAAAAATTATAGTCAGAATGACTTAGTTCTAAACTTACTTTTTGGTGGAAAAAAAAAGCTTGTTTAACTTTTTCAATTGGGTCCTCACAAAACAAAACAGAGACCCAGCCCTAATTATTCTACTACCTAAGAAATAAAATATTTTCATGTACCACTAGCCATGCAAAGCAGACCAATAGGGGTACACGGACCACTAGTGGTACGAGTGATACATTACTGAACAACTGTTAATATCTCAGAGTCCAAGAGTGAAAAAAAAGAAAAAAAACCTTCTGGATGTTGACAGCAATTAAATTATTTCAAAGATTATTCTCAAAAACGGATATTTATTCAATGTGCCCATTACACTGTGTAGAAAAATCAAGTTAGAATCAAACATTGGCATAGGTAACCTTACCAAGTTTAAAGCAACACAACTATCATACATTTTTATTGTTAAGTAATAATTCACAGGAAGACTTCAGTGTTCAAGGCACAAACATTACTCAAGTTAGTGCTAATTACTTTGTCAAAATAAAAAAATTGCAAACTAGCAGTTTATAATGTGCAGAACTAACAATGTTACCAACTCAAGTTTTATCTTGAGTCCTAAACATAGTTTAATAACGCTAAAGGACAATCAAATACAAATAGCAGAAAATTAAACACACTTTTACAATTAAACATTTACAAAAGCATCATATTTTCAGAGGTTATTATTAGTAGTCAGAATAAAAAACACTAAGCTTAGATGCTTCAGTAACAGTAGTTTGGTCTCATCATCGGTTGGTACAAAACACTTAAGTGCAGCTTTCATCTAAGAAAAGCCCTTTAAACCTTTAACTGGATCAGATAAAAGTGCAAAATTCAAATATTTCAACTGAAATAATTAATTTGATTTAAATACGTATAAAGAGGTCAATTTATTTTTAGTGCATATTTAACATCATGCTGCAGTGAAGCAGCATCAAAACAGTGCTTACGGTAGATTTTAATACTCCACTTCAGCCTTTTTTGTTACTTTTAACATCAAGAACTATAATCAGGCAGTTTAAAAAAGCTTTAAACCTGCAGATACAGGTCATTTCTGACTCTCAAACATATTAGAACTTCAAGCTGAATCTTAAAAATGTCGCCTTTATCACAGTTTTTTTTGGTTTTCAGTGACTCAAAAAGAAACAAAACATTGTTACAGGTGTAAATATCAATTATATATTAAATCTACCATCTAACGGTCCCTTAAAAAAAAAAAAAAAAAAAAAAAAAAAAACCTGAATAATTTCTTGTTCATCGTTTCTTCCCCCCTTGGCTGCCAATAACCCTGTTCCTAGCAGGGCCCTTTCTCCGTTTTGTTGGCTGGAAATGTTCAGATGAATCGGTCTGATCTAAGAGGCAGAAAAACAATACGACACAGCTACGGTTAATATCTAGAGAAAATGCCATTGAATAAAACTTTATTGCTATGAGGCCTACCTATCTGATCATCAGGGCTGGAACTATACAAGTCAGACACACCTCTGTCATCTGGGTCGTCATTTTGTAAAGAAACGCTCTGTTGACAAAAAAAACAAAACGCCTTCTGTGACATGGTGGTTATTTGTTTTAAATAAACACTTCAACCTTTAACTTTACATTTTGAAATAGGAAACAATCTGTCATGATTTTTTAAAACTAATCATTAATGAGCTAAATTAAAGAAGGTATGTATTGATTTAGAGCAGTTAAAGAAAAAAACATACATTCTAAGCAAAAACCTTAACTGCAATATTTTGGGAAATTATTTTTTTGACTCCATGCTTACTTTAAATTTGAAAAGAAATCAACCCACAAATACTATATAGACTAGTTTGATTTGTTGATAGGTTTGTTTTACGAGTGAGAGACACCAAAACAAAACAAGAGATCCATTATAATCTGGAATTTTACAAACCTGTGGATTAGTGCTTCTATGCCAAAAAAAAATAAAATACTCAATAGATAACTCTGATCTCAACATCTGATGATTATTGTGCAATTAATGGCAACACTGACAAGAGCAAAGGAAGGTTCTCACCTTTAGCTTACTTATTTCATACCAAACCATGCCATATAGACACAGGAGGGTAATGAGCGCCTGAATGAAAAGAGAAGAAAAAGGTCAGTTGACATAAACATCTAAACTAATTTTTGTTTGCAGTGAAAATAAATAATACATTGTTTTGTGGTCTTTTCCCCCTAAAGAATCTGAAAACACATTTGGATAACATACAGGCAGTAAAAGACAAGAGCTGGAATATTTGGGGAAAATATCCACATCAGACATTAGTCAGTCTTTTTAGGATTTCATTTTCTAATCCATTTTACCTTCTCCCGTTTATGTACTACATTGTCCTGTTCTTTCACAGAAAAGCCTAATAGAATACATTAAACCTTTCAACAGTTACCTGAGAATTCCCCCCCCCCCAATTGTTTTAAATGTATTTCCCCCCATCACATATTTTTCTTTTCAAGTTTATACTGTATATTGTGAAATAACCAAGGAAAAGTTAAATATTTTTGAGATTTTTATCATGTGAAAGGTACCTATCCATACTCCCCAGCCCTCAGGAGAATGGTCCACATTCCGAGTGTTAAAATAAACTACAACTAAAAATCACAAACATGGATCAATATATTTTCTTACCAGGCAGAGCAACCAGAGGACCACATACCAAATTTGAGTCTTGGAAAATAAGTCAAGACCAAATTTTACACAAGCAAGAGCTTCCAGGAATGCAATGGCTCTAAAGGAAAGAAGACAGCAACAACAAAAAAAGCCAATGAGCTGTTGAATGCTCTCTTTCGACATTGAAACATAAAACAACTGCTCCCTCTTATGGCAAAACATTTAAATTGCATGATTTGCTGAAGTGTACCTGAAAATCTCACAATTAGGGATTTCCAATTGATGGTAAAGGCTCATGCTGCTCATGCATGCCCTAGCAACTGCTGCAGACTATGGAGCATTTATTAAAGGAGCAGATTTGTGGCTTGTCATGTTAAAAGCACAGGAACTAAAAGGAAAACAATACTTTCTCGGAGAAATCTTCTTTAATAAATTATTGTGCTTAAAGTAAACACTGCATTCTTACAGTGTATGATTATATAAAAAGTTTATTTCTATTATGTTTAAAATGGTGTAACAATAGGTGAGGAAGGGCCTTTAGTAGGATAATATTTGCAAATTTTATTGCAGCTACTTAAAAGTTATTCAGTATTATTGACAAACTAGAAAATGTTATTAAGAGAGAAATGATAAAATAAGAAAGAAAACTTACCCAAACACCCAACACTGCGTACCAACCCGTTTACACTGAGTGTCCGTCAGGTATGCATAATACTGTCTGTTAAAGCATAAGAACATCTGTCAACATAAATAGTCATACAAAAGGAAAGTAATCATGTGTAGAAAAAAATGTGGAAGACAGTAATCTACATCCATGAGCTATTTCTCTATAAGCAGTTTATTTTCCACGTTAGAGGAAACTTTTCTTGTTCTATTAACCTCCATTATTTTCTGCGAGAAAATTATGCTGTTAAAGAAGACATTTTCAAAGATTGAACACACCGCACTGTGGGTGCAGTGATCATTCCAATTAGCAGAATGCGACACCAGCTGAGAGGGTGGGAGGCCTGGAAGATGAAGATGTGCTTCAGGAAAAAGGTGTTCAGCTCCGTCAACTGCAAACAGAAATGAATGAAAGTTGTTAACAGCCGTCTAAGGGATGTGTTAAAGAGAAGATCTTTGTTTGAAATGCTTTATCAGCTCCAATAAACTATCAACACCCAATAGTATTTAAATATATACCAAAGACTTTAAGAGTATTAAAGGTTTAAGCAGAGAACAGAAGATGGACACAACCTGCCATAAGATCATAAAGAGGTAGATTCCTGCCAGCCTCTGGGACGAAGACTTTGGATCAAACCAGCGCACGTAGGTCCAACTGGCTGGAGTGAACTGAAGCACGGCTCGCTTTAATTTCCCCGTGGTTGAGTGGATTTCTCTGAGCACAAGCAGAACATTAGAAATAACTGACATTTGGCATTTTTTCACTAAATCGCTTTATTATTAATGTTTTTTTAACAAAACCAAAAGGTCTTCAAAAAACCTTCTGGATTATGATATTTTTGACAAATGTCCGTAGGGACTATTATTAACTGGGTCAAAGTCAGAAATTGGACCTTCTTTAATTACTATGCCAATATGTGACCAGTGAATTTCTCTGCTGTGAGATCAATAAAGCTCATCTAATCTAATCTAATGAAATTCAATTTCTTAGGGGACTTAAACCACCTTTGTAAGCAGCAATAATGAGGTTTCTTTAAGCTGGTGGTGTCCAAACATTTTGCGGAGATCATCAAAATAAAAGAAAAAATATATATATTCATTAAAATTGTAAAAGTAATTATATTGTGGTTTAGTAACTTAAAAATGTACCAAAAAGTAATAATCAAAAAATAACCAAATGGGTTGATTTTTGTAGAAATGGGAGTTTGTAAAAGAATTTAGATGTAAAAGATTTTAGATTTGAAGAGTCTTGTATCTTGTTAAAAGAAGAGTACACCATTTCCTTATTTCTTGGGTCTGTTTTGTTGATCTAGAATTATTATTATTTTTTTTCCTATGCTCTGCAGCAAGACGTGGAAATGAGTGCCTCTTTCTTTGAAAACAATGCTTTTAGCCAAGTTTACCGAATAACTTTAAGTAAGGGTGCCCAGGTTTTTTTGGTGTTTAATTTGTCAGAATTCCAACTATTAAGACCCAATTATTACCAGCATTGCTACTGGCCTCATGAAGACCAATATGTATGCTATGAGAACATAAGATGAGGCCAACACTGACTTGATGCTGGCCCAGCGATAGGTCCTCATCTCCAAGTAACGGCAGATTGTCATCCCCAGCCAGATTCCTCCTCCGTTACACAACAGAATGTCCAAGATGACCTGATCCCACCAGCACTCTGCAAAGTTTGGCAGAAGGTGCATGAAGAAGAGCTGGGAGAGAGGGTCAGAAGGGCAGAGAGCAGAGTGAATGTCAAAACAGCAAAAAGGTACAGTTTTTTTTATTGAACTTCATGAGACTGATATGGGTTTAGTGGAGAAGTATTATAGAAAGATGAACTTATTCTGATAGGGTCTGCAGGTTTTTTTTTAAATTAGTTATACTAAATGTGAGCATTTTATTTTTTTTTATTACAGTTAGAAATAAAGATAAACTAACTAACACTAGTGAGAGTACACAGCATACTCATGGGCAAATAACTAAGAATCACAACCAGCAAAGACTGCTGTGGTCTCGCCATGTTTTCTTTTTACCTCAGTGAGTTCCCAGGTGATGCTGATGGTCCAGCACAGGCCGTAGCTGCGGATCAGCAGAGCCTTCATGGCCCATCCTGCGAAGTGGCCGAAAGCAAAGATGTCGAAGTGGCTCAGCACACGCTCCCATGTTATCACAGTACAGTTTACAGCATATTCCTATAGAAGGACAAAGTAGCCAATAGATACAGACCAATTTTCTCTTACAGGCAGATATTCTATCTTATTGTCCTAAAGTTTCAATTGGATGTGAAATTTTAACTATTTTTAGCTAAAACAAATGTTTTAATGTGAATGAAAATAAATGATAGAATGCTTTGTAATCAAAAGGGATTAAATCACTGTTTTATATGGTAGATCTGATGCACTTTTTGTCCAGACAGACATCTTAAGCACATATAAGTGTTAAAAACCAAAGGGAATAAGTCTCTCTCTGCTCTGATTTCTCATAAATCAGTGGAAGTTGGGGAAGGGAATCATCCCTACCATGATGTCAGCTTCCCGTTTGGCAAAACGCAGATTGGGATCAAGCCAGTACATCAGAGTCTTTACTTGATCCCAATTGAGGAAGATGAGGAAGACAAGAAAAAGGAAGTAGAGCACGCTAAGACCTAGCAGAGACGAGAGAAAACACAGTGAAAATTAAGTCAAAGATCATTTGCATATGAAGAACATCTTTGAGTAACTCACCAAACACCATTCTCCATATTGCAGGATGAGGCCTTGTAAAGGGTCCTAAAGAAAAGAGCATTAGTCATTTTATGAAGAGTTATTTTTTTGGGACAGGTGAAGAATTCAAACACAAGGATAAAGAAGATCTGGGCTCTAGGTAACAATTATGTATCTTTAATAAAACCATAACCCACTTTGAAAGTATTTTTTCTTTTAGTGATAAAATAAAAACAAATATGAATTATACACTCAAACTGCAAATTGTTATCTTTGCTACCGTTTTTATAAAGTTTGCTGCTTCAACATGTGAATTCTTCATGTCTCTCAATGAGATGTAATCATATAAAATAAAAATAACTGACATAAATATTATATGACTGCAAAGAAATTTTAAAATCTGCAATAGGAAACTGAAGCTTTTGTGAAGAAAAACGTGACCATGTTTTTTAGTCCAGTTAGAGGAGCGCTTGTCAGAAAAATCTGATAAAGCATCACACAAGTTTAAACAATGTAAAGCTTGAAGAACCAGTGTTGCTCTTTAGCTCTTACAGGCGAGTTTAATGATACGAGGAAGAATATTAGCTAATCCCTCATTTCTTTGTATTTTGTTTCTAAGAAGTCACACCTTTTCATTGATACCCAGAATTTCTTAAGATAAGATCATTTTCAGAAAATGGCTATTGACGGTTTGACAGTCTTCTGAATTATTTGAGAATAAAAAGCTACAAAAAACACCAAGGGATAAATCATTATAATCATCACAAAAAAAACCATCCCTGTGTCTAAAGCTAAATATATGGAATAAATAAATAAATAAATTGCACTCTTTGACACATTGATGCATGATGTGATTTGTTGAAAACTTGGCCCTTCAGCTGATATCTTTTGGGTGATGCCAATACAAACACTGGGAACCTCAATAAGAGGTCCTACTTACATCACCACTTTTCAGTGCAGAAGTTGTTTCTTGGGTAGAAAACTCAAGGTTTTCAGTGTGGGTGAATTGTTAAAAAAGAATTTGGAAAAAACAAGAGCTTTATCAGCTCCTAAAGCAGACAGTTACATTCTTAAAGACAGATGTCTACAGATAAAGAAGGTTAGACCTGCTGAAGCCAAAATTATGCCAAAAAGGAGCTGAGCAGGGGCGGAGCTAGATGGGGGGCCACCCCTACCATTTGTTCCCTCTAATACAGATGGTGGCAGCAGTAATACTCTCAAGTGGAATATTCAAAACATTTTAATTTTCTGTGGTTAAATAAACACATCCATATACTAACATCAAAGATGATAAGTACAGAATTCATGCTCTTTCTGGAACTAGATTTTGTGTTATATGGGGTAAAGAGAAAATTATGTCTTCAAGTCATGTATGAGTCTTCAGTGAAATCAAAGATAAATAACAATTTCAATAAAAACTTTTCAAATAATCAATTTATGTAGATATTAGTGCTTGTAAATATCAATGTTATGCAGAATATTTATTGATACAAATAGGTAAGTAATGACAATGATTGATTTACACCCCAAAACTCAAAACTGAATTTTATCCACTATACCTTTTATCTAGAAATTACAGATGTTTAAATATATGTGTCTATTTGTTAGCAAAGGCTGTAGGAAAGTATAGTTAGTATTTATTTAGAAAATATAGATTTTTTGCTCATTCATTTTCCTGTTGGAACTGTGTAGATTGACCCTGGGGTCATTCAAGGGCTCATATAATTGGTCAGATGCCAAAATAAGATGTACAGCCACGTAGAAGCATCTTTGCTGAATGGCTGGATATAGATCTTGTGCTTCTAGACCTCACTGAGGGACGGGGAGCTCCGTTTGTAAGGGTATGCAAGTAGTTAAAATGAGGTCAATCTGTGTAGACTGACCTGAGGGTCAATCGCCCACCCCTCAGTGTACATTGGTTATTGCCTGGCCACCCTTATAAAAAATGTTGGCCACGCCTCTGGGGCCGAGGACAGTTTAAGTCTATAGTGTTTTAAATCGGATCCCTCTCTTGTCTACCATTTGTTGTCCCCTCCCTCAGCTCTATGCACCCCATGATATGAAGCTTTCACTAAATGGACAGGACTACAGGAAAAGACCCCTTTAAGACAGCAAAAAGAAAAAACAGGATAACTGAAAGCATGATACAATTTCAACCATCCCAGGTTTATGACTACATACTCTCATTTCATAATTATATTTAATCCATAGCTTACCATTGGGAAAAGCCAGGATGCTGATGACCAAGAAGAAGGAAACAACCACTAATAGACCGACACGAAGGTTGTTGTCAGAGTTTTCATCGTCCCTGTCAAAATAAGAGTTTTCCCATAAACAAACTGTTGACATTAAATAGCTAAATCTAATGTAGCCTACCTGGTGAAGGCAAAGTACATGAGACTAAGCACAGTAACTGTCAGAAGGCTGATGGTGTGTGGCTTGTAGAAGAAGTCAAGGCAGATATCTTCCACTTGTTGCTCATTTATCATTCGGAAATGTAGTTTATAGTTATTATCTTGGCTCCTCGATGAGCGGAGAACCGCCGTGGCTGCCATGTTACTGTCCCTAAACTACTCCGTAAGTTATTCTGATATCATTTTACAACCGAAACCCGAACACCAGTAGACTTTGGAGACAATCCTCAGAGCCTGGATAACCAGCTCTAAGGAACCTGGAGGGCGGACTGAACCACTTTACTTCAATAAGGAGGGGTGCATAAACGTTTATGAGTATTTTTTCAAATATACCCATTTGGAACAAAATGTAAATATATATATTAAACCTATATTTATTTACTATATTGGGTTTCTAAAGAGTTCCATTGAATAAAGAACACGCTATAAAAAAATATATTTATTGACCAGTGATGAAACCACAAGCAATGGAACGTCTGAAAATATGGGACGTTTGGGTGCAGATCTTCCGTGTCCATGTCCACGTGAAAAACAATTTATATTTCTTAACGTTTCAACTCCATGTTTAACTTAATATCACGGGAGTGTAATCTTAATTTAGGTTGCCACAGTAAGAGACCAAGGTTTGAATAGAAACGTGAGTATTGTAATTGTCCCGTTGTTTTGTTACAACCAGGGTTAGCTATGTGATTTTTAGGGTTGCTATAAACTTAGCATGTTAGCATAGCATAGTCACACCAGCCTCTTAGAGGACATTATAAACAACTACCTGAAAAGTGAATTTACACTTGAATAGCTTAATTACGGCATCATGCATTATATGAAAAAAAAATGCATTATATGAAAAAATATATATTTATATGTTGTTACACGTGTAATTACTTGCAGATATACTGCATACATCGAGCTGGACAAACATTACATTTTGTTAAGTTATTCAGTTACCCTTGAAAATAAAATTGCATTAATATTAAATGGTTATGGCTTGTCTAATTTTAAATATCGTTTTTACAAGAAATCTAATAATTGAAATTATTCATATAATTTGTTTGGCTTGATCTTTATCCCCTCTTGTATCTATTCATTGAATAAAAATTAAATGACCTATGATCAGAGTTATCTATACAAATAAAGCTGATCTTTGAATTGAAATTGAAAACTGATTCCACACCTTTTTTTCCCCCCTCTGTTCTTTTCCTGGCTGCAGTGTCTATAGAGAGGCTTCTTCTAAGCATAGGATGTGCAGATGTCCTGATCCGTGCAGGAATGTCCTGCATTTTCAACTTGTGCCCTGCATCCCAATAACAAGCACTTGACTGGGTTAAAATATAAAATAAAACAAAAGTGTTTAACATCTGTTTTAGATGTAATGAGAGCAGAGCTGCAGCTAGAAGAAAGATGACTTAGAGCAGGATTTTTAATTATTTTCACATTCTATGGGAGCCAACATAGAGAGGCCTACATTGAACGTGAAATCTATACTTTCAAAAACATATCTAGAAAACCTGATTAGTTCACTCAGCCTGATAATGGATGATTTCTTTTGTCATTGTTTTCAAACCTCTTTTTTTTTTTTTTTTCAGGATTACCATGTCCTCTGCCTGCGCACAGCTCTGTCTGCGATGTAGAGGGTTTCTTTCCTCAATGAACAGCTCCCGTCTGTACTATGTTCAAATTCAACATAGTGTGAGAAAAGGCAAATCTACCAAAATCGGCGAAGGATTGTTATCCAGAGGAAATCACACAGCAGCTCAGACAAGACTGAGCTGGAAACGTCCAACGTCTTGCTACTTTGGTATTACAGCAAAATATCTGACAACCGAGACGAAGGAAAGCAAACTTGGAACTGATGTCGCTGAATACAAGCCTGCTCTGTTGCCAACAGTAGATGTTTCACCCTGCCCTCCAAATGTGATTCCTCCTGGTATGTATTGAGTCTCTGTCGTCAAACATTATAATTGACAATGCGATAAAACAATTGCTCTTTAAGCATTAAATTGCTTCTGACTTCCTGTTTTTGTTTCCTTTATTAAGAAGACCTGGATGCTAATGACCACTGTTCAGCACTGGAGGAAATCAGTGATGAAGAAGCTGCTGCCATTTCTATTCCTCCCTCTATTCCTCCATCCTCTGTGTCTCTTCGCGACTATGTTGACAAGTCGGAGACACTTACAAAGCTGGTGCAGCTTGGTAAACAACTCATAAAACCTTTTTCTTTCTTCTTTTTTTTTTTGCTGTTTCAGAGCTCAAAACTTAAAATTTAGTTCGATTTTTTCAATCACCTTTTGTTACAGGGGTAAGTTTGTGGAAGCTGGAGCAAAGACCCAATGTTGGCTCCATGTTGCTTAGACTTGATTTCAGCAGAGATGTAGCACCTCGCCTCTTGTTTTTAAAAGAAATTGGAGTGGAGGACTCTCGTCTAGGCTACATCATTTCTCACAATCCATTCATCCTTTCAGAGAGTTTGGAAAACCTGCAGGCCAGGTAACATGAAAATATACACTGCCTGGAAAAAATGTGCACACCCCTTAACACTTTTAAAGTTTTGTCACATTACAACTGCAGACCTCAGTGTATTTTATGTGACAAATCACCAAAATGTATCTCTTAAATTTAGCCTGTTGAAGTTAATACATTATAGAATATGCTATGGCTAAAATTGTAGCAGCAATATGGGTTCAGCTCATTCAGACTGGATGGAGAGCATTTCATAGTAGCATGGAAAACATTTCAAGAATTCCCTCTGATGTTTTTTATCATGTCTGACCCCTTCCCAAAAGCCTGATACCTGTATTATCACCATGTATTACTATTAGGATGATGTGTTCCAGGTAATGGGAAGCGTTAGCTTTCCGTAATGCCAAGTGATTTTTTTTATTTTTTTTATGCAGGCCAAACATTAATTTTTGTTTTATCTGACCAGGGCATCTTCTTCCGTATGAACCCTACTGTTCTACTTTCTAGATCTCTTTATTTAGGTGAAGGGTCATGTTATACAGCTTTCTAGAGTTTTCAGATGATAAATTGAGCAAGGCTTTATGAGGTTTTCATTTATTTATTTTTTTACAACAAATCACAATAGGTTACATCTGCTAATAACTGCTTTTTGCAGAGATGGGGGATCTGGAGTTAACAAGTCATCTCTATGGCTATGTTTACACTGCTGGCCTTGATGCTCAATTACAATTTTTTTGTGAAATCCGATTTTTTTACGTTGCTATTCACATTTCCAAATATATGCGCTTTATATGTGATTTCCTGTGTGAACTGCAGTCATACAGCTTAATTGTCCCGCATGCGCAGTAGATGACGCAATGACATCAAAAGCCAGCGTGCTTTGTGTTTACGGAAGTAAACATAGATGTAGTGCTTAAAACCTCAATCTTTTTGATATGGTTAAAAAAAAGATAATGCTCTCTGCATCATCATCCACCGTGGTGTTTGTTTTTCTTGCCATTTATGTTTAGCAAGAAGCAGAATAGTGACCTTTGTTGGGTATTGATGGTGTTCAGTAGTGATGGGTCGGGCAACACCGATGCGTCGGCGCATGTGTCGGTCTCATAGAGCGAAACCTGTGTCGACGTGTGTATCGCTACGGAAAAGTCACGTGACCGAAACAGTTCATGTATCGGTCACGTGACCGATGTTTCGAACTGATTGACAAGCCTTTATAAGGATGCACATCTGCCAAAACAATCTTGCGTGTTTTGCGAATATAAAATTCATCAAACATTATGGAGCTTCCTCAAGCAAAAAGAAAGGTTTCTGCCGTGTGGGACCACTTTGATGTCATTTCGGAAAATAAGGTATTTGTTTTAATTTCCTTGTTTCATCCTGTTCCTCTCAGAGTTTCCACTTGATTTTCTGAGTAGAAATTCATTTCAAAGTGACCTTTAGTTTACTGTTCGTGTTATTTTCTACAGGTTAAATGTCGCAATTGCTCAACAGAGCTTGCATATTTAAATAACAGCACCTCCTCAATGCTGAGGCATTATAGGGCCAAGCATGAGAGTGAAATCCATGATACACCCATGATGAACTCAGGTATACAGGTATTTTACAACTTACTGACTTTGTTTTATTGATAATTCTGAATAATTTACACTTTCTCATTTTTAACCATCAAGCTTCCAGAAAGCAGATGCTTGATGAGGCTGTGCTTAATTTCATTGTAAAGGACTGCCAGCCCCTCGCTGTTGTGGACAATGAAGGGTTCAGGGAGCTGGTTCAGCTCCTTGAGCCCTCATATGTTTTGCCAACCAGAAAGGTTTGTGTGGAAATTATCTAAAGTGGTAGTTTATTCATCAACTTTATTTTAAATATATTGATTTTCTTCTGGTTTGACTTGGTGTGGTTTTCAGACCATCAAACAACTGTTGGCCAAAAATTACGAGGAGGAACGGGAACGAGTGAAAATGGAAGTACAGCAGACTGCGGACAGAATGTGCCTCAATAGTTGGAAGCTCAAATGAGCCCCAGCCGGGAACATCTTCACAACAGCTGTCTGCCCCCACTTCAGGCATGATATTGAGCATCATTTCTTTGTTGTTTGTAAATCATGTACTAAAATACTTTTTTTTTTTTTTTTTAAGATGACCTTTGGGAACATTTTGATCTCGAAGTGGGGAGGCAGACCAAAAGTGCCACAGCTGATGCCATCCTTGAGGTGCAGAGATACATGGCAGAGGGCAATATTGCAAGGTCCCAGGATCCTCTTGTATATTGGAAAAACCAAAGGACGGTTTATCCAAACCTCTTCCGCCTGGCCTTAAAATTTTTGTGCACTCCAGCTTCATCTGTGCCGTGTGAGCGGGTGTTTTCCACAGCTGGAGAACTAATATCAAAAAAGCGTAACAGACTGAATTTCAAAACGTTGCAACAACTTATTTTTTTTTGAATAAAAACTTGTAAAAACAAAATACCAGTGAACAAGCATCTTCATTTACTACATGTTTACTTAGAGATTATTACATTATGATGCAGGTTCTCATTATTCATTGACTGTGTCTAAAATATCAAATATGTTTTAATAATAATACAATGCATCATACAATGAATTGCATCATATTAGTGTATATAATAGGTCATCAAATCAGTGTCAGTTAACTCTGTCAACTAGGTTGCCTGTAGGGATTTTTAATGTCCAGCAGGTGTCAGTATTCAGTGACACAGTATCGACACGGTATCAATACAGTTTGGTAATGTGTCGAAACGTTTCATCACGCCTCATCAACCCATCACTAGTGTTCAGGTTGGATGAATGCGACCTGGCTGTTCAGACATAGGTCGCATTTGAAAGGATCAGATTCATATCGAATTTAGGACCACATAGCCAAGTGGCCTGGGTCGCATTAGAAAAAGTCAGATCTGTGTTGTTTAGATTGCCATGAAAGGAACAGATCACAGTCAAATGTGGGCAAAAAAATGGGATTTGGGTCACTTCAGGGTGCAGTGTGTATGTAGCCTAAGTCATGTGTTTGTTCTGCCCAGCCAATTAACCAGGTGAGTCCAATCTTCACAGGTTAATTCACTATGCAGATTGGACTCACCTGGACTCACCTTTAATTATCCTATTTTGGGAAAAATTAATGGATAAAGCCATGAAGGAATTATTTTTCTATTTAAAATTAATAGACTGCCTTGTGTTGATTCATCACAACAAGTTCCAAATTGGTACATCAAAGTTTTTATGGAGAATAAAAATACTTATACCAAATACTTTATTTAGGACACTTGTTAACGTTTCCTTCTCCCTTATATTGATCATTTTTTCTCTTGTTTTTACCAAGGGTGAACTATCTAAATTCGAGGAAGTTCAGTTCGGAAACGGTTGCATCTATGGTCTCCAGAGCGCCATATCTGCTTAACTTCAGTGTGAAGAGGCTGGACAACAGACTGGGTTTTTATCAGCAGCAGCTTAAACTCAGTGCTTCCAATGTATGTTATATGAGATCATCTAGTATCAAATAAAATTATTGCTGAAATGATAAGTATTCTTTCTGTTTTTGACAATAAGAAAATTAAGAAAACACTAACAGACCATTTCTAATCTCTCTACAGACGCGGAATATTGTTGCTCGTCTCCCCAGGTTACTTTGTGGCAGCTTGGAGCCTGTTAAAGAAAATTTGAAGGTAGAGTTAGAGCATAACATGTAAAAAAATAAAAACAGAATTTGAATTTATTTTTCGACGGCATGCAAAACCACTTTTTAAAATTTATTTTTTCGTAATGTGTTCTACAGGTGTGTAAAATAGAGCTTGGGTTTAAGGAAAATGAGATCCAGCATATTGTTATTGCCGTCCCTAAGGTGTTGACAACCAATAAAAAAAAGCTAACCCAGATATTTGACTTCCTTCATAACACCATGAAGGTTCCCCACCACCTGATCACAAAGTTTCCACAGGTAGGTGGCCTCAGCTATTTATTTTAAGCTTTAAAAAAGTATTTTATCTGTTTCTTGTTGTTTTGTATTAAAATCAAACCTTTTTTTTAATTTTCATTGCACTATTTTACTTTCTCTTAAGGTCCTCAATACAAAGTTCCTTCGTCTCAAAGAGCGACACCTGTTTCTCCAGTATCTCGGAAAGGCTCAATATGAACCAAACCTGCCCAGCTACATCTCATTGGACCGCTTGGTTTCCTTGCCAGATGAGGTCTTTTGCACAGAGTTGGCTTTGGCCACATTGGAAGATTTTTATCTGTTCCAAAAGACACTTTGATTCTTTATGGTTTGGATGATAGAAGTGGCCCCTACAAAAAATAGTAAATTACACTGAAGACTGAATGGATGGAGATAGATGAAGTATGTTTTGTAAATATGCTAAAAAAAATTATCATATATCACCTTCTGTAGTAAAATTATCCTTTGCAAAAATGATAACTATTTAAATTACATTTCTTCTATTTGCAAGTTTGAATGTTTAAGATTATGTTAACATTATTTTTATTTAAAGTTAATGATCTGTTTTAACTGCTCATGCTATGTACAGTTCCATTTCTCACCTGTGTAATTCAGTTTTATGCATCAGGATGTCTTAGTTTACTTTAAATTTAAAACCACCTTAAAATGTTCCTATTTAAATGTGTTAAAATAATGTATATTCATGGTGCCACATGTCTAACCTCTCAGTTCTGAACTTTAAATGCAAATTCGTTTATTGCATTCAATAGAATAGAAATATCCTTTATGCTCCTGCAGAGAAAAAATACATGTATGTTAGAGGCAACATGAGAAAACTTCACATAGGAATCAAAAATAAGAATTGACCATACAGTAAAGGAGAAACCTACATCTTCAAGAAAAATTACCCAGTTATAAAAATTGCATGCTCAAATTTGAGTGTCCAACATATGACTGTTATACCTCTATCCAGGCTTGAGAAAACAAGCAACCAGTCGTTTGCTTAAAAAAAAAAACTATTAAATATTGACCTGAATCTAAACGGTTACAGAGTACATGTAAGAATGCAAATATAAAATGGAAGTGTAAACACTGAGCTTTTTGGGAGCAGTGATTATAAAGTCTACCAGCTGCTGAGAGGATCTGAGATGACGTTTGTGTATTTAAGATGCAGCGGTTTTCCACTAAATGAGCTGTCCAGTTTACAGGTGCTGGTCATAAAATTAGAATATCATGAAAAAGTAGATTGATTTCAGTAATTCCATTTAAAAAGTGAAACTTGTATATTATATTCATACATTACATACAAACTCATATATTTCAGATGTTTATTTTGTTTAATTTTGATGATTACAAATGACAACAAATGAAAATCTCAAATTCATCATATCAGAAAATTAGAATATTACTGAAGACCAATAAAAACAAAGGATTTATAGAAATGTTGGCCAACTGAAAAGTATGAACATGAAAAGTATGAGCATGTACAGCACTCAGTATTTAGTTGGGCCTCCTTTGGCCTGTATTACTGCAGCAATGCGGCGTGGCATGGAGTCGATCAGTCTGTGGCACTGCTCAGGTGTTATGATAGCCCAGGTTGCTCTAATAGTGGCTTTTAGCTCTTCTGAATTGTTGGGTCTGGTGTATTGCATCTTCTTCTTCACAATACCCCATAGATTTTCTATGGGGTTAAGGTCAGGAGAGTTTGCTGGCCAATTAAGAACAGGGATACCATGGTCCTTCAACCAGGTACTGGTAGCTTTGGCACTGTGTGCAGGTGCCAAGTCCTGTTGGAAAATGAAATCTGCATCTCCAAAAAGTTGGTCAGCTGCAGGAAGCATGAAGTGCTCTAAAACTTCCTGGTATGTGGCTGCGTTGACCCTGGACCTCAGAAAACACAATGGACCAACACCAGCAGAGGACATGGCACCCCAAACCATCACTGACTGTGGAAACTTTACACTGGACTTCAAGCAACGTGGATGAAGTGCCTCTCTTCTTTTCCTCCAGACTCTGGGACCTTGATTTCCAAAGGAAATGCAAAATTTACTTTCATCAGAGAACATGACTTTGGACCACTCACCAGCAGTCCAGTCCTGTTTCTCTTTAGCCCAGGCAAGACGCTTCTGACGCTGTCTGTGGTTCAAGAGTGGCTTGACACAAGGAATGCGACAGCAGAAACCCATGTCTTTCATACGTCTGTGTGTGGTGGTTCTTGAAGCACTCACTCCAGCTGCAGTCCACTCTTTGTGAATCTCCCCCACATTTTTGAATGGGTTTTGTTTCACAATCCTCTCCAGGGTGCGGTTATCTCTCTTGCTTGTACACTTTTTTCGACCACATCTTTTCCTTCCCTTCGCCTCTCTATTAATGTGCTTGGACACTGAGCTCTGTGAACAGCCAGCCTCTTTAGCGATGACCTTTTGTGTCTTGCCCTCCTTGTGCAAGGTGTCGATGGTCGTCTTTTGGACAACTGTCAAGTCAGCAGTCTTCCCCATGATTGTGTAGCCTATAGAACTAGACTGAAAGACCATTTAAAGGCTTTTGCAGGTGGTTTGAGTTAATTAGCTGATTAGAGTGTGGCACCAGGGGCCATCAATTTTGAACCTTTTCACAATATTCTAATTTTCTGATATGATGAATTTGAGATTTTCATTTGTTGTCATTTGTAATCATCAAAATTAAACAAAATAAACATCTGAAATATATGAGTTTGTATGTAGTGTATGAATATAATATACAAGTTTCACTTTTTAAATGGAATTACTGAAATCAATCTACTTTTTCATGATATTCTAATTTTATGACCAGCACCTGTATCAACAGCCTTATGCAGTGGGTGGGAGACCAACAGTGATGTTATTCTTCCTTTCCTTCTGTCTCCAACCACCTATGCTGTGTCCAGAGGGCACCCCAAACTTACCTCCTACACATGTAGGGCATGAGTCATATGTTGTAGATCTCTGCTTTGGAAGTGCTAATATGATTATAATCTTAACTTTCTGTAAGGTCATGAGCAGTTTTTCTTATCTGGCCTTGCATCTTATTTTTTTTTAAAAAAAGGTTAGAGAATAATCTGGCATTTTCACTCCAATTTCGTTGTGAGTTTGCAAGGCTTGACATTGAATATATATGGGTATTTTCCCAAATGAAAAAATACACAAGTTTGTCATGGTAAAGCTTATGATAAATATGTGAATTTATAAAATATCTTATAAATCCTAGTTTGATCCTGTAAAGGTTTGGTTCTTGATATCACCAGAACTCAACGACAAGAAGATACTGACTTTAAGAAGTGTACTTATTTTAAACATTTGTATTCATTGGAAATAACGATATTTTCTTTTAGAAGGGTTTTTTCTTTTTTACTTATTTAAGTTATAACTGGGAACATAAAAAAGTAGCAAAAAAAAAAAAAAAAAAAAAAAATAGAAATGACAAAGATTAAGTTACCATTTATATTTCCTCTATCATTGTGTTTATATACATAAATAACGGTGTATGGCGTTTCTATTCGCAACTTGAATCCTTTAACTGAAAAACAAAGGCTTAAAATTTGGACAAAAAATATAGATTTTATTTTTTATGTTTTGTATTTGGAATGGATTAATTAAAATGTCTATTAGACATAAAAAAAATTAATTCCTTCACTGTGAGATCAATAAAGTATCTATTTCATAAGCCATTAAGTAACACAGTCACTGCTACTTTCAAATTTAGAATACTTCCCAACAGTGTTGTCTAATGCAACAACAGAATTAAAGAAATTATAAATGTTTCAAAACCGTGCAGCTTGTACAAAACTAATGTTCAGTCCGCGCATAAAACTGGTTACCTGTAGAAGACAGGCTTCAACATTCACTACTTGTCTGGAACACCATAACAAAGTCACCAGTCATCATTTATAAGAACTTAGAATTTAGTTCAAGTAAACACACCCATTTTACAAGAAATACTAGTATTGGAAATTAGAGCCTACCAACAGAAGAAACTAAAGCTGTTAAAAAAAAACGTTTTCTATAGAGGAATGTACCAGTGAACCTAGAATCTATTACCTCAATATATTTCATAAACAAAAAATAAAGTTCTATATAAGATGTTATTGAAATAATATATTATAGAAACAATATGTTATTGAAACAATCTGGGGGTATGTATGTGTGAGCATACATAAACATATGTATATTTGTGTATTTATATATATATATATATATACCTTGTTTATTGATTACGATCATAAGAAAGATATATCAATTTGAGGGTCAGGTATTATTGCTGATGAATTTGGGAAAATTACATTGATTAGTGTAGCATGGTGATTTTCGCTTTCATTTATTTTTATTTTATTCATCTCTCTATGTGTTGAGTATATGTGTATATGTATGTAAGTATGTATATAGATGTATCTTTTACTTTATGCTTTTTTGTGTGTTGCACCATTAGTGTAATTTATTTTATACCTAGATTGAGTCTTTGTATGGACCCCATTAAGAAAAGCAGCAGCATCTCACTGTAGCTAATGGGGACAGACAATAAAATACTCTTGTGCGAAATTCTGTTTCCCCATGAAAATCTGTTCCCCCTGTGTCGGGAGCGCGCATTGCAGCCAGAGAGGCGGATCTGACCATTCTCAAGGCGCTCCTGATCATTTTTCGGTAAAAAACGCGTCTTTTACCCATAACACACCGCGGTCGCTCTCAGTGGTAAAGATGGCGTCCAGGGCACCAGGTAAGAGAACACCGCTTCTGTTTAAATAACATTTCCACATCCCCAAACGTCTTGTCAGGTGACGTATAAAGACACTCGTTAGATTGTCAAACACCACTTAGCTTTATTCTTTGTCTTCTGCACCAAAATGAGTATATTTGGCGTCTAATTTGTGTGTGTCCTTTAATGTCCCCTTGCTAACTGATGCTAACCGGCTGGGTATTGATAGCTTAGCATTCCCCGCTAAGGCTAAATAACAAAAGACGTGCCATTATAATGGATCTATAAACATTTTGAAGGTATTTCTCAATACCCAACCTTTTTTTTTGTATGCAGCCTTTTAAATATATTATTTAGCGATGGCCAATTGATATACTTTGTCCTGTTTCTTTATACGTTTGTTCATCAAATCAAAGCTCAGATAGTGTTTAGCTGTCAACAGCAAGCTAATGGCATTTTAATGCCATATATTTTAGAAGGCTTTTTTATCGTCTGCATTTTGTTACACAGCAAATGACCTCCAGATAGTTATAAGGGAAATGTATATAAGTATCTCTTTGACGAAAAGGTTTTCATCAAAATAAACAGTAATGGCATGCTTTCAAATGTAAGACATAGAACTATCATACTATATGGTTTGTCCACAACGTGTGTGTGTATATATGTCAGGAAAATCAACAATTGTTGGTCAGCTCTAAAGCTTTGTCAGCAGTTGCATATGTGACAGCAACATACTAAGTTACTTTGAGTTATCTGACTTATTTTACCTTTCGTTGCACTCTTTTGTTTTATATTTTTATTTTGCCTTATGCCTTTGTTATTATATAATGTCTTCGCCCTTGACTGAGATTGTTTGTGTTCATCGTGTTACAGTTGTGACAGGCCGGCTCATGCTTGGTCTCCGGAAATGGTATTACAACTTATGCGGCTTTAACAAGCTTGGTAAGTCCATTTAAGATGTTTATAAAGTAGAATATAGAAATTTTGTACGTTTAAATCCTCATGTGAAGTGATATCGCTTTCTATTTGGTTGTTTGAATTGTAAAAAAAGCCCCTAATTTTTGTTCTAAGCTGAGATTGCTAATATGCTTACCTCCATGACTTATTTCCTTTTTTTGATTGGAAAATGGCTATAGATGTACATCAAAAATAATGAATTGTGTGGAACAGTCAAAAGCAACATATTGCAAATCCCCTGCTGTGTTTATTTTTCCCTTCTTTTAACTTTAATCTTACCTTTTTGAATCTGTACATATGTAGATATTTACAGATAAAAAAAAACTGCTATAAATGTAAAAATCTATAATGATCAGCCATAGACATGGTTGTTGGATCTCCAGAAACTGATTATGTTTACTGTTGCAGGTTTAATGCGTGATGACACAATATATGAGGATTCAGACGTGAAGGAGGCCCTAAAAAGGCTTCCAGAGAACGTTTATAACGACAGGACATTCAGGATCAAGAGGGCCCTGGATCTCTCAATGAAGCAGCAGCTTCTCCCAAAAGATCAGTGGACAAAATTTGAAGAGGCAAGTTTTTAAACGAATAAGTGAATGGTTTTCTTTAGAAGACCCTTCAAGTGTGATTCAGTATGTGGAGAGTATTGCATATGTGTCTTAAGTACAGAATTGTCCCAATGAGATAATCGTTTAAATATTTCATTTTGTCAACCACTATCAGATGTGTTTGAGGCTTCTATTTACTTCATAAATCTAATATGTTTGTTGTAGGATGTCAATTATCTCACACCATACCTGGAGGAGGTGATCCGTGAGAGGAAAGAAAGGGAGGAATGGACTAAGAAATAACACTTCCTGATCACGGTTGTTGTGTGGTTGGTGCACGACTGTCCCTTGGTGTAATATGTAAAGTTTTAAAAATGAGATGTAACCTATATAAAAACAATGCTCAATAAAGAAATGTGGATTTACATTTTAGAGGGCAGACATGTTTATTTTTTTTTTCAAGATTGGTTTATTTGCATGACTATTAAACTAATGTCAGTAGTTTATGCTCAGGCATTTCTTTCATATTGGAGAAACATAAAATGGTGTATAATAAGCATCCCACAGCATGATGTTGCCACTAATATGTTAAATAATGGGGATGACTTGTTAGAGGTTGCTTGCACACATTAGCAGTCCTTACAGATGGTTAGACTGAATTGGTGAATTTGACTTTTGAAAGTAACTGGTGTTTCAAAGTTGAATGATGCAAAATATATACACTGCACGCATTGAAATAGTTTTATTTTTTAAACATTTTTAAAACTGTTTATTTTTATTTCTCTATAACAAAGTCACAGTTCAACACATCGAATATGCAACTTTACCTTCATATAAACTGAGTTTAATAACTTTTTAAGGCAGCTGCAGCTAACTTAGTTTCTTAGTCATCAGATGATCCTGTCATTATTTATCAAATTTGTTTTTAAAATAATGCAACTTAAACTCAGAGGCAAGGTCAAAGAAATTCGTCCAAAACCCCTGAGGATCATTAATGTCCATTTGTTGCTCATCAGGAGTTCTCATTACCTCTCTGACCCTGGGATCTCCTGGTATCCACATCTGTTATTGTTCCAATAAAGTTTCCAATCACGTTGTTGAAAGATTTTAGCATTGAAACTCCAAGTTCATTGCTGGTTTCGTTAATGTCCGGATCATAGGTGCCCATGAGAGGTGAGCACACCTCCACTTCGCTTCTGTTGGCTCTTTCCAAGATGCCTGAAAGCTGACCCATGGTCTGCTGGAACAAGTCTCTGTTGTAGTTCAGCAAGACTGCATCTTCCAGAGGATAAGCAACGTCTTCAGAGTAGCAGTCACGGGGTGCAGGTACCTCTATGTACCTCAGTTTAGGAAAACCTGTTGTCAACGTGGAGAAGAGCCTCCTCAGAGTGACAGAGCTGAGAGGATTTCCCAGAAGCTTTAACTCTTTCAGTCCCTGGCAGGGGGACAGAGCATTGGTGAAGGTGGTTAAGTGTTCATCCTGGATGTCGCACTCTTCCAGGATGAGGGTTGTCAGCGTGGCGGAGCATCGGCTCAGGAGTTTGTGAAACGCAGTTGGAAAAGAGCTGAAGATATTATGTCCGCTGAGGTCGAGGTGGACCAGGGTCTCGCTGTGCAGACTGTTGGCCAGGTAGGTCATATCCACACGGTTCAGGCAGCAGTTGGCCAACTCCAGACACTTCAGTGGTGTATTGAGAGGACTACGGAAGGTCAGCAAAGACAAGTTAGAACCTCCTGCCAGCTTGATGCACATAGTTTTATATAGTTGTTATAGATAAAATAATTTTCCCATTTATTTTTACACAGCTTTTTACCCCCTTTGTTTGTTCTTTAGTTTATCAATATAAAACCTGGGTTATTTCTTTAGTTTTTATATATTTTGAGCAGCTCTTTTTCTTCCTACTAAGTTCAAAAAGGTAGTTCTTTGTAAAAGTATGTACACTGACTAATCTTTTAATCCTTTTTAAAAGCTTAATGTGAATTTAACTCCATACTGAAGGCAAATCTTTACCAGTTTTTTACATCTTGACATTTTCCTGCTATTTTCAGAAAGTTAAAGATCAGTCGAATTGAATGGATAGCATCCATGAACACTGATTTAGTTCGTTGTTCATGAATGCTCTCCGTGAACACCGATTTTTGCTTTAACTGGATCCTATAACAAATTTATATATTATAATCTAATCAATACACCCTAATGGTGGTTTGCTGTCCCTAGTCTTTCAGAGAATCTTTGTAGTTTAGCAGCCATTATAGTTGATAGCCCATAACTGCAACTAGCTTCCCTTTCCTGCTGAAAAAAGCATTCCCAAAACTAAGACAACTCTTATTGTCATTTTGTATAAACAGTGTATACAAAACGAAATATTGTTTAGTACAGCTTTCCAGACAGTAAATGAACATTTCCATCCCATAAAGTGCAGCAGTGATCAAATGTAAACGGAGAACAGTCCAGACTCAGGACACGCAGCGCTGGGATGAAATGTTCTGTATGGAGGGAAGAGGAACCCCAGAGATCCTCTCTGCTGTTCTCACTAATCTTCTTACTTTCCTTCAGTCTGCGGAGCTGCAGCCTCCACATCACAGATTGAGACAGCTGGTCAGAACCCTCGCTATGGTGCTTCTGTAGAAGGTGGTGAGGATGGGTGGGGGCAGGTGGGCTCTCCTCATCCTCTGCAGAAAGTACATGTGCTTTTGTGCCCTTTTGACCAGTGAGGTGGTGTTTACATTCCAGGTGAGGGTGTCTGTGATGTGCACCCTCAGGAATTTGGTGCTGCTGACCACCTCTACTGCTGAGCTGTTGATGACCAATGGGGCGTGGTTAGGAAGGTTCTTCCTGAAGTCGAGGATGATCTCCTTCATCTTCTTCATGTCCAGAATCAGGCTGTTTTCTTTGCAACGGTCCACCAGCTGCTCCACCTCCTCTCTGTAGGCCCGGTTGTTGTCGTCTCTGATGAGGCCCACCACCGTGGTGTCGTCTGCAAACTTCACTATGTAATAGGTGGTGAACCTGGGGACGCAGTTGTGTGTCATGTGTGTGAACAGCAGGGGGCTCAGGACGCAGCCCTGAGGGGAGCCTGTGCTTAGGGTGGCGAAATCAGAGATATTCTGTCTGACCCAGACTGACTGAGGTCTGAGGTTTTTGAGGAAGTCTAGCAGTCAATTGCAGAGGGGTGTATTGAAACCCCGTTGTTCCAGTTTTCCCATCAGATGCTGTGGGATGATGGAGTTGAAAACTGAGCACAAGGGTGTTCTTCTCCCCTGGGTGTGCCAGGCTCAGGTGGAGAGCAGAGGAGGAGATGGCGCCTTCAGTTGAGCTGTTATGTCGGTAGACAGATCGAATGTTTGGGGGGAGACTGGTTGTGTTGTGTGTTCTTTAACCAGCCTTTTGAAGCATTTTATCATGACAGGAGTCTGTGCGACAGGCCCGTAGTCATGAAATGAGATGACCTGAGGCTTCTTTGGGACCAGAATGATGGTGACTTAAAGCATGCTGGCACTATGGGTTTGTCCAGCGAGGTGTTATACATGTCTGTGAGGACACTAGCCAGCCGACCTGCACACTCTTGTACACCCGCATAAAACATGAACCGATCTATACCTCTTTTTTTAAAATGTAGACAGAGTTGGTTTTATTAATTTTTTTGGTGACTTAAAAAACTGTTTTGGTCTCACTATGTACCAGACAACCTTGTTCCAAATGTTTATATTCCCTAAGTGGCTTATAGCTAATTCTATTCTGCCTCTTTGTAAATGTCATCTGGCACTAGTGGCTTTTATTGATAGTAATCAGATCTAACTGAGCTCCATGAGACGGATGGAATAGGATTTTATGACACAACTCTTCTTAATCCAAACAAAGTTGAGGGGGTGTGAATACTTTACTACATCTTTGTCCCCAGCTGACCTGCAGCTGTCTGTCCTCACTGACATGATACCAGCAATATTAAAAACAAAATACCAACCATTGCGAAAGAAGAGCCTTTAAAGCTGCCAAATTTTTCAGATAACAGATCTATAAGAAGAAACGCCTACCCTATCTTTGTAGAAACACCAACCTTCAGTGACCTTGTTGGCCATTTAACTGTCTGGTTAGGAACTCACCATAGAAGTCTGCGAAGATGTCCAGTAAGAGTCGAGAACCCAACATAAAGCTCAGTGAGGTTGCCAAGCTGTGCCAGTAGACTGCCAATGGTTGCCAGGAGATCATCATCATCAGCGCCCAGCCTCCTAACATCCAGCGCCCCCCCTGGTAGCGTCAGAGACTGCAGTTTGGGGAACTCCACCCTGGACAGCAACACCTCTAGATGCGGGGCCTCCAGGGGAACGTTGTGAACCACTTCTAGCTTTGTTAAGGACTCAGGCTCTGCTATGCGAAGAACATAGAACAGCTGCTTTAAAGCCAGAGAGTCGGCTCTAATGCTGACAAAATGAACCTTTAGGGGACAGTGGCGGAGAAGCAAGAAGGCCTGAGCGACCTGCTCGTAGTTACGGCCTGTCACAAATCCATTGAGGAGGACGTTGACAGATCGATGAAATGAAGATGGGTTCACATCTCCCGCTTGCATGGCCGCCATCGTCTCATAACACATTTGGGACAGGAGCTGTGTCCGAGCCCATCGACCCAAGCTGGACCTGCATGGACAGGCTTGGTGCTCAGTGTCTTTGAGGGCAGTCAGGTCTACTACATGCAAACTCTTGGCATAGGTCTTCGGAGGAGACAACACATAATCCTGTAAGGCATCATCATTAAGTCATTGCAAACCAATGTTTACCAAAAAAATAAACCTTAAGCATAAAGATCCAGACCAATTTAGGTTTTTACCTTTAGGCCGATCAGAAGTGCTTGTAGGCAGGCCCGGCAGGTGCAGGAGGTGAGGTCCAGTTCACAGTCAGAGGACCGTCCCAGGAGTCTCTGTATGTTGAGCTCAGGAAGAGGCCATATTCTCACCAAAGCATGCAGGAGATCAGCCTGCTCATGAAGGTAGCAGGCCTTGAAGAGAATCGGATAGAGATTAAAAGACACGCAGCTTAAGTTCTCCAATGCCCCAGAACCAGTCTGGATGAAGCCCTCAGCCGCAAGGAAGCGCAGGGACTTCATGTTCTCAAGGTTTAGGTGAAGAAACAAGATTGTTCTGATTGCTTTCAGCGTTTCCTGTCCTCTGCAGCGGCTGCTTATTTTGATATTCAGTCTTTAGTCTGGTATTTATCCAGGACGGGGCTTTTGGTGTTTCTGAGGTAGCAATGCTTGGGCTTGGAGTTGGGGGGGTCTTGTAATGGGTAACAGCGTTGATGTTATTAATAGAAACAGCTGTCTCATGTCCTTCGTCGGGACACGGTGTCTGACTTTCAGCAGAGATAAGTGAAAACAACCTTTGAACACAGCCGGGAAAATTTAATTGAAGACAACTAAATTAAGTATTTTTTAATCATTAAAATGGCTCTTTGGCCAATTTCTCTCTGAAATAAATCTAAAAAAATATTAACATATAGTGCTGAATTAATTTACACTTTATATGTTAATAATTGTATGTATTCATTTTCATTAGTTTGGTTCAAACTAGATTAAAATTAGAAATGCTTGTCATTACATATCTGTAATTAGCTATGGTGAATACTGTCTTACATTTTTATCTCACCAGCAATTTTTGTTCTTCCTCTCTTTTTGATATTGTGGTTCTGCAATGGTTCTGTGGTTACTTTAGGGGGGAAAAAAGCCTCTTTTTTTTTTACAAACAATAAAAACTGCCTCCAAAATAACAGGATGTATATAAAGCGAGAAGACCCCTCTGATCTTAAATTAAAACCCTACATATTCATCAAAACAATTGTCACCATGTCAGAAAGATATGGTTAAAAGATATTTGATAGTTATTTAAAGATTATTTGGAACCATTTATGTATTTAATCGTTTCCCATATTTGAAAACGGAAAACTGTATTTTTCAACAATTTTTAAAATTACTTTAAAGAATCAAGGCCAAATTGATTCTATTGTCCTTATAGAAAGTTAGATCTACCTTAGCATCTGTAAAAGGTGCTGATGATAGAGCTCCTCACCCTAACTCCACATTGCAGAACAACCTAGCATAACCTGCTTGTGTCCAGTAGTCCTGAATGCATTTCCTGATCAATCTCTACTGTGAACAAAAAAAAAATAAATGCTTAACGTTATCTAACATGGCAGTCCATTTTTATCAGAAAATCTCATTCTAGCCACATACTCCCATCACTGAAGGTCAATGATAGAGAACAATCATGCCAAAAAAAAAAATAAAAAATGTGATTATTTTCCACTAATATTGTGGTTTTCTTTGCACTAGCTACCAGCATGTAGATGTTCTTTGAATGACCTTGAAAGCTTGTTTATCCAGATTCCATTTTTGCAGGACTTTACTGTAACCTTTGCTTGAAAAATTATGTATGGATGTGTGTGCTAACTGCAACCCTCTCCTCCCTTCTCTGTGGCAGAAAACCCCCTTTAAGTGTAATACCGCCCTCTAAAGGGCTGGGGAAAAAGTATTAATGTTTTATCCTTGTTAAAAATGTGATTAAAAGTGGGTGCTTCTGCAATTTGAAAATTAAGCTTTGCTTAATTGCGTTTATATTGGAAATGCAATGGATCTCCCAGGCCGCCGAGGTCTAACTAAACACTATGTCTTCAGAACACATGAATGCCTCAAACTGGATCAGGTGGTGAATGGAGCATTTAATTAGCACTGGAAATGGACCCATCAGGGGGCCAAGAGTGGAGCCTCTGGTGTTGTTTTTGCTATGAGAGAACTGGATGTTCCCACAGACTCCACAGGTAGAACATAAACTATCAATACTACTTGTGACAAATCTATTATTATCTGATCAAAGCACAACTGCTACAAGTTGATTTTTTTTTTATTGTCAAATACAAAAGTATTTTTAAGCTGCATAAACTGTTACTTTAAATGTACTTACAAATGGTTTGTCCTGAATCCGATTGCAACTTCCCTTTAACTGGAATAAGTTTGTTTTCTCTATACATACACATATTTACATTCATCTGTTTCAAAGCAACAGAAAAGGTCCATGTGTCTGAAAGTCCTATTAACTGGAGCTGCTGATAGACTCGTTGGCAGCCAGCACTGATGTGGGTCCTATGTGGGTCCAGATGAAGCCTTTTTCGGGACATAGCGGGATGGTGGGGAACGGAGAGCTGCGTGACTTGAAATATTCAGAAGGCGCGTGGCACACAAACTCCAAATAGTCAATTTTTCGGGGCAGATCTTCCTCTGGGCCTGAGATAAAGCACTGTGCTTAAAAGCCACATAGAAAAACCAGGGTAAAATGCATAATTTCACACAGTTGCTTACCGATGATGTATGTCCCTGGATCAAAGTGGTCGCTTGGACTGGCCTGAGTGGGGATGAGCCACGTCAGAGCCGCACTCTTCTCACAGTACTGGTCCTGCACAAACCCTCGGATCTGAGCATAGTACGGCTTTCCATCGTCTTCATCTATTACCCTGATCACATCACCTATCTGGTAATACACACCCTGTAAAAACAAACAGAGCTTCTGGGTTACCAGATTACCATATCAATGTATATGGATGAATTCAAAAAACACTGACTACCATACCTTGTAAAATATAGATTCTGATGTAATGATTGTTGACACAGATTCTGGTGCTTTGATCGGCTGTGAAGGAAAGAGTATTCAAGTGTGAAATACTGCAATTCATAACTAAGGAATAAAAAAAAAAAAACAACTCAGAAGAATAATTTATTTACATTTTTTAGTTTGAATATGTGTCTTCTTCCTTTGCCTTTTGTTGAGACTTTTTTCTCAGAGGCAGGAGCTTTGTACTTGGTACTTCTTAGTCGGGCAGACCTCCTGTGGATCTCCTGTTTAGACTAGAAATAGGCAGATATCAAATATTTGAACAAATCAAAATCATGATTTAATCCCCATTGATTACAATTTAACTCAGAATATTAAAGACAAATAACTTTTTTTTTCTTCAGTGGATTGAATCAATTTTAAATTACTATTTCAGTATACCATAACAATACCTGATTTGATTTGTTTTGGCTAGATGAATTGCTTTCTGCATAGACAGAATATAAATACTAACATGCATGCAAACCATTATACTTGATATTAATCTGTCATATACTATAAAAGTAAAGTATCTGAGACTAATATTTCAAAAAAAAAAATTCAAAGTATATACTTTGAGTAATTTAAATAATTTTATTTGTAAGGTTTTTGATGACATAAAAAAGCTGAAGAAAATACTGTAGAAAGATTTAAATTAATAGAAGTCTGGCATATCAGAAATCTGATTTTTGTTTCAGGATGGCTTAGGAGCTCTTCTGGCGACCTGTATATAATACTTTGTTGTGACTTGCATTCTATTGTTTAACAATAACGCCCCTACATACAGCAGCTATAAAACTGAAGCCAGTGCATCCTCAGCTTGCAGGTGCGCTGTTCTGCCGCTTGGGGGTGCTATTCAGCGATCTTCTTTTGGACTAACCAAACAGATATAGCGCGTCAACTCCCGGGTTTCAAAAATACGTGCAAAACCGAGCTACAAAAACACACACGTGCCATAACTATAAAGGCCACGCTTGTAAATCCTATATTATGTGTGACTGACCTGTTTTCCACCGCCGTTACTGGGTATTGTGCTGGTGGACACGGCGGGTCCAGAGGCTCCCCCGCCGCCGATGCTGCTGGTGTTCTTCCCTGTGCAGTTGTTGCACAGTATTTCACCCTGGTTCCCCTTCTTCCACATCGAGGAAGAGTTCGTCTTACAGACGGTACAGCACGGTTTTATACCCAAAGGCATTTCAACCGAGTAATCAAAAGAAAGTCTACAGACCACGAAATTATTACAACGGTGTTCAACAAAAAAAAAAGAGCTCCACGATCCACCACCGACAAGAGTTCACTATCAAAACCCTCACTTACGTAGCTGCAGCAAATTGCAGCTGCAGTTATCAGAGCAAATAAAAGGCACACAGCATCTTGAAATAACCAATGGAACGTTGTTGAACGTACGTCGCTATTATCCTTAGCAGCGGTCCCCGTCTTCCTGTCTTCTTCCTCTAATGTTAAACAGAAGGACCAACTACAGCGCCCCCTACAGGACTGAAAGACGATGCAACAGATTACTAGGTGTCCTCATTTAGTCTACAAACACAATTTATACCATAAAAAAGTATATATATATATATATATATATATATATATATATATATATATATATATATATTTTTTTTTTTTTAATATATATATATTTTAATATATATATTTTAATATATATATATATATATATATATATATATATATATATATATATATATATATATATATATATATATATATATATATATATATATATATATATATATATATATATATATATATATACATATATATATATATATATATATATGCTTTTATGCAGAGAATGAATAACCACATTGAATAGTACTCACATTGTAAATATAGAAGTGTAATATTTTTAGATCTATGGCCTGTGTTAAAGTTTGCATATTCATCAGAGGTTGCTGATAGTTTGGGAAGCCTAAGAGGTTGGTTAGTTTGCTTTTGCTCAGGCAGGCTCTGCAATTGCACATTCATTTTGTATCTTTTTTTTTTGTTTTCCCCAACTTCTCCATTCAGTGTTTTACAGCAAAAGATCCATGAGACTGTGGTTCCTTTAACTATTTCACCATTGAGGGAAATAAGTACGCTCTGTAGTGGATTAGCTAACATATAAGGGCAAAGGTAATAACAAATCTAGCATAATGTACATTTTTGATATCAGAGCGGTTTAAAATGGGAGAGGAATTATCATTTAAAATACATCTAAATTCACTATTGCATATTGATGAAATACCTCTCTACAAAGAACGACAGGTATGGAGAAGTTGACCCTCTAAGATACACTTCTCCTCATTTGCATAATGAGGCAGAAATGCATACTGAAATGTAAAAACGACAGGCAGAAATAAATAGTGTTGGAGAAATAGAGGGTAAAAAAATACAAAGGAAGAATAAAACAGACAAAAATATTATGTCATGCACATAAATAAATTACTTAAAAAAAGTAATAAATAAAAAAAGTTGTAGATTATAACGGAAAATATATAAATCAGGTAATTATTACAAAGGCGAATAAATAAAGAAGATAATTAAAAGAGATATACACATTTATGTCTCACTCTATAATTTAATTTCTACCTACATTTATTTGTTTATTGTATTTTTGGGGGCAATTAATTGTATGCTTATTTATTTATTTACTGAGAATTTATTGATTTATGCATTTATTTTTAAATATGGCAGAGTAGGTCCTCCATACAACAGGAGTTTTAACTTACTTGGCGAAGTAACAGGTCAAACGATCCAGCAGGGGGCGCTAATCCAATGAGAAGACCGCCAAAGGAAAAGCAGGAAGCGAAGAAGAAACTATAAACGTCACAATTCAAAACAATACTGGAAGTTAACCGTGCTGTTTGTTTGCGTGTTTGTTCTATGAAAATATGTCTCAAGCGAAGCCAGACAAAGACAGCCAAGCGTCAGAAGCCAAGAAGGCGATCTCTCTCCCGATCTCCAGAGTCAAGCTGATCATGAAGAGCTCCCCAGATGTCTCAAGCATCAATCAGGACGCTCTCTTCCTCACCACCAAGGCTACTGTAAGCAACTGTTGTAGGCTAAACTAGAGGGTTTACTATTAGCTTCTCTCCGTTCAGTGACTTATAAAAAATACCTAAAGTTTTATTTAGCTTTCTAATTGACTAATGTTGTTGTTGCTTTTAAAGGAGCTGTTTGTGCAACACCTGGCTCTGACCTCCTTTAACAACGGCTCCGGGAGGGAAGCTAACACGCTTGACTACAGCGATCTGGCTAAAACCGCAGAAGAAACCGACACTTTCCACTTCCTCACAGGTAAAACCAGTGGCGGCTGGTGAAAAATATTTTTGGTGGGGCTGATATAGCCTAGTGTATGTCTCCAACTAATCCGGAATAAGAATTCAAATAAACAATTGGACATTACATACAATTTAACAGTAATGATTTAATTTACTATATAATAACAGTAACAGTGATGATTTGGGTCACTGTGACGGGGTTCTTTGGCCTCCAAGAATCCAGTCTCAGTCGGGTTACCGGTGTTGGTGATTTATTGAGCTCAAAAACTCAAAACAGGGTGCAAAAGAAACTAAACATACAAGATACTCTGGGCCTCAGCCTCCCTCCAGTTACCAGCAATGTAACAAAGAAACAGAAAACAAAAATTGCTGCTTTTCTTCCCACAGCCCTCATTAAATAGTTTAAGCCCCTCACATCAGGCTCTCTTATTTCTGATTTCTTCTCATTAATCAGTTTTGTCCATATATTACCTCCACAAACAAGTAATGTACAAAAACAAAAAATTTTTACAACTTAATTCTTTTACACAGATTCATTGACTTATTCAATTACACCAAACTGGGTCTGAACCCAGCAAAGACGCAGCCAGACTGAAGATGACAAGTCGCATAAACACGTACACCCCCCCCCCACACACACACACACACACACGGCTAACCCCACTGAAATATTAAGTGTGCACCCTCAATATGCCAGCAGGTAACCAGGAACAGCTTGTGTGTTTTAAGTTCATGGAGCTACTGGTCTCAGCGCGAGTGTATTGGTCCTCACAAACACAGTATAACAGGAATGTGTGTGTGGCGCGCAAAGTTAGAGAGGTTGTTTTAAGCGACGAGGTGGATTCGTCACAGTCACAATAAGGCTCGGGCACATGACGTCACACGTTGCGCGGCAGCCATATTGATAGCTGGTCAGCCCACTGTTTACACTTTGACTTCGCGCCTGTAAGGACTAGCTTTCTTCTGCTAGTAGTTTGCTTAGTTTTTTGCCGTTTCATTTTACCTCTGCTGTCGTTATGGTCGCCCGTTGCTGTGTCGTAGGGTGTAGCGCAAGCTGTGACTGGACGGGGGAAAAAATCCCAAATGGATTGTCTTTTTACCGTTTTCCAACCTGGAGGCGTCTCAATGGAAAACAAATGTCCTCCATAACAAAGAGTCGCCGGCTAGCATGGGTCGCTGCTGTAAGACGGCCAAATATAACTTTCAACTCAATCCCTGCGTCCATGAGAGTGTGTTCCCGGCATTTTCATTCTGGTAAGTTACAGAACATACTGTTTTTATTCATGTATCATTTCAAGTTAACCGTTGTTGGCTGATCTGTAGCATGTAGCATGAGCTGAAGTAGGGTTGTGTTCCAGAGGGTTAGCCAGGTCCACTGAAACACAAAACAGTTGTCCTACTCTGTTTATTTTGTCATTAATAGTTTATAATAGGGTTAATAGTTTTGGTTGTTTCACCAGGAAAGCCAGTAGATACATTTTTGATGTTTTACGTTAGTGCCAGCACCTAGTCTTATCACCACAACAAACACCACACCATGTTGAGACGGTAGCTTACCTTGGCTCTGATGACTGTGTTCTCATTCGGCTTGATAACTTCCATGTCATGAACTTTTCCATCTGTCAGCTGTTTGTAAGCCTCTAGCGACTTGTAGCAGCGAAACTCTTCATGTGTGTAGGCACTGACGCCACACACTACATACGAAAATATGTCCTCCCTCGCAAACGGCGGTAGAAATTCTTCCCCAACGCACCACTCCTTGCTTTCTACTTCGTAGGGATCAAGTCCGTTTATGAAGCCCATCTTTTGCAGATAACGGTCCCTGGCTTCCCTCTGCAGTGTGTCTCGGTATATTCCGCATCCTTTCTTCGCTTTTAACATCGCTGTTTACTCGTCTTTCTGCTCTGTCTCTATGCTGTTTTAGGTCTTTGTTTACCGTAGCAACTAGCTACCAATATGGCGGCGTACCCAGAATGCAACGCGCTGTGCCCGAGCCTTATAACCATGACATGAAATGTTCATATCCTACAACAGGGATATTCTTCTGGCAAACGGGTAGATAAATAAGGATCTCACCGAATTTGGTGGAAGCTGCATCTCGGTCGTTACATTCGCCATCTTCCCTCTAACTGTCTGCACCTGCGCTTGGGTTCAGAAGCCTGTTAAAGCGCAGTATTTTCAGCGCCCCAATACCATAAAGTTCTGAGACGCTGATTGGCCATTAAATTCACCTAGCAATAGTACATGATTGACAGATTCTCTGCAAATGTGGGTCAGTCTGATCAGCGCCCCCAGAACAGAGACGGTAGGAGTCTGTCTGTGGAAATCCACAAATTAATGACAGTAGATAGGGAAATGTAGTTTATATAATTCGTTTTGCTTATAGGTACACAGTCTAGAGAGTAAAACTGACATTTATGAGTTAATTTCTAAAAATATATTTTACGTTTCTGTCTTCTTATCAGGGAGGGCGGTGCCCCAGCGCCCCCTATGGGCCGGCCGCCACTGGGTAAAACCCTCTGTCACACCTAAAGCCAACAATAACATCAGTCTCCAGCTGCTCATATTGAGGCATTGGGTTGCCATGCAGAGTTTTTTCTCTCTTTTCTTTTCAGGTTTCTCATTATGGCTGCAACTAAAGACCATTTCGCAAATAGATTAATCGTTTTTTAGATTAATCGACTAATAATCGGATAGCCCATGTTCTCCCTAAGCATGCGTGGGTTCTCTCCGGGTACTCCGGCTTCTACCACAGTCCAAAAACATGACTGTTAGGTTAATTGGCTTCTCTAAAATTCTCCTTAGGTGTGAGTGTGTGTGCAAATGATTGTTTTTCTCTGTGTTGCCCTGCGATGGACTGGCAACCTGTCCAGGTTGTAACCTTCCTCTCGCCCATTGACAGCTGGAGGCACATGCATCCCTCGCGACCCCACCCCGGATTAAGCGTGTTTGAAAATGGATGGATGGATGGATGGATGGAATCCGATTGCCACAGATTCCTTATAGAAGAGTTTTTTAGAAATCAAACCAGGTGAAACTACAACTTTCCCACTTGAGGAGATCTGGAAAGAGCATATTGACAGATGAAAACTTTTTTTATTAATTTTTATCTTAAATGGCAAATGTTTACATATATATTTTTTACAATTTTGGAATAATTACTGCTCTGTCTGTCAGCCCGTACACATACAGCACTTACACATTTTAGAGTCTCTACACTCCAGTTAACGATTAAACGATTACTAAATTAGTTGACGATTATTTCAATAATCGATTAATCCGATCAGTTGTTTCAGCCTTTGTTCTCATATTTTATTCCCCAGAAACAAATAAAATGATCTGTATTACCAAAACAGGGCAGATAAAATCCTGCACAAACACAGCTGCATTAAACAAACCAAAAGATTAACCTTTTTTTGGATATGGAGAATAAAACTTCAATCTAATTATTGGACAAGTGTTTATTTTACACTCTATTATTATGGTTAGCAGTGGAGCGTTGATGTGCATTATTATAGCCATTAGAATACAATCAAAAACCATTTGTTCATTAATCAGCAGCACCTGGCTGCTTCTTTCTGTATTCAACCTTGTTGAAACATTAAGGGTGCGCTTTGTTTTTTCTCAAACCTTTCTGTTTTTAACTTCCTGTTTAAATTAATAAATCATACAGAATCTTCTGTTTGTTCTTACATTTCTGATTGGAGTACAGTGATTGCAGAATCTGATAAAGACTGGATAAAGACTTTTTTATTATGTCCATTCCTTGGATTTAAAGGGTTTATTTTCATTTTCTCCCCTCTCTCTCTCTCCTTTATTTTGTTATATGTAACTATACAGAGTTTAATACGAACAAAATCAGATGCTTTAAATTTCAGATTAATGGAAAAAATATTAATTAATATAGAGAATTTCTGTCATTCCGGCTTCCATCTGCTTATAGAAGATTTTTCAACAGGGTCCTAATAAACCTAATCTAATAAACCCAAATCCATCAAATTGTACAAAGGAAACAAACTAAAAAACTCTTTGTTTTATGTTGAAACCATGTTTGTTTTTTCAATCAAAAATGTAGTGTCATGTGAAACACAGTCCATTTTAACTCTGGTTTTATTAATTTACATAGTCCATACATCCATATATATATATATCAGTTGAATGGCATTATTGCATCATATTGATGATAACTGTAACATTGTATCTACTTTGTACGTTGCTTTGGATAAAAGCGTCTGCTTAATGCATAAACATAAACATGTTTTTTCATTATGGCTTTTTCTACTCTTTTAGTTGAAATCTAGAGAATACTGTACAGGTTTCGTAGATTTCCTGTAACTTTTTTTCTGTCTCGTTTTGATTATTGTTTTTTTTTTTATTATTAATTTTACAGATATTTTGCCAAAAAAGATCCTGGCTCGAGAATATCTCAAATCACTGGAGCAAATGGAAGACGAAGATGCTGATTTTTGACAAGGAGAGGACTTCATTTTTTCTCCTCTCCATGTGGACACTTAAAATGCACACTGCTCTCTTTAAGAGAAAATTTGAGACACAGAGGAGACATATGGACTTCATTAGTACCTGTCGACACACTGAGTTGGTTTATGTAGAGATTGTAAGAAAAGTGATTAGAGGAATTTTAAATTATAAATAAATCCCTCCAAAAACTGAAAAATGTTACTGAGAGTGACTTATAATTCCACACATAGTCCCAGGAGGATTTAACTGATAATACCTACAAAATGTTTTTAACATTGCCCCAAAGAGTAAAGATGTTAGACAACTCATTACTGAGTGAGTCCGTTCAGTTTGACAAGAAATGTTTCCGTTCCAAATCAACAGGTTTTGCTTTGACTGAAGCACACCTTTTGAAATATTGTCATGTTAAAACATAACAAGACATGTATACGGTCTCCTGCTGGAAGGTGAACTTCTGCTCTAGTCATAGGTCTACCATAATCGCAAACATACTGTATGCAATATGCATATTGCAAACAATTTCTTCGACTTTGAAAAGCTTAAGCTAACTACTTTAGTACCATGCTCTCAGATTGCAGTGAGTTTTGGTTTAAGGAGGCAGAAATATGGTATTGTCTGTCGAAGAAAGACATCAGGCATTTAAGTCTAAATTTATATGTAAGTGGGAAATGGCCTTGACTTATATAGTTAGACTACATTCAGTCGTTCACGCACACACACACACTGATGGTTGCAAGCTACAATGTAGCCACAGCTGCCCTGGGGCTCACTGACAGCAGCGAGGCTGCCATACATTAGCACCACCGGGCCCTCTGATCACCATCAGTAGGCAATGTAGGTGAAGTGTCTTGCCCAAGGACACAACACTTGAAAGCCAGAGTTGGGGCTTGACCCGACAACCCTCCGGTTGCAGGCCGTTCAATCTGTAATCAGATCATTCACTGATAGTATCTAATATTGCATATGTTCCTCTTATTTTGCAGCCATATATATTTCTGTGTTTCACAATGTGGTGCTTTCAAGGTCCACCTCTAAATAATGTTTAACAAATTAACAGCAAAGCGAATTTTGATCTTGCTCGACTATCGTAATGTCCATAAATGTCCAGTGGATAAAGGTAAACAGTGAATGTTATTGCTTTTTTCTCCCCTTGAACGATAAACGTTGTCCTGTTTGCTAATTCTCATATGGTGGCTGTGGAACTGTGAAATGTAACTTCATTTAGGACCAGTATTCTGTGTTGCTATAGTAATGAAGCTGTTATCTTACACACCTCTACGGCCTTCACACTCAGATCATAGAACAGCCGCTTTTATCTGGAGATAAAATCTGTGAAATTCTAATTGTAGATTGCATTGAGTGAAGAGGGCTGAATAAAAATCTACACCAGACTTTTTATATTTTTGCTTTTTAAGGAAAAAGTAAAAAAAAAAACAGATTATTTTCCTTCTCAGTTCAAAATATGTAGCAGTTCAACGTGGGTTGCCTTATAAAACCCAAATGAATTATAGTGAATCTTGCTTGGATTTTGTGTTCTGAGAAACTGAGAAAAAAGGGTTAAGGGTTCTGAATATAACAAAGCAAAGCATCGTGGACCATTTAAGCTCAGGCTTCAACTTGAAGCATGGTTTGGACATACTGGAAGTTATTAACACCCTTCATAAATGTTTTGGACAGATGTCCCGCATGTGACGGACCAAAACATCAAAGTTAGTGTCTTGCATCAGATTACTGTTACTGATTATAGTATCTTTGAAAGCTTTCCCTACATGAAGCTCTGTCTATCTCATTACAGTCTGTAATTGAATAGATTGGAAATGTTTTAAATGTTTCCAGATCCGAATGCCTTATTCTGTTTAGTGTTTGAATTAAAAATACTGTCCTGGAATTTGTCTGACGACAGAGGAAAACTGTCCTGATGCTTGAAAAGTCAAAGTGTGCTGCAAACTTCACAAGGACTTCAGAGTTTAACAAGCTGTTTTATGTGCCTGTAAAATGCCATATGGATCATTTGTAATCATAACCAGTAACAGCCACATGTGTCCATGTTATCACCCCTTTTATTCACTGTTCTTCTTTTGTAGACATCAAAACTAGTTGTGTATGCAACTTCTTATACCCGAGGCGTTCAGAGGAGGTTTCCATTGTTGTCATTTTCCTATAAGTTTGCTGAGTCGGTGGTGTATATTGAGAAGAGTTTTCTCTAAAGTAGAAAACCGGCTCTCCAGGTTGTTTGCCATGACCTCTTTTCCATGTATGGCGTCCTTCGTGTTGGCTAGACGGTCCTTTATGCTGTCAGGAGGGAAAAATCAAACAGACATTTGAGGTTCTTGTGATCATAAGTCTACTCAGATTCAAGTATGATTAAAGTCACAACAGTTTATTTGAACCAGAGCTTCGTTTCAACCAGATTGTCTTTTTGGTAAATGCTATCCCATGACTGAGATGTTCCTTGGGAAAGCACAATAAGCCAACTGATCCAAACCTCATAAAACCCATTTCTAATTAAGGACTAACCACAATATCTGCATCTGAATCTGTTTTTGTGTTAGTGTCTAACTGAAATATCATGCTTTTGATACTGCTGTCTCAGTAATGGGACAAAGACACTTCATCCTGCTTTCATGGTCAGATTTCAGTAGGTGGTAGTCAAATAAAGCAGAATTACAGAGTAACCAGGACCCATCATTGGCCAAAACCAGACAGGGATAGTTTGTATGAAGAGAAACTATGAATTTACTGTACTGGATAAGGGGTAACTAACACAATCAACTAATGTATTTATAAAAAACAGATTTTTATCAAAAAGGATAAATATGAATGATCTTAACTACACACCACTCTATAAACCTATAGTTTTGATGTGTGAGAATCGACATGCAAAACCTATACACAGTCTGAAAGCTATTAACCATAGAAAACGGCGATCCTTCTAACCTACTTTTTCTCAAAGGTATAGTGGAGGCTTTTTGCAATTTAAAAAAGAAAAAGACCCGACCTCTCCAATTAAAAAAAATAAAAATGCATATGCACAACCCTGTACCCGCTCCCAAGTGGGAACACCTATTAAACGCGCACGACAACAGGCAGGAGCCCATTTCTCTTTGTGCACGCTCTGTTTAAAAGTTGCTGTTTGCATCTCTCATTCAAGCTTACTTTCCAAAAGATTTGCAATTTTTCCACTATGTCAGACTCACCACCGGTAAGTGAAAATGGGGACGAGCATGTAGGACGGTCTTACGTAAACATATCCGCAGAATGATTGACAATTAAGAGGACCACTTATTTTGATGATCCACCCGTAAAAAGAACATCCTCCACTATACCTTTAAGTATAAGATTTTATAATGCAACAATTTGGTAGGATAGAAAATTCTTCAGGATATTCATAAAGCAATAAGAAAATTTTTTTTGGTGAACATCCAAGAATTGTTTGAAAAAAAGGAAAAATAAAGGTTCAAAACCAAAATTTTGGGCTGAAATGAATTAAAATACGTATATAATGCTTTTAGTACTATAAAATGTAATCATATTAAATGTAGATAACTGAGAAAAGCTGGATGTAAATAATCAGAACTTAAAAATACTAAGGGGCAGATATAAAATTACTTTTCTTTGTATTCTTTTCATTCAAGATGAATTAGTTGGTTGTGTATATTGTTGTGTACTTGAAACTTATTTTTCTACAAAATTAAATTGAATGATTAAAAAATGTGTTGGACTAAAGTAATACTGTAAAGTAGAGCGCTATCAATATCGTTGCTGAAGCATGAGGACAATATGGGTCATCTAGGGATTTTTTTCCTGTATTTAATGACGTTTAATTAAAAATGTAATTTTAAAGAGATTACGCCCTCAAGGATTTGTCTGTAAAAAATGTAAATATTTGTGTCTTTTCATATTCCTGGTACAAATGATTTTCTAAAACAGCTGTTTATCGAAATAAAGTTTTTATAACTGTTTTATGTTTTTAACAAATTTAATTTGTCTACATTTTTATCGTAACTTAAATTTTCCTGACTTGATGAGAATGAAAAAGTTGTGCTGGTTCTCACCTAGAAAGAAAACTCTGCTCCTTCCCCTCTCTTCTTTTCTCCTGCAGAGAGACAAACACGGTCTCCATGGTTTGCACCGTCTCCGTCACCTTCTGATGGTCTGACAGGATGCCCTGGACCTCCTCTCTGGCTTGCTGGTTGTAGGATATCCTCGTTTCCTCCACCCCGCTCTGGTCAGACACAGCCTGCAGCGCTGCCCTGTTCTGCAGGACAAGCAGACGGGACTTTGCAAACTCCTCAGGATCTGCTATGTTTTCCCAGCACACTGGAGACGATGGTGGTAACCAGAACCGCTGGGTGCAATTGACTGGGCTTTCTTTAATGAAGGAGCTGTCAGCAGGGAAGTTGTGGAAGAGATGCAGCAGAGAAGATCCAGATCCTTCTTCCCAGTCCTCAAACACAGATTCCCCTGATTCTTGTTCAAGTGGAACGTCCGATCTGACATTCTCTGTTTGGGAGCAGATACCCAGCAGGAGGAAGCAGAGCCAGGTCCTGCTAACCATCCTCCAGAGCATCTCCAAACTGCCTGAAATAACCAACAAAATTAAAATACATTTAATTTCTGGGATGATTTTTAATATTTGTCAAGAGCTTTCATGTATTAAAAAAATAACCTGAAAAGCTGATATTTTATTTGCATCTTCTTTTTTATAATCAGAATTTAAGAAGTTGTCACTAAGGAAGGCGTATTTGCAACGGGGGCATGAATACAATATAGGTTCATTTCCATGAGAAAAAAATGAATATTTACCTCAGTATTTCTATTTGAGGACTGAAATTCACCAAGGATGTTATTTTCTAGTTTAATCATCATGGCGTCCAGCTAATGAAATTCTAAAAATTGTTTTTAAGAATGCTAGAATATCACATAAGGCAGATAATTATTATTTTTACTCAGAAATGTCCGATAACCTAAGCTATAGGCAGACATTGACATGCTCTATAAGGAGAGTGTGTGAATAGGTTCATAGTTAAAGAAGCCAGCTGTTCACAAATTGCTGTTTCCAAGCATATCAAAGGATGTGAGCAGGAGATGTGTCTACAAAAAATATGTATGAAGAACAAGGAGAAAGTGTTGGGAGACTGTGGTGGAAAGGATAGTGAAGAGATTTTAGTACTGCAGCTGATGCAGAGAAGAGCCGTCCCAAAGACGTACCCAGAAAACAGGCTTTCCTTATCTTAAGCTGCTCTTTAACCACAGACCATCAGAAATGTCTAACCTGAGGTAAAATAATATATAAGCTGTGATGTTTCTAAGTGGTTCAAAACTCTTATTTTCAGATGAAAGCATATTTTTTTTATTTAATTTGGAAATCATGAGCTGAGAATCTGGAGCATGGAAACCCTGTTCCCTGCTGGCTTTGGTCTCCTGTGTTTGAACAAGTCCAAAGCCAGCTGGATCCTCCAAAAGGATTAGAAATGAGAAATATGTGTGTGACCAGCTCTGTTCTTAAATTACGTGACATTATGTGTGAGTTTCTAAGGTGTCTCAGCCTACTTCATCCTGTCAGAAAGGTTCTATTTAAGTCATTATTTGACTCTGCTGGGTGGATAGATAGAACTCAGCTGTATTAAAACAGTTTATTCATGACTTCACATGAGACAACAGTTTTATTTTTTTTTATCTACTCAAGTTATCTTTGCATTAAACTCACATTAAAGTTTAGTTGATGATCTGAAACCTGTATGTGCGTCAACAAGGGAAAAAACAAAACGTTTTCAGATTTTCACAACACTGTAAACTACATGCCAAAACTTCTCAGTTTGCATCTCTTCATTTAACAAATTACAGCTCTCTAAAAGAAGGTTCATTCGTAAACTTTTGTTTGCTGGAAGCCTTATCCTGTAAAATCACAGAAGCAACAAAAATCTGGCGAAAAACTTTTTCCTGATACACTTGTATTCAATCTACGCAAAAACCCTTTTTGAAATAGTTTTCATATTTCCTTTCCAACTGGCTGTGTCAAAATAGTCGTGTCGTTGTAGCTTTATGGTAGCCAGAAACCCCCCCCCCAAAAAAACAGCAAAGTAACTGATAAAAACTAAACAAAAAAAAAAAAAACATCCCTCATCTCCAACTCTGACAAATACAAACATAATAGCATTACTATTAGAGATTCAAATGTCTGTATTGTTGGTAAAAGGTCTTACCTTTAGGGAAACAACAGCCGACGTGTGTGTCTGTGTGTGTGTTGCTTCTCTGGAGCCTGAAGCTGTTGGAAAAAATGAGTCGACTGCAGCCTCTAACATCCAGTCTGAAGGGCTTTCCATTGGCTCGGGTACAGCAGAGTCAGCGCCAAACTCTGTGGAGGGAATGATGAGAAACTTACCTCAAATTAGAGACAGAAGGGTTTCTTGTTTACAGTTACAAACGTCTGGCCTGAAGAAATGTGTGTGGCAAATCTTTCTTTCTACTACTTGTTTAATTTGTGTGCCTAATTTATTTCTGCATTAATTTGCACTTGATGAATGCTAATCTGTCTTTAATCTTCTATTTTCATCTTCCATGTTGTATTATTTGCATTTGGCACAAGGTGGGAGTGATGCTCCTGGTATTTATCAGCCCTTTTTATATGTCCTGAACAGAAACAGACGGGCTTCAGTTTGGGCCCGGTTTCAAGGGCTGAGTAATCTGTTTCCACTTATAGTTTGGGACGAAAAAGACATGAAAGTTATGCAGATAAAGTTAGAAAAAACAACAGTTTGCACAGGAGAAGAATTCATTTTGTCCGACAATTGCACTCTGACACAAGCAACAAGGAATGGGACAAGTTTTGGCAAAAACAAGCAGGAGTGTTGGAGCTGATTTCATGAATCACTAAACACTATCAGATAGAAGACTAGTAGCTTTAATCATAAATTATAGAATATGATCTCTTAAACCGGACATCCACCTAATCATATTTTTTTTTCTGTCGCTTTAAGACCAGGGCATGGATCCTAAATAATTAAATTTCAGCCTCAGTAACACATGGAAGAGAAATGCTGCTGTCAGATTTGGTTCTGTGTGAAAACAGAAATAATATTGACAAGAGCAAGTGTCCAGTCACTGCATCGCTGGGTACCAGATGTATCTTTGCAGGCCAAACTAGTCTGAACATCCCGTTTTTTTCATTGACATCTGTTCACTCACCACAGGGGTCTTCAACGTTTTCCAGGCCAAGGACCCCCAAACTGATGGCGAGATGGAGCGGGGACCCCCCTAATTATATATACTGGTCCTATAGTCACTCTATTACAGATGGAGTAATGTAACGAAAGTAATTTCGCCCTGGGATCATTAAAGTATCTCTGATTCTGATTACTTGTTGATGGGACAGGTGTTGTGAATAATACGGTGCCCAGATTGAAAGTACTTCTGTGTGTCGCTGAATGTGTGCATTGATGACTGAAAGACATCTTCTGCCTCCATTTATCCGTTTACCACTGTGTGTTGAATTTGTGTTGATGTGTATTTAAAGACCTTGAAATTAGTGGAAGAAATTGCAAGGGGGAATATAAAAAAAAAAAAAAAAAGTCTAATCAGCCAAAACGTTCAGGAATCCCCATGCAATATAGGGGTTACGGACCCCCTTCTGAAGACCTCCAACTTAGTAAATGGTAAATGGTAAATGGCATGTACTTATATAGCGCCTTTATTCAAGTTAGGAGACTTGACCAAAGCGCTTTACACTACATTCATTCACCCATTCACACACACACTCACACACTGATGGTGGCAAGCTACATTGTAGTAGTAAATGACACAAGGCATTTGAAATGATACATCAAGATACATTCATACACAAATGAAGTATCATAAAGAAAGAAAGAAAGAAAGAAAGAAAGAAAGAAAGAAAGAAAGAAATTTAATTTGATACAAAAGTGCAAAGTGACCAAGGATAGCATGGTCAATGGTTTGAAGTCCGTCGATTATATCATTAATGCAGCATTCTTTTGACTCCTGGTCTGTTCAGGCCTGTAAACGGGTACATTTTTTAAAAATCAAGTATTTGAAAGATATATTTTATGAGTTTCTAATGTTCAATTTTATGTTATTGGTTGTTGGCCATTGTACCAATGCTTTGGGTTGATCTCCTGCTCTCATTACGATCCCTTTATTCTGTGGATGCTTCAAGAGGAAACTCAAAACTTCTCTTTCACAAAGCTTTTAGCAACTCCCCTATTTTATAATGACTTTTATATTATGATGTTTTTTTTTTACTGTCTTATCATTTAAATCTGTGTGTTTGTAAAGCACTTTGTAACCCTAATGTCTGTGAAAGATGCTATATAAATAAACTTCTATTTACTTAAATTATTCTTGGTATAAAAACAATTATTAGATGACATTCTAATGAAGACGTTCCCTCCGGATATAACGGAGATATCTCTTTCAGTTTTAAGGAGATATAAAAATCAGTTGAGACAGGAAAATATTACACAAACTGGTTTAGAAAAGCTTTGAAGAAACTGGTCCTCTGAATTAAACTGGGCCTCACCCAATACTAACTGCTAAAACAGATATATTTAAAATCATGCAAAGTAAAAAAAAAAAAAAAAAAAAAAAAAATCCTTATTCACATTAAAATGCAATGATTTTTCTCTTTAGTTTATGGCATAAAATGTTGCACAAATATTTCCCCATCTGGACTATTTCATATCTTCATTTCTGGCTAAATTTAGCTCATCCAGTCAGATCCAGGAGAACAAAGCAGAGCCATGTTTTACTCTTTGAACCTGTTCCCTCTCTGCTTTTTTAGACAGTGGTAATATCCCTGCTAGTTTCTAGGACATTTAGCATTGGATAAGCTCTCAGAAATGTTACTGTTCTGTGGATTTTGGGCAGCTCGTCACATCCTCTGGTTCCAGTCTGTCAGTCGCTCCACAAACAAAACCAGAAATACTTTACTGCTTTCAGCTGTCATGTTCTGAGCTGCTGCAAAGGGAACTGCAATATAGACTGAAAACATGGAGGTCTTTGGATTAAAAACATTTTATCTCAACAGGGTGGTTCTTATTGTCCATATAATGTTTGTTTTTTCTGACCAATATATGATTTCAATGGCTTTCATTTAGCTTATAATTATACTTTGTTTTACTATTGGCCTGTACATGTATTCAGCTTTACAAAAGTATTTATAAATGTTTATATTTTTGTTACTTTACTTTATTATTTTCATTTCGAGCAAAAGAGCAACACTAAGTGGTATTTGTGAAACAAAAGAGCAGATAAGGAAATAAAAAATGCACTATAATGTTAGATCATTATAGCATTATGAAGAAGGGTACAGTATGCAGGTCAGGTATGGATCTGTGAAGGAGTTGAAAGCAGAGCGAGATAATTAGACAATGTCCCAGGCTTTGAAACAAAAACAAAACAAAAACAAAAACGGACTTTTCAGTTCATCCTCAATTGCTACAACTGCAAACATAGCAATCCACAACTTCCTATGACAACTAATAGAAAGGAGGGTATTAATCAGAAAAGCAGCCAGGAGGCTCATGGTAACTCTGGAGGAGCTGCAGAGATCCAACATTTAGAGACATGAATCTGAATGTGGTTATTTAAAAGACTTCTCATTTGCTGTTCATTCATTAGAACTGGTATAGATGGAATAATGGGTCCCCTCCAACTTCATATTTTTTCTTGGAGCAATTGGCTTCCTTTTTACCTCTGAAAAAAAGCTAACCTAGGAGAAATATAACCATGGTTATTGTTTTAACAAGCTCTGGCTGCCCTTACTTTATGGATTGGAGAGTGTCTGAAATTTCATATTGAATGTAGAATTCACTGCCTGTTGCATTTAACCATGACTCTTACTCTGAAGTTATAGGTGTGGATACAGGAGTGTACATGGATATGCATGTACTTCTCTTTTTTATTTTTCCTACTTATGTCATTCCGTAAAAATTCAAAAAATATCCACTGGACTTGGTTTTCAAGATTTGAAGACGTTTCGCCACCTCTCCAGGAAGCTTTCTCAATTCAAATGTCTGGATCCGCAGTGAGTTTGAGTCATATATAGAACGCCTTGTATCGCTTGGAAACATGCAATGGTGAAAACCAAGTCCAGTGGATATTTTTTGAATTTTTACGGAATGACTATGACCTGGATGACTGAGAACCTTCATCAGCATATTCCTACTTATGTGTTTTATTTAATTATTGCATGCTTGTTTTTGTTTTGTTTTAGGAGGGAAGGAGGGTTGCACAAAGAGAAACCATAAAGAATTGAGATCTACTAGTTTGCATGATATAATTAGAATTCCCTTTATGAAATAAAAGTGAAGTCAAAAAAATAGGTAAAGATTGCAGGGGCTGTAGTGACAGTAATATACTCTGGGTAAACAGAGGCTCTTAGGGGTTAATATTTAAACAGAGGAACCTAAACCAGGGAGTGGGTGGAGGTTCTCCTATTCGTAAGACAATCAGAGGTAGCCAAGAACTGTACTTAAATTAGAGTAGCACTATCATATTTTTATTTTAGTAAAAGTAAAAAGTAGCCTTTTAAAAAAAATCTGTCAAGTTACAGTAAAATTGTATTAAGTTAAAAGGCTAAAGTAGTGAATAGCTGATTTACTTACTGATCAAAACAGCTGATTTAATATATATAAGATAATGTAAAATTGGGGCTGCCTTGCAGCAAGAAGGTTCCTGGTTCGTATCCCGACCCGGGGTCTTTCTGCATGAAGTTTGCATGTTCTCTCTGAGCATGTGTAGGTTCTCTCCAGGTACTCTGGCTGCCTCCCACAGTCCAAAAACATGACTGTTAGGTTAATTGGCTTCTCTAAATTCTCCGTAGGTGTGAGTGTGAATGGTTGTTTGTTCTGTGTGTCTCTGTGTTGCCCTCCAATGGACTGGCGACCTGTCCAGGGTGTACCCCGCTTCTCGCCCGTAGACAGCTGGAGATTGGCACCAGCACCCCTCACAAGCCCGTTTGGGATTAAGCGTGACAGAAAATGGATGGATAATGTCAAACATGAACAAAATAGTTAGTGATATGCAAATTCTGGAGTTTCAAAGAATAAGATGAAAATAAACATACACCATACAGAAATTACACAATGAAACATTAGGTAGATTTAACACTCTTCACGATACTTTTTTTTTTGCTAAAGAAATCAATAATTCCAGTATCTAGAATAGAGTCAATTACAGTATACTGTTTACTGTATTTTCACTTAACCTCCAAGTGACTCGGCAGATGGAAAATAACATTAAGCCAATAAGCCTAGAGTACAATAATAAAGAAAGTGTGTCTCTCAATGGTCCATATAAGTTTAACCACAATGGATGGAGTGGCCAGGAGTTTTACTCAATTAGTGATACTTATCATATTTTTATTTAAGTAAAAGTAAAAAGTTAAATTCTGTAAAACTCCTTCCAAAAGTACTTTTTTTTTCTTCAAAAAGTAACTCAAGTAAATTAGTAAATGTTACTAGTTACTACCCGCCTCTGAGGTAAATAACTTGAAACATGCTGGCAGAGCGATTAAGAAATAGTTTTAAATCCTATCTATAAAAAAATGCTCCAGTAAAAGTCTGGACATACATCTAATGATGAGGACTTATAATGAAAATTGGTGTTTAAATAAAAGCTGAGTTAAGTTTCCTTAGGATGTTTACAGAGTTTTTTTTTTTTTTATATATATAAGTACAGACTTCAGTTGAAAAGACATAAACATCGGGCCTTTTTAAAAAATATATAAATAAAAGTTATTTACTAATTAATGCCTGACTAATAGTTGTACTGCCTCTCAATAACTGATCACCATGTGGGGTTTGGTTGCTTCTCTGTGTATGCATTGTTTGATAAATAGATAATTTTTCAACAAAAGGGGTAACAACTGGATTTATTCTGGGCTATAAGATATAATGTATGTGCTTCCTTTGGGTGGTCATTGCATTGCATTTAAAAGAATTCACATATTCGTCATCGTTAAAAATGCTTTTTTTAAGTACTAGGAGCTGCAATTTCATTGGTAGTACAGCAGTGACACCTAGTGGCGATAACTAGAAACTGCTTTTTTGACGCGTTTGATGAAACTATCCTCTGGAATTCAACGACCTTTATTAGGTGACCTTTTTGCTAAAATTTAGTAAAACATATTGAAGCATCTGTATTAAGTGTAATAATCTTATTTAAAGGGGATTTCTCGAGCTTTTTTAATGCCAAATTCCAGTGGAGAGGGGAGGGGATCTGCGCGGAGCTCCGCCTTCCCCTCCAGCTTGCCGTCGTCATCGCGGCTGCAGGACCGGAGCAAGTAGGCACCAACAAGCAACAGCAGCTGGGCTGCAAACCCCACCACCTCCACCACCTCCTCTCAGTGCCGTGGGAAGACTCAGAGCAGCGGCCAGGAGCTTTGCCACGCCGGCAGACATGGCCTCCGACGGCATGGACGAGCGCTCTCCGCTTCTGTCGGCCCCAAACTCGGAGAATGTGACCCCCACTGCTCCCCCGTACCTGCAGGATTCAAGTCCCCGAGGTAAACACAGTCTGCGGATCCCCCCACCCTCCCCTCGCTCCCTGCATTTCTGTCTGCATGCATGCTGAATCATTTTCAGGGCGTATCGGGTTTGTGCGTAAATAAACGCGCAGCAAGGCGAGGGCATCGGCTGGAAATCCGACGGCAGCTGACACAAAGGTGGAGCTTGGACTGTGAGAACTGGAGCAGTGAGTTAGAGAAGAGAGGAGAGGGGCCTACAATAACACCAGCCGTTTACTTAGAGCACCAATGCGACTTAATCGAGTCCCCAACCTGATGTATTTAAGGAGGACATCAGTAATAAGAAAATATGTGAATCCAGCTGGAAATGTGGGGGTCAATGTGTGTTTAAGAAGACGGGGCACTGCAGATACAAGCAGGCCTTCAGCCTTTTAGATGAGAAAAAAAAAACAGTGATTTATTGCAATGGATAGCAGCTGATCAACAGTAAGCATTTTTATAGGATATTTGGTCTCAATGCCCAACAAATGGTTTCAATACTTAAGAAGATTAGAAGATGGGAAAGTAAGATGTGACTATCTATAGAATACAGACCAGAATTGTCAGTTTTTCTATTTAATTTCAGATCAGCAGGTCAAAAAACAAAACAAACAAAAAAGCAAAAATCAGATTTATTACCCAGTCTGGTAAAAGTAAATAGATGGATCAAGACCAAAAAGTCCCATTTGTTTCAGCCATGAGAGTGCCCTATCATCTGAGAATGGATATGATCAGTCCTGATCACTGGACTCCCACCAATCAGTCCACCAATTTCCCTTGTTTGGGTCTGATAAGCAATCATCAGGTAAAGCAGTGAAAAATCTTAAACAGGCTCTTCAATAAATGCATCAAAAGGAATAAATACCTCTGTCTTTGGTTTATAAACTCATAAACCATCAGCAAAGACACCTCTCTTTCATTTCTAGCTAAAATTGGTTGTTTTTCTGATAGCATGTTTGGATATGAAATTGTATTTAAATAAAAAAAAATCCCTTTCAAAGCTGAATGAATGACTTAATCCTGGTGATGAACCAAATCAGCCCAAATACTGAACTTGATCATGTTTAGGTATAAAGTTTAATAAGTTAAAAAAGATTTTTCATACTACCGTTAGTTAATGTGTGTTTTTTTTTTTTTAAACAAGACCTAGTTTGTAAACATAAACAATATGCTACTGAATGATAACAGGCTCTTAAGTTGCATATCTGTTGCTGTTCCAGCATTACTTGTTTGAAAGTGTTTGGTGAAAAATTTGTGCGTTTAGGCCAGGGTTCGGCTTCGTGTGGACGGGGCCTTACTCTAATAATTTTGGATGTTAAAAAAAGCATTTCTACAGAAGACATTGTTGGAGCTTGAACGTTATGATAAAATATAAAAACCAGGTAACATTTTTTAAATATAGCCTACCACAAAGTGATTTTTGAAGCATTTCAGGAATGAATTCTTTGTCTGGTCCAGTCCTCTTCCTTCTTCGATGTGATTTTGTTCCAAGCAGCGTTCTCAAATAGTCCAAATGATTTTTCTGCAGCCTTTCAGAACTCTGCAGAAAAACCCTTTCACATGTTTTAAAGTAAAAAAAAAAATGCTGTAATTAAAAATGTGATTACAGAATGAAAAAGACAAAGAAAAATTTATTGAATGGAATTCTTATAAGTTGACTTACACCTTATGTGATGTAACCGTTTAGATTTTAATTAGGTAACACTTTACAACAAAAGTCAAGAATTGGGTTAAAAGATGACCATTAAAACTTGAGTAATGCGTGATCAAACATGTGCACATTCTTTCTGCATTGTCCGTGTTGGATTTAGCTTGAGGCTTTACTTAAATCCACTGAAAAAATTTGCCTCATCCAGATCAGAGCCTCAGATTTAGGTTTCTTTCAAACAGAGAAGTCCTTTTAGTGTCAGTTTGTCTGGTTTTACTAGAATGAGGGCTCTTGTTTGTTTTCTTTTTTTTGTACCTAGCATTTATGCAGCTGCTGTGTAGAAAATAAATGAATGAATGAATTCTGGTTGCATTTCAGGGCTTCTTATAAATTTATGTTTTAATAATTTAGACTTTAAAGAGCTATGAAATGACAGTCTGTGTGACAGTGTCTGTGTAAACCCCTAAATCTATTTTTTTTTGTGTGTGCCAGTTTTCTCCCCTTCGCCCTTTGCTGCTCAGATTATTCTGTAATCCCACGCAGACATTTTTTTGCCTGTTAATCAGTCAATTTGTTAAGCGGATTAATTTTGTCTCAACCCTTATGGCATTTTAAAACACGTCTGATGGTTAAAAACCAGCTGAAATTAAGATATTATGTGAAAAACACTTTATTTCCTTTCATTCTTTTTTATTTCTTTTGCTCTAAGCAAAATAAAGTTCAGATCTGTTGCGTTTACTTTAATATGGTTTAAAGCTGGAAACCTGACAGTTTGATTTTTATATTTTGAGCAAACGAAATCCAACAAATGTCTTTGCAAGAAGCCTAAACCCTACAGGGAGATTATGTATGAATCTCACCATAGAGCTTCTATATAATCTAGAAACCAGCAGTAGATTTTCCATTTGGGTTTTAAAGTTTGGCTATTGCTGTGTTATATGAGACCCAAATGTAAGAAAAAAAGAAGGAACAGACCTGTTTGAGAACAGGTTTTACTTACTGGTCTTACGATGATTACGATATTTGCTTGTTTCCATGCTTAGTTACAGATTAGGGCTGGAATTAAGGATTATTTTGCAAATCAATCAATCTACCATTTATAGTTTCAGATTAATTGATTAATTTTTTTAATGAAATTAAAACTTGAGGACTTCTGGATAGAGCAAATTGACAGATAAAAAAGTAAAAAAAATTTTTTTTAACCTAAATTCAAAATATTGATATATATTAATTTTTTTTTTATAATCTTGGTATACAGGTGCTGGTCATAAAATTAGAATATCATGAAAAAGTAGATTGATTTCAGTAATTCCATTTAAAAAGTGAAACTTGTATATTATATTCATACATTACATACAAACTCATATATTTCAGATGTTTATTTTGTTTAATTTTGATGATTACAAATGACAACAAATGAAAATCTCAAATTCATCATATCAGAAAATTAGAATATTACTGAAGACCAATAAAAACAAAGGATTTATAGAAATGTTGGCCAACTGAAAAGTATGAACATGAAAAGTATGAGCATGTACAGCACTCAGTATTTAGTTGGGCCTCCTTTGGCCTGTATTACTGCAGCAATGCGGCGTGGCATGGAGTCGATCAGTCTGTGGCACTGCTCAGGTGTTATGATAGCCCAGGTTGCTCTAATAGTGGCTTTTAGCTCTTCTGAATTGTTGGGTCTGGTGTATTGCATCTTCTTCTTCACAATACCCCATAGATTTTCTATGGGGTTAAGGTCAGGAGAGTTTGCTGGCCAATTAAGAAAAGGGATACCATGGTCCTTCAACCAGGTACTGGTAGCTTTGGCACTGTGTGCAGGTGCCAAGTCCTGTTGGAAAATGAAATCTGCATCTCCAAAAAGTTGGTCAGCTGCAGGAAGCATGAAGTGCTCTAAAACTTCCTGGTATGTGGCTGCGTTGACCCTGGACCTCAGAAAACACAATGGACCAACACCAGCAGATGACATGGCACCCCAAACCATCACTGACTGTGGAAACTTTACACTGGACTTCAAGCAACGTGGATGAAGTGCCTCTCTTCTTTTCCTCCAGACTCTGGGACCTTGATTTCCAAAGGAAATGCAAAATTTACTTTCATCAGAGAACATGACTTTGGACCACTCACCAGAAGTCCAGTCCTGTTTCTCTTTAGCCCAGGCAAGACGCTTCTGACGCTGTCTGTGGTTCAAGAGTGGCTTGACACAAGGAATGCGACAGCAGAAACCCATGTCTTTCATACGTCTGTGTGTGGTGGTTCTTGAAGCACTCACTCCAGCTGCAGTCCACTCTTTGTGAATCTCCCCCACATTTTTGAATGGGTTTTGTTTCACAATCCTCTCCAGGGTGCGGTTATCTCTCTTGCTTGTACACTTTTTTCGACCACATCTTTTCCTTCCCTTCGCCTCTCTATTAATGTGCTTGGACACTGAGCTCTGTGAACAGCCAGCCTCTTTAGCGATGACCTTTTGTGTCTTGCCCTCCTTGTGCAAGGTGTCGATGGTCGTCTTTTGGACAACTGTCAAGTCAGCAGTCTTCCCCATGATTGTGTAGCCTATAGAACTAGACTGAAAGACCATTTAAAGGCTTTTGCAGGTGGTTTGAGTTAATTAGCTGATTAGAGTGTGGCACCAGGGGCCATCAATTTTGAACCTTTTCACAATATTCTAATTTTCTGATATGATGAATTTGAGATTTTCATTTGTTGTCATTTGTAATCATCAAAATTAAGCAAAATAAACATCTGAAATATATGAGTTTGTATGTAATGTATGAATATAATATACAAGTTTCACTTTTTAAATGGAATTACTGAAATCAATCTACTTTTTCATGATATTCTAATTTTATGACCAGCACCTGTAGTTACTGCTCTAAGTGGGTTGCTCTGTAAGCTTTGTGTTGTTTTAGTGTCTCTATACTCCACTTAATGATTAATTGATTACTAAATTAGATAACAATTATTTCAATAATCAATTAATCACAATTAATTCGATTAATTGTTTCAGCTCTAAAACAGAATTTTTATTTGTACATTTCTAGACTTTTTCTTTCATTGGGTTGTTTTTAAAAAACAAAAAACAAATCTCAATAAAAAAAAAAAAATTTTAAGTATATTTTTTATGATTGGGTTAATAAATTATGAAATACTTTTATCTCTAAGCAAACATAAGTATGTAAGGTCACAAGCAGAGTTGCAGTAATCTGTGTTTAGTGGAAGATAATGTGGGATAAATTTACCACATCTAATTATTTAAAGCTACAGTGTGTAATAATTACAGGGATATACAGTCAGAAATGTAATATATTATACATAACTATGTTATTTATTATCATCTACGAGCTCAGCCTCTTAACCTTAATATTTGCGTTGCCTTAGAATTCGTTATTTATAATTACATTGGAGTGGGTGTCGCAGCCATGGAGGCAGACATCTTTGCGCTACGGCAGCGCAGAGCCAACAAACTAGCGATTGCGAGATCGCCCATTACGCTCGAAAGTAACTACGGCAAGTTGAGAGAGATGAACTGAGACGGTACTGAACAATAGATGGCAGTATTAAAATTATCTATGTAAGCAAACCTCATCACTTGAGAAGGTAGGTGATGCGGACGTTGTGGAAGACATTTTGTCCCGTAACGCTCGCCGTACTGTTGGGGGGGAGAAGCGGTGGGGGGGAGATGTTCATGTTGCTGCGGTCTGCAGTCTGGATGATAGATGTCGCTGAAAATTACACACTGTAGCTTTAAGATTTTTAAACAGAGCTGCTGTGAGTTAGTTAAGATGTCAAAAAGAGGAGATTACAGCAGCAAATTATCTCTTTACCTCTTTGTTGAAGCAGAAGCCATTCATTCTTTTTGTGTTTTTTCATAGTTTGTTAAATTTAAGCTTGTTAAAGCCAAATTGAACCCAGGTTGATTTACAATTATTTTTATAAAACCTTAAAGTTGGTTTCTAAAAGGAAATTACATAAATAACATAATAATTAAATAATAATTACATAAACATAAAATAATGTTCAGGTATGAAGTTTTTACATTTTATATTTAAAAAAAATATGTTGAATATTATCATTCTTAGTAATTATTTTTACCAGTGCAGCAATCAAACGTCTCTTACACTGAGCAGCTTTCTGCTTGTTTTCATTGCTGTTGTGATGATGACTTTATAGTCTTTGAGCTTGTCAGGCCTCCTTTACATCACCCTAATTTTTCCCACCTTCTACAGATTCTCAAACACATTTTAGCTCTGAGTCTTCACTGCAAAATAGCTTTAACCTAAATCTGTGCACCTTATCACACACATTTTGGCTCTGTTCTAAATTGAAAAACTTCTGGGAGCCCATTTTAAAATTTCTCTCTGACTCTTTATGTATTAGCATTAAACCTGAGGCCACGATCACGATATTTGGAATATCATTGCATGAAAATTTTCATCACAAAATTAAAAATGTAATTTCTTTTTCCACACTTCTTGCTGGAAGACAAATTTTGTTTAAATGGAAAGACACACACCCGCCATCCTTTAAGTTATGGCTGGTTGATCTTATGCATCATTTGACATTAGAGAAAATCAGATTCTCTACAAGAGGCTACACCCACAAGTTTTTCAGTGTCTGGCAACCTATTCTGAACCACATCAAGGTTATGGATCCTACACTCTTTTCATTGGAGTAATACACATTGTCATATTTTGATTGTCCTTAATGGTGCAACAGGAGGGTTGTTTGAGGGGTTAAAGGGGGAAAATTGCACTAATGTACTTGAAATTGTATTTTTCTTGACTGAATGGTTAATAAAAATACTTTGGAGAAACTTAAATCTGCCAGGGTTTAAATCATTCTGAGGTTAACTTCACTAATTTTCAAAATTTACATCACTAATTTCACCCCGCTACCTGCTGAATTCTGTGTTTTGTTTCTCCGTTTCCCTTTCGTTGAAATGTCCCTTAGATAGGAATGAATTGACATCGTGTAGCAGATAGATTATTTTGTGCCTTTAAATGAAATTGGAACAAAACAACCAAGGTGCAAAATGACAAAGAAAGGAAATCACTAAAACTCACAGAAGCCTCCACAGCAAATAGTCTTGCAGCTTGCAAAGCCTGTTAGCTGCTGGGGTTTGATAACTTTACTGATTGGGAAAAAATTAGAGGCTTCCAACACAGGAAATCTATACGGTTTAATGATAAGTTGATCAATTTTATTACACCAATCTTAGGTCCCTTTCTAATGCGGCCTTGACTTTCAGATAAGGGGGGATGGAGGATCCATGCTGTGGTAACGCTGCCTGTGGTTGTAGTGGGTTTGTCCTCTTGTCTTACTTCTGGCTAAAAGGACATAGAGAGAAAATCTATAGAGTGGATTCAGTTTCAGACATGCATTAGCACCACAGTTGTGCAAAAGGAAGAGGTAGATTTAAAACCAGGCCTGTTCTCAGACAGATACAATGGATGGCTTTCTGTCTACATCTTGCATCTAAATATGTATTATTGCACAATAGATTCGATTTAAGTCTTTTTACATGGATTTTACAAGTTCTTATATCTGTTCTCACTGGGAGCATCCCGTTTTTGGGATGCTTAAGGTGTAATTCTTCAAGGATTATTTAGATGTTGACAGGGAGCCCCACCTGTCCCTGTGGGTCCGACTGACTGAGAACCAAATCTCAGAACCAAATTGTTTTACCTGTTGAAGACTGAAACCATATGTGCATGAGACAGTCCTCAGGAATGATGGTGTGTAGAGAGCTTTAGGTTCATTAGATGAAATTAAGGGGGGGGAAATGCAATCACTTAAAGATGAAATTCTAAAAATGCATCCTCTCTGTCCATTACTTGTACATCAATTAAGAATCCCTGCAGGCTTATAAAGGCATCAACCAGGACTGCATACACAGATGCACATTCTTTTAGCTCAATTTCAAAACATGAGGTAAAGGTTGGGGACTTGAATGCTTATCGTCTTGCATTTCCATTATTTTCTGGTTGATTTAAAACCATTATAAAATGGTGCATTTCATTTGTTCTACGTTTTTATGTTTCAGTATTGGATCAGTGAATTGATAAAAATACCAACCAAGTTCTAGAATATAGGTAATTTCTCAGTTTTCACTATTGATCAGTTTACTAAGGCTTGGTTCTTTTAGATTACTAAAGAAATGGTCACATATTATAAACCTTTTCTCAGTGGTGTATAATGACATCTTATTTACCCGAATAAACCCTCCTTCCCCATAAAGATGTTAAGTTTTGGATAATATAACATAGTTATGAAGAGGATTAGAAAAATGCAGACTGGTGTTTAAGGAGTCATAACATCAAACCTTTCTGTGTTGTTTTTATTTTTTATTTATTTTTACAATATTTTAAATGTGTATTTTTGTTGTCAATGTTTCAGCTCTTCTGAACTTGTGACTGTCTCTAGGTGGTGTAAGAAAGATAAATTGGAGTAGGATTAATCCTTAAGCAGTTTGTTTTCCTGTTATTTTCTATGAAGAATTCCTCTAAATTAAATTGAAGTAAAAATCAAAACCTAATCTCTCTGTTTCTTTTTTTTTATCACACTTAAATAAAAGAAATTTCAATATTTTCTCATACATAAACAGAAATACAGATCAGAAGTGGCTTATAAATGTCTACAATAAACAAGCAGAACACAATTCTCCATTCAGTCACTTAGAAATACAGATTTAGCTTTCACCCTTAATTTCTCTGAAGCCTGAGTTCCTATCTGAAAACTCCCTGACCAAATGGAGGGAGTCAGACAGTTGATGCTGCTGCTGTGTGTGTCCAATGCATGGCATTAACCGGGATCTCCTTCTCCTCTTCTTCCTCTGAAAGCCGAACTACCTCCTCCTTACACAGCCATCGCCAGCCCCGATGCCGGCGGTGTGCCTGTCATCAACTGCCGCGTCTGCCAGTCCATCATCAACCTTGATGGCAAGCTGCACCAGCACGTCGTCAAGTGCACAGTCTGCAACGAAGCCACGGTAATTTATCAGTTCATTTACTATTCTACCTTTCTATCGATGTCTCCCATCGAAATGTAGCATCATGATAAAAATGTCACACCTCTCAAATCTTTTTACATTTTATCACATTAAAGCCACTCACTCCAGTGCCTTGTATTAGGATTCTATGGCACACTATAAGAAAATAATGATTAATTCTGAAGTTGAAGAAATTTTTTCACTAATTTTTTTTACAAATAGAAATCAAAACAGTCTGGCATGAATATTTATTCCCCTCCCTATAGAAGCACATTGTGCTGCAATTAAGTTTTAAAGTCTTCAGGGGTTTGTTTCTTTAAGCTGTTATTGTCTAGAGACTGTGACCTAAATCATTCAACTGAAGCTACAACTGTGTGGCCTTTTTATTGGTCTCCTTATGAGAGACAATTCTCTATTCCTTGACATCTCATAGTTAATAAATGCATAAATAAAAGAATAAAAATGTTATTAAAAACACTACTTCATTAAAAAGCACATCACAAATGAGGTTCCACCTTTTGCTGTAATTATAGCTCCATGTCTTGGTGTTTGTCTTTAGCAACTTTTGGTTTCTAGTGACTTAAATGTCCACCTGTGTTGATTGCTTGTGAACAGCAGTTTTCAGATAATGCCACAGATTGTCGGTCTGGACTTTGACTGGGCCATTCTAACAAATTAAAATGTTTTGTTTCAAAACAACCATTGTAGCCCTGGCTTCATGTTAAGCGTCGTCGTCCTGCTGGAAGGTGAACCTCCGTCCCCGTCTCGGGTCTTTTACAGGCTCCTAAAGGTTTTTTGCCCTGGCTGATATCCTGTGTTTGACTCCATCCATCCTCTCATCAACTCTGACCATCCTCCCTGTCCCTGATAAAGAGAAGCAGGCCCAGAGCATCATGCTGCCACCATCATATTTGACAGTGGGGATGGTGTGTTTAGAGCGATATGCAGTGTTAGTTCTCTGCCACACAATTGCATTTTCACCAAAAAGTTCAATTTTTGTCTCATCTGACCAAAGCACCTTCCTTCCCGTTAGACATGTCCCAGACATGGCCTCTAGTAAACTGCAAACAACACCTCCTATAGTTTCATTTAACAATGGCTTTCTTCCAGATATTTTTTAATAAAGACCACGTTTGAGCGGCGAACGTCTAATAGTTGTTCTCTGGTCAGATTCCCCACTTGTAGATCTATGTAGTCTATCCAGTCACCATGAGCCACATGGCTGCATCTCTGTTTGTGCTCTCCTTGTTCAGCCTGTGAGCTCAGGTAGAAGGCCTTGTCTCGGTAGGTTAAAAGTTGTGCCAAACTCTTTCCATTTCGGATGATGGATTCAAAATTTTTATGTTCTAAGCCTGGGAAATCTTTTTATAGCCTAAGCCTATTTTAAACTTCTCCACAGAGAACTGAGTTAATTGGACCTAATGATGCTATGTCCTCCCCAATGTTTATTTTAACCAACATCTGAGGCATTAGATTACACACTGTTGAACCCTATTTAGTCATTAGCAATCATCAGGCAACTTCTAAGGGCAATGGGTTACATTCAGAGAAAAGGGGATTGAATACATTTGCTCACCATACTTTTTGTATTTTTTTATTTGTTTAAAAGTGCTTAAAATCGTTTATAGATTTATTTCCATTTTGCAGTTTTGTACCACTTTTTTTTGCACTTTCATATTAGACTCCAATAAAATATATTTCTGGCTATTTAAAATATACTTTTGCAAGCCGCTGCATGTTTATAACCTATTTGGATTTTGCAGTTAAAAATAGACTTAGATTTTACTTCAACTCTAGGGACTAAATAATAATATTGTTTCAACACTTACGCCACTGAATAATGGAAAATCACGTGATACATTCAGCGCATTGAGAAATGACTACTAATAAAAGCTTATAAGGAAGCAGAGCTCATTCTGGAGTACAATTTCAAATAAAGAAGTGAAAGCAACTATGTCATAATAAAGTTTAGTAGATTAGTAAAGTGTATTCATTAAGCACCTTTTACAGATAGAACTAGGGCTGAAGGATTTGGTCAAAAATCTAGATTGCTATTTTTTTTTTTTTACCAACGTTGAGTTTTCATTTGGCTTTTCCTTTGCACTAACTACAAACTTCTAGATGTGTTTTTTTTTTAGGGTTTCAGTTTTTTGTGATCTTGAGAGCTTGCTTCTCCAGAGTTCATTGTTGTAGTACTGTACTGTAACCGCTGTTCGAAAAAGTGCTCTCTTCTACTTGCATGTTTCTGTGAGGCACAAAACTTTCTTTAAGTGTTCCACCACCTAAAAAGGGCTGCAGTTAGGATTCTAGGGACTTCTTCCTTTTAAATGTAATGTGACTAAAATTGAGGGCCTCTGCAAATTGAAAACTCTCTTCTGTTAAATTTGGATTATATTGTAAATGCAAAAATTGCCAAAATATGGACAAAGCGCTGTGTAGAAAAACGAATAAAATGGCAGTTAAGATCAGATGCCAGTACAATTAAGATGAAAATAGAGATTGGAATAAAACAATAAAAGAAACATTAAACAAAAGTAATGTTTGAAAGAGTTTTTTTTTTATTATTTCACCTTGAAAGAGTCCATGGAGCTAACAAAACGTAGCTGTAGAGTTAAACGGTTTCACAGCCTTGAAGCCAAAGACTGAAAGACTCAGCCTCACTTGGTCTTTAATCTGGTGCTGGACCAACTATTAAAATCATAGAATGTAAAGGAAAGCATCAAGCAGCTGTGCATTTTGTTGGAATAAATCAGTAATCTGGACCTTACAGGTTAGAGCTCTATATGTTATTGAACTGAGACAATTAGTTGCTGAAATCTGTCTGGTTTGGAGATGTGAAAGCGAAAATTGATCCAAACCAATAAACAGAGCATCATACTAATTTAATCTGAGCAAATAATCAGCAATAAATCATATATGTTGAGTAGACTGATCAGAAGCTACTCTGAAGTGTAGAAAACAAACGGTTTTAAGAAAAGCGGCTAGACCTATATTCAGCTTTTATATCCGAAGCGTTAATCAGCATAATTTTATAAACTTTCTCTGTGCATTTTGTTCTCATTCAGCCCATCAAGAATCCGCCCACAGGGAAGAAGTATGTGAGGTGTCCTTGTAACTGCCTGCTCATCTGTAAAGACACGTCCAGGAGGATAGGATGTCCTCGGCCAAACTGGTGACTAACACATTAGTTGCTTTTCTTTTTCTTGTGCTTAAAGGATCAGAACTTACACATGTGCTACTGCTCAACACCAACAGAATAAAATTATTTATTTCCAGTATTAAAGCAGATGTAACCTTCCAAGAACAGCAATGATATGGCTTTAAAAATGGCTTCATTTTACTTTTGTTTTGTTTTGTTTTGTTTTTTCAGCCCCCCCCCAAAAATGGGAGGATTAAAGTGAATAAAATATATATTATTTATATTATAAGATATTTTGATTGCTCAAAGGATAAGTTGAAAAAAGTGAAACCTGGATAGAGCAAAGAGGTTTGGACATTGACATGGGATTTAGTGGAACGTCCCGCTTAGACCATTATTGTTAAGATTTGTTCAAAAGGTGAAATAATACATATTTTTTTATAATATTTTATGTCAATTGCTTGAGATAGTTGTAAAAACTGCAGCACCAGGTAGTGTCAGTCACAAGATAAAAAATTACACAAGTATTTGAATATCTATAATTAAAAACCAAAAAAATACAAAAATCCCATTTAAGTATTTATAAATATTTGTTTAAACATTTAAAAAGTTTAATGAGAAAAATTATAGAATACATATATACAGAATAAAATAGCTGAATTGAATATTTGTAATAATACTTTAGAGAAGCTTAAATGCTAATATCTAATATTTATTACGGTAATAGATTTTTTGGTTTGTGTATATTTGCAGTTCTTTGTTTCATATTTCTTTTCTCCTAATAGCGAAATCAAAGTTCCTTTCCTGGCAATGCTTTGACCCTAATCCTGTTTTACGGCTCCTGCTTCCTGCAGCAGACGCATCATCAACCTGAGCCCGGTGATGGTCATCCCCGAGGAGCAGCCCGCCCAGCCGGCGCTGCCCATTCAGCCCGAGGGAATGAGAGTGGTCTGTGGTCACTGTGGAAACACCTTCCTGGTAGGTTAACCCACAGGCTGGATACAGACACAGGTTTGACATGTTAAAGTTGCTCTGATGTTGTTAGTATGCTAATAGTACTAGTTCTGTAGTAGAGTATTTTATGTTATATGTCACCTTTGATGTTGTTGCAAGTCTTTATTTCAGCAATTTTTAAATACCGATGCTGTTCAGTCCTCTTTAGTAGGAATCTTTCCCTCACATTAATGAACGAGGCTTGGAATAAGCTCTCCCAATCTGCCAAAACATCAGGAATTCTAATAAGATCTGGGTTTTTTCTACAATTAAAGCGATTCTGCTGTAGATCTTAATGAATGATTGGACTCACCATGAGGTTGATGTATACAAGCTGTCTAAACCTTCAGCTTTTTCACTTGACAAAAACTTCCAGCCCTCCTTAAAACCAAACATTGTAATGTGGTAAGCATAGGCGGATCTACTGGGGTGGCATGGGGTGGCAAATGCCACCCTAAATGACAGCCTTGCCACCCCAACTGCCACCCCAGTTGGCGGTAGGGGTGGCGAGGCTTATAAATTATGGATCATTTGAGAATTACGACCGCTAATTTCTAATGTCGGACTGCAGTGAATGCAGCACGACATGACGCGAGAGTGACTGAGACTGATTGTTTTGAAAACCGAATGGGGCAAAGCGAGGGAGCCAGGGGTGATGGGGAGAGGAGAAACGGGATGAAACAGGTAAAAACTGATTAACTATCTATCGAGAAATGAAATCATAATGAAAGCACAATGTTGCTAGCATAGCTGCAATGCTGATTTTGAGATGATAAAAATCAGGTTGCAGAACGTTATTTCTCTATCTATGATGTTAGTTAGGCCTGACGTTTCAGGCTCATAAAGACATATTTGCGGTCAACTATGACAAAAAAGAGACTATCAAGTTTGGTTGTACTTAAATCAAAACGCACAAAGGCTTTGGATCTAAATAAAGTTGTGAAGCGTTTTGCTGAGCAACATGGAAATCACTGCATTCAGCTGTTATAGGCATGTTAACTTTATGTTATGCTCTCTGGTGAGCCTTTACAGAGCCGTTACATTTTGTTTTGGCACCTGAGAAAATCTGATATTTCCTTTAATAAAACCAAAAGTGTTAAAAGTTAAAAATGTGATACTGGTGTGAATCCTGCTTAATATGAAGCAGTGTTGTTGTTTCTTTTTTTGTACCGTATATATAATATGAAACTATCCAGAAATGACCTGTATGAACCTACTCACAAGCAAAATGTATTTTTATGTTGCTTCTTTTCAGATTTGTGGAGATTTTGATGTAACATACAGAACCCGCCTTTTTGTTGATTTGTTGATACAGCAGTATGGAGGACCAACTCTGCCATATTTAAAAATAAATACAGAAATAAATAAATGCTTAATAAATAAATAAGCATACAATTAATTGCCACCAAAAATACAAACAACAAATAAATGTAAGTAGAAATTAAATTATACAGCTAGTCATAAAGGTATATAACTCTTTTTATTTCTTTGCCTTTTTAATATTTACCTCATTTATTTTTTTGTCATTTATTATCTTCAACTTCATTTTTTAATTACTTATATTTCTAAGTATTTATTTATGTGCATGTTATCATATTTTTGTCTGTTTTATTCTTCCTTTGTATTTTTTTACCCTAGTTATTTCTTCGCCGCTATTTCTTTCTGCCTGCCCTTTTAACATTTCTGCCTGCCATTATAATATAATTTCTAATTACATTTATTTGTTGATTGTATTTTTGGTGGCAATTAATTGTATGCTTATTTATTTATTGAGCATTTATTTATTTCTGTATTTATTTTTAAATATGGCAGAGTTGGTCCTCCATATACAGCTCTATCTACAGCATATTTACATGCATGAAATGTCCCTTTCATGTTGCCTTAACTGCTGTATGTCAAGTTACTGAGGAACAAATGGGGTAAATGTGTGTTCAGAGTAAACATTACATAGATGTCCAGTACCTTGTACGGGTGCCTTGACCCATTTATTTCTACTGTGTAGTTCTGCTCACTTTAGTACAGCTCAGTCCATAGATCTCTGATGGGTAACGTTTTTCTTTCTATCGTTTCTTCTTGTGCAAATGCTGCAAAGCTGCCTCTCTGACAGTCAATCTTACACATCTGCGACTCAGCACCTGTGTCTTACCTTAATACCTTTCCTGTCATAAGGCCCCTCTAGAAGTAGTGTTATCATTCTTCTATCTCCTATTAAGTGAGATCACATTGTACGATGTATTTCTAATATGAACTGTTTCACATGAAACACTAGTACTCTACATACTATTCTCACCAAACTGTGATAACTGTGATTAAATTCAGTGTAAACAAATGCCATATGTTGCCACCCCTAAAAAATTCCTGCCCCCCTCTTGCCACCCCATAAATATGTTTCTAGATCCGCCCCTGGTGGTAAGGGACAGGCAAACTTAAAATAGGCAATTTTACAGCTTTGTTTTTGCTTCATGGTTTGTTGAACATATAGATAAGTTAAACAAACTGGAACATTTACACTCAGATTTCTAATAGGCTTTAAAAATTGGCGTAGAGGAGAGGAGAGTAGAGCGTTTGTAGGAACACATATCATTATCAGCCGGGTTCTTTGTTTAGAAAGAGTTCTGCATCGTAACTGACCCAAAATATTTTCTTGGTACACGGAAAACACATTATTGTCTTAAATAGATCACAGCTGTTGCTATTATAAATTCCTGAAGCTGTTTTAGTGTTGCGGCCAGTCCCCGGCCCGTTTTCATGTTGTTGTGGTGACTGTTAATACTAACTCATGGTTTATACAATATTTAATATTTTCTTTTCTATTATTTGTTTTCCTGTTTGTAACCTTTGTATGAAGTCATGATGATTTATTTGCAATCTAATACAACAAATTCTTGCCCTTATCTAAAGGATACAGATGGGCAAATGCTAGAATAATTCAACTTGGACACATGAACTTCAAAAGTGTAAATTCCAGTTGACTGAAACTAAATCAGAATATTCTCTATGCAACCATTTTATTTGATTTTATTCTTAAATAGTTTCCTCATATAATTTCTATAGAGTATGTATGTTTTTCTTTGGTCTCTCATTATTTAAAGCTTACATTTTGTAAAGCGTAGGCACTTTATAGATCTACTTTACAGTGGATAAATGCATCTATGAAAAACATTTGACTTTTAAAAGAATTGTGGAACCACTCTGGGTCACTTATTCTTTTCAAGTAGTTTGAATCAGCTTGATAACATTCTCCGAAATAGAAAATGTTTTTGCAGATTAGTTCTTGCTTATGTGCAGCTTATTTCGCCAATCTCTAAGATACCGTATTTTCACGACTATAAGGCGCACCTAAACGTCTTTTTTTCCCCTCAAAATGTGGGGTGCGCCCTATGGTGCGGTGCGCCCTATCTGCGGACGTTGTTGAGACCACCATGAGTATGTGAGAACCTTAAAGGGGGAAGTGTGGGCGTGCCTTGTGTATAAAAGAACAGGTATGTGCTTTATGCAGAACATTGTTGTCTTAACAACCCTGGAAATGGCAAAGAGACACGCCTATGAAGCCCCGTTTAAACTGAAGGCTATCAGCTACGCAGAGGAACATGGAAATCGAGCAGCTGCGAGAGAATTCAATATAAATGAATCGATGGTTCGCAAGTGGAGGAAGCTGGAAAACGAACTCCGACTGGTGAAGAAGATGCAGCTGAGTTTCCGCGGACATAAGGCGAGGTGGCCCGAGTTGGAGGAAAGACTCGAGCGGTGGATCGTGGAGCAAAGAACGAGTGGGGCCAGCGTTTCAACGGTCACTGTTCGACTAAAAGCAGTAAAGCTGGCGGAAGAAATGAAAATTGAAAATTTTCAAGGAGGTCCATCGTGGTGCTTCCGTTTTATGAAACGGTGCAATTTTTCCATCCGGACCAGGACTACAGTTGCTCAGCGACGTCCGGCGGATTATGATGAAAAGCTGGCGAGCTTCCTCTCTTTCTGCAGCAAACACATCGCTGACAAAGTCATCCAGCCAAGCCACATCACCAACATGGACGAGGTGCCGCTCACTTTCGACATCCCGGTGATGTCGGATTTAGCGCAGCTGTTTAATTCAGAAACAGAGGATGAGGACTTTGAGGGGTTTGATTAATACTCTGTAATAAATACTTGAATAAAGCACAATCATACTCAGTTTTGCTCCCGCTCTATTTTTCTACCTGAAAACTTAATTCAACAGCAGCCTCTGGGCCGCGGCGCATCCGGGCTCACCTCCGCAGGTGTTTTTTCATCTAAATAATCTAAATCTTTTTAAGTGAGAAAGTCCACCTGAAAATTTAATCATTGCAGTCAGTTCATCCAGATTATTATCCTGCCTATGTTTTAAGTTAATTTATGCGTCAATAAACGAAGAAGAAGGGGAAACTGGCATGTCGGATTTAGCGCAGCTGTTTAATTCAGAAACAGAGGATGAGGACTTTGAGGGGTTTGATTAATACTCTGTAATAAATACTTGAATAAAGCACAATCATACTCAGTTTTGCTCCAGCTCTATTTTTCTACCTGAAAACTTAATTCAACAGCAGCCTCTGGGCCGCGGCGCATCCGGGCTCACCTCCGCAGGTGTTTTTTCATCTAAATAATCTAAATCTTTTTAAGTGAGAAAGTCCACCTGAAAATTTAATCATTGCAGTCAGTTCATCCAGATTATTATCCTGCCTATGTTTTAAGTTAATTTATGCGTCAATAAACTGTATCAGAGGAGTAATCACAGCCCTGTGTCATCAGCGATGTGTCTCTCATGGGCCGGTTCCCAGGTTTGAATAATACTTTGTAATAAATACACCTTGCAGCTTTATTTGCTGTGATCAGTGGGAATAAAGTAGTTTTAATATGTTTTAAGTGGGAAAATCCACCTGAGAGGACATGTACCTGTATATAAAAAACGCGCCCTATAGTCCGGTGCGCCTTATGTGTGTGTTAAATACAGAAATGGCACACATAACTGAGACTGCGCCTTTTAGTCCGGTGCGCCTTATGGTCGTGAAAATACGGTATTTAACTAACATGCTCACTTCCAGTACCTTCAGCAAAAATATGCAGAAACTAAGCCACTATTTCACAGACTTACATTTTTAAACTCACTACTGTTCACCTCTTAATATTGTCACTTGCGGCCTCCGTATTGCAGCGAGGACGCCAGGTCATCTCAGTCGATGTCTGGTCTCTCCAGCGACGGCTCTCCTCCAGCTCAGCAAGAGGTTGAAAAAGAGCTGATCTTGCTAGTGGAAATATTAACAACAGCCTAACCTCTATTTAAAACTATGGCTCTTTTTAAAGCTAATATCACTCTGTGCACATTTGGCTTTCAGAGAATTTTATTTAGAAAGAAAAAAGTTGATGTGTAAATGAAAACATTGCTGCTTATTCTAATACAACTATATTTTAAATAATCTTTTCACTGAAGCCACATGTCTATAGTTAAACATTTCTCTTCCCTAACAGTTGAATTATGCTTATTATTATGCCGCTGCAGGATATTAATTATTTAATTTTTACTGCTTAAACAATAAATAAAATCACAACTAATACAAAACTAAACATACATAAGGTGTGAATTATTTGAGGTGCTGATTTTACCAATGATAGATAGTTGCAAACACTCAATACAGATTTATTTTTAAATCAGTACCCTTCAGTTTTTTGCTGATTGTACTGAAAACTAGAATAGTGTGTTTAAATATCTGCATTGATGCATTTGTAAACACTCCCTGAAGTTGAAAATAATTGGTTGTTTTTGTCTTTGTCCCCCACAGTGGATGGAGCTGCGATTTAACACTCTAGCCAAGTGTCCACACTGCAAAAAAATGTGAGTCTTCAAAATAACTTGACACAAGAAGGGATACGTGTTTTTACCATTTATGCTCACCAATGCTTAGCCTGTTTTTTAACACGTTTGAAAAGGTTTGAACATTAGTAACCAGTGGATACACCACCCAGCCGATATACTGATATATTAGTGTTATTTATATTGGAATCAGCGGATAAAATGCATTTGTTTGCTGATTTAATAGTGCATTCAGCGGTCATGTGTTTATATCACATAAGGGGCACGCATCATCAATCCCTTCATTTGCTATCCAGTTTTGTTTTGTTTGATTTGTTAAAAAAATTCTCTTTTGTTAAATTGAGACAGAAAAATCTGTATTTGTCAATCTCTCATAAACATGTTTAGGGGGATATTCAGGAACCATTTTAACTCAGTTATTGTCTACTAAGATGCATGTAAATAATTGCTACTGTCCTGAACCATTAACCAATAGGCAATTATGTCTGCTAATGCTAATGTTCAGGCATTATAGCTACCCGATCCGTCCCGGCACATCTGCAACCAGATGTACATCCGGGTGTCCTTAAATACTGTAATTATGGTAAAACTAGTTATTTCTATCCTTAACTCACTAAAGAATGCTAATACAAATCTTTAAAAACATTTTTATGAATTTTGTGTGACAATTTTTATGCTTTTAACATTTTTTTTGTTAAACTGCTTCTCTGACGTCATCATACCTGCTCAGAGCAGACGGGCAAAATATGATTAAACCATCTTTATCTGCATTGTAGTTGCGCACATGCAAGTAGATACATGTCCAGGTCGCCCTCGATTTTATTTTCTAAAAGAAATGCCTACATTACGTTTTTTTCTCCCCGAAAATAGTAATTGTACTAAACTATAATGTGTTAAAGGTTAATAATGTATTTTCTTAAAATCCTTTCTGTTTTATCACTTGTTCCTGCCTCATCTGTACGGGAAATGGGATCATTCGCCAATTCCGGGAGCTAACATTTTCGGCTTTCGATTTAAATATAAATTTAGTCTATTTGAGTTTTATGTTGTCCTTTCGTGCTGACATTATGGTATATGGTGCTTAATCTACAAATAGTGACAACTAAAGTGCTGATAAACACGGTTTAATCATATTTTGCCGGACTACTCAGAGCATGTCCAATGATGCAGTTCAACAGAGAAAATGTAAAAAGCATCAAAATTGTTTCAGAGAAGTCATAAAATATTTTTAAAGATGTTTCTTAGCATTCTTTAGAGAGTTAAGGATAGAAATAATAATTTCAGTACCATAATTACTTAAATTATGGAAACCCAGATGTATATCTGGTTGCACATGCGCAAATGAGCTGATGGTATAGATCGTGCTTCCAGAACAGATCTGGTAGTGCCAATTAAGACTGTGGCCACCTTTTATATTTGAGGCAGCTTTGCTGGATTTTGAGTTGTTTCTTGAGGAAACGGTTTATCAGATGTTTTTAAGCAGTTTCTAAATCATTAAAACCCATGAATATATTTACTATTTTCCCTACAGATCTTGAAAAATAATGATAAAATATCTAAAGCATCATCAGACAAACAGAATACAACCATCTGACACTGTAGAAAATAATCTCTCTCGATTAATTTACCTTAAACTTGAGTTATAGATGTAAAGAAAAACACATATATTGCCATTAGCCCCTTATTAAAAGAAAACTATTTAGGTACGCTACTACTTCACTACTTCAGAGGTAAATCTAAGCTGGACGTTGCTTTGGTGATGTAATAAAACCTTATATAAAGATTTAAACCTGCTGCATTGAATGCTTTAGAGATCTGGATTTACATTGTGCAGAGGAAGGGAAGTTAATCTAGACATGTGACAAGAAGTATAAAGGGATTTGTAACATGATCGTAAGGTTGTCTGGTCACGGGATAAAGAAGTGCTTTTTTTTTAACAGTCAGAGTTGTTTGAGGATGGGAGATGCATTGGTGTCAGTGGACATTCTTCATCCTCTGCTGCATCTGTCTACATTTATTTTCATCCTTCTGTCAATATCTGTGGGTCTTTCCAACAACTCTGTGGTATTCTGGGTATCTCAATGGGAGTCGTCTTCCACAAAGACTCAACAAATATTTTACAAACAATGTGAGACTTTTATTTTTCTTTTGGAAAATCCCACAGTCATTATTATCTAAGAAAGTTATCATACCAGAAAAACTGAAATTTGTAAAGACTGTTTAATTAAGACAGTTAATAATCAACTCAATATGTGGAAAATGCTAAATTGAAGTATTGCTTATATTTCAATTTATTTTTGACTGGTTGGAAATCAAGAAAATTCTGGCAAATATAGCTAGATAATTACATTTTTGGCACTACTTTTAATATGAGGTGGAGCTGTATGGTACTGTATGTATACTGGAAAAAGAAAATCACTTGATATCATCAGAGACAGAGTTAAAGGTGCAGCAAGGTTGTAATTTCCCAACAAAACCAGTATGCACAACACCATTGTTAGAAGGCACATTGCCTATTAAAGGTTAGGAGGGAAGATCAGAAATGGAATTTCATTTGTGCGTCTAAAAATTATGAAAACAACAATCAAGCCTGTACATTTTGAAAGGCCTGGGGATTCTGTATTTTTTCTGCAATGTGAGGTACCAGGCAGTGGCGGCTGGTGAAAAATATTTTTGGTGGGGCTGATATAGCCTAGTGTATGTCTCCAACTAATCCGGAATAAGAATTCAAATAAACAACTGGACAATACATACAATTTAACAGTAATGATTTAATTTACTATATAATAACAGTAACAGTGATGATTTGGGTCACTGAGATGGGCCTCCAAGAATCCAGGCTCAGTCGGGTTACCGGTGTTGGTGATTTATTGTGCTCAAAAACTCAAAACAGGGTGCAAAAGAAACTAAACATGTACAAGATACTCTGGGCCTCAGCCTCCCTCCAGTTACCAGCAATGTAACAAAGAAACAGAAAACAAAAATTGCCCACAGCCCTCATTAAATAGTTTAAGCCCCTCACCTCAGGCTCTCTTATTTCTGATTTCTTCTCATAAATCAGTTTTGTCCATATATTACCTCCACAAACAATTGATGTACAAAAACAAATAATTTTTACAACTTAGTTATTTTACACAGATTCTTTGACTTATTCAATTACACCAAACTGGGTTTGAACCCAGCAAAGACGCAGCCAGACTGAAGATGACAAGTCCCCGTAGCATAAACATGTACACACCCACACCCCCCACACACCCACACACACACACACACGGCTAACCCCACTGAAATATTAAGTGTGCACCCTCAATACGCCAGCAGGTAACCAGGACAGCTTGTGTGTTTTAAGTTAATGGAGCTACTGGTCTCAGAGCGAGCGGATTGGTCCTCACAAACACAGTATAACAGGAATATGTGTGTTTGCGCGCAAAGTTAGAGGATGTGGATTCCTCACAGTCACAATAACCATGACATGAAATGTTCATATCCTACAACAGGGATGTTCTTCTGGCAAACGGGTAGATAAATAAGGATCTCACCGAATTTGGTGGAAGCTGCATCTCGTTCGTTACATTCGCCATCTTCCCTTTAACTGTCTGCACCTGCGCTTGGGTTCAGAAGCCTGTTCAGAAGTGCAGTATTTTCAGCGCCCCAAGACCGTAAAGTTCTGAGATGCTGATTGGCCATTAAATTCACCTAGCAATAGTACATGATTGACAGATTATCTGCAAATGTGGGTCTGTCTGATCAGCGCCCCCAGAACAGAGACGGTAGGAGTCTGTCTGTGGAAATCCACAAATTAATGACAGTAGATAGGGAAATGTAGTTTATATAATTTGTTTTGCTTATATGTAAACACTCTAGAGAGTAAAACTGACATTTATGAGTTAATTTCTAAAAATATATTTTACGTTTCTCTCTTCTTATCAGGGAGGGCGGTGCCCCAGCGCCCCCTATGGGCCGGCCGCCACTGGTACCAGGTTAGATATTTATATAAAAAACAAAAAACAAAAGACTAGTATTTCTAGGGACCTGGATTTTAACTGATATTTCATCATTCAAGAAGACTTTTTTTTATTATATTTTAGAAATGTAAAGACAATCATTACGGAAGACTGCTTGCTTGCCTCAAATCCACAAAAGGTCATTGCTAAAGAGGTCCGTTCTTGTGATATATTCAAATATAATGAGATCTTAGAGGAAGCCAAAAAGTGTTATTTTGTTCCAGTAAAAATGAAAATTTGCATCCTTAAAAGATGTAATCATCACATAGAGGTCTGACTCATTTTCTTTCTGTATTCAAGATTGTCTTTTAAATGGATATATATATATATATATATATATATATATATATATATATATATATATACATACAGTTTTTAAATTGTTTGAGAAACTGAACTGAAAAAAAAACTGATTAAACAGATCAATCTGCTAAATCTATATACTAGTTTTAATTTTTATTAAGTCACTAAAATGTGCTTTTCAAAGTTTCTCATCTGCTGAATGCATGTGGCATCTAAGGCATCTTCAATGGGTTGTAATTATACCGAGGGTGCTGATATTTGATGTCTAAATGAATGAGAAGATCTGATAAAGCAAATACAAATAAAACAAAAAAAGGAACCAGCAGGTTTTTAGAGGCAGAGATGAGAAAGCAGATCACTTTCATTTCTGCAGGAGTTGGCCTCTATGTCATTAAAGAAGAAGTGAGCCAGCGGAGACAAAAACGACTCACAGGTCAGACTTTACCGAAACACGATGTTGGTTTCGTAGTCTTAAAGTCTCGGTGGGGGAATTTTTCCTTTTTTATAATAGAAAAAACATCTTAAAATAATGGAATTGATTTTGAAACATTTTAAGAATCTGGGCGACAATCTGACGTTTTCTGTCTTCTAAACCATAGAAACCTGCCATTGTCCATTTTTATTTGAATTAAAGAATCTTAAAACTTTTTCAGCTCTTCCCCAAATGCTCTTGTCATTGTCTTCAAGTTGCAGCATCATTTGAAAGGGAAAGTTTCCTTGTTGCTCAGACATGCAGTCATTTGTACATTCCCATTTTTCTCTAAGATTGTTTTGATGCACATTATGGCAGACTTTTCTCCCTTTTGTATTAAGGGTCTCTAGAAAAAAGGCAGAATCCTGAGGATGATGAAGAGGGAACAGAGAAGGAGATTAAATGTTAGGGGGTTCAAAAACAGGATAGTACCGTAGTCTAATTATCAGGTGACCAGTCCTCCGACCCCCCGCCCCCCCTCAGTGATCTGAAGTTTAGCGATCGCTCAAGAATGCTCAAGCCCAGTCACATGAGGGGCATGTGAGTGCAGGGAAGGGAGGAATGAAGTCAGAATGATGCAGGGGAGAGTGGGATGCCAGCTCTGACGGTTAATGGGGCCACTGACAAATATTTGTTGGTGTTTGAATGATATATCCTCAGCTGGAGCTGCACATGCGATTGTCCTTATGTGAAATGGGTGTTGATGTGCATTAGAATCACATAATCTTTCAAATTTATTGATGGTTTTTTAGAAAATCCTTCATTCCTTCTAAATAGTTTCCTCTTGCAAGGTCCTCTTGGGCATATTAACTACATATAGTAAAGATCTTTATTTTTTCTCAGTCTTTTCTCAAGTGAAACATTTTCTTCTCACTCTTCCATGCAGATCATCTGTTGGCAGTGCTCTGCCCAGGAGGCGCTGTTGTGCTTATATAACTATAGGAATGATCTGCATTTTCATTGGAGTGGGTTTAACAGTAAGTATGGCCTGTTCTTTTTGTTTTATTTTGTTTTTCTTTTAAAATGTATTGTTTTCTCACACTTTTCATATCTAAATCAATAGTATTTACATGCTTATTCATTATAAGCGTGGTGAAGAGAGACTGTTTACCTGTGCCAGCTCAATACAGTAGAATACATTTAGGTCCTGGTTTTGTTACAGTGAACTAGTACAGCTAGAATTGTATATATATATATATATATATATATATATATATATATATATATGTATGTATGTATGTATATATATATATCAATCGAATTTATTTTTATCTGTGTAAATATCAGTCATCCCTAATCTGTTTAGTCTTCTGTTCTTCAGTTTATCTCTCCCTCTGTCCACCCAATGCTCCATCTGTCCATTTATTGCCTCCATTCATCTCTGTCCAACTGTTCAGTTTTCCAACTGCTTATATTTCCGTTTCTATTCTAGTTTAAGAAAAAAACAAGATACCTTTTGAAAAATAAAGTTTTCTGTGCATTACTATTTAGCCCCATTTACTCCTGTTCCCCTTAAATGAAATCAGCATAATTCCAGCTCCTCTCTCTTGCCTTTGCGCTTTGTTAGCAAACATTACTCAGTAAAGACATAAAGTATAAGGAAAATAGCATAGTTAAGCTGTAAAGCAGCAAAGCATAAGCTTTGAGTGCTTCAAATAACTCTGTTCAATCAACCAACAGCAAATTAAAACAGAAGATCTCTTCTGCAAACCTACCTAGATCTGGCTGTCCATCTTGACTAACAGACTCAATAAGGAAACCTTGTTTAGAGAAGTAGGTGAAAGGACTACTGTTTGCGACTATTTCACAAATCTGGTGTAAATGAGACAGAGGTTGGTGCAAAGGTTTATCATCCAACCTAAATGTTTGGAAAAACAGCCCAGTTCAAGACTAAAGGCTTATTTATACTTCGAAACTAGGTTGTCTGCGTAGGTGTCGCAGTAAACAAAATCCGTCCCCGCCCCCTCGGCTGACACTCCACTGCACCTCTCCCAAATTGTAACTGACCGCAGACAGGAGGCTGGCTTGTTTTTATGACCGAAATTGCGGAAAACAACTCGTGAAGTTGGATCAGCTAGAAGAGCGAGGTGTGGAGAACGCTGGGACCCTTTTTCCACCTGGATCCCTATTTTTCGCCGTGACATGACTGCTATTTTTCGCTGTCATGTCCCTCCGTTGTCAGGCTAAACTCGTCCCCACTTCCTCATCGCCTTTGCCGTATCTAGACACACAGCGTATATAGCACAGACCACACTTCAGTATTGTGCAAAAATCAAAAATGTCTCCATCAAGCTCACTGCAACACACTGCTGCAGGAGGATAACCAGCCCTTTAGAAACATTGAGAATGTTTAATGATCCAGACTGACTGAAGTTGCAATGAAGATTGGCTTCTGTAAATTATGCATAGTTTAATCAATCAGTCAGCTTTATTTCCATAGCATATTTAAAAACCACAGGGGTAACCAAAGTACTTTACATAAAAACAGGTTAAGAATAAATAAAAAAGATTACAATAGACATACTAACCAGGTTCACAGCAAGAGTAGTGCCGTATAAAACTAGATCAGTGTCAAAAGCCAAGGTATAAAAATGTGTTTCCAAAGAGATTTAAAAACAGCAGAAGAGGAGGCCTGTTGGACACAATGTAGGAGCTGCTACAACAACTGTTCCGTCCCCGATGAGCTTCAGCCTAGTTTTAGGGACAGTCAGAAGCAGCTGATCCACAGACCTAAGTGATCAAAGAGGGCAGTGAAGCTGAAGCAACTCAGACAGATATGGTGGAGCGAGGTTTGTTCAGACATTTAAAAACAAACGCCAGCTTAAAATGAATTCTATAATAAACAGGAATCCAGTGAAGAGATGCCAGGGTGGGTGAAATATCCTCACACCTGCAGGTGTGTGTAATGAAGCGAGCAGCACAGTTCTGCTCAAGCTGCAGACGGGCAAGAGATACCTTGCTGCAGTGCATTACTTAGTTTAGTCGAACTGCGATAAAGGTGTGGAGAAATTTCTCCAGGTGTCACCAAGAATGGCTTCTCTTTGGCAAAGTTGAAAACTTTTCTGAACAACACTCCTGAACTGTTTCTCAAATGTATTATTGGATTCAAACTTTACCCTCAGATTTGTGACACAGTCCCTGATTAGATACAGATCCCAAAGGACGTTCAGCTAACTGTAAGAAAAATGAAAGGTATAGTGGAGGATTTTTGCTAATTTTTTGAAAAGTCCCACCCCCTCAACTTAAAAAAAAAAAAAGCACATGCACAACCCTTTACCCGCTGCCAAGAGGGAATGCCTATTAAATGCATGCAAGAGCACAGCCTTATGTCAACATATCCCCAGAATGATTGACAATTAGGAGGAACACTTATTTTTTTGATCCACTTGGAAAAAGAACATCCTCCAGAATACCTTTAAGGTTAATAATGTGAAAAAAATTAAAGGGTACAAGCATCTTTGCAAGGAGCTGTATGCCTTGTATTTAATTTTTTCCCCTCCCTTTGATCGGACAGGTTGGGACGCGGGACTTTGCCAGACGTTACAACGCCACCTACGTGTCCTGGGCCTTTGCCTACCTGCTGGGTCTCATCTGCCTGATACGGGCCTGCTACTGGGGGGCTATCAAAGTCAGCTACCCAGAAAACAGCTTTGCATAGAGTGAGAATAACCCCACGAAGCTGAGGGTGGCCCCAAGTGCAAAGTCCTGTTTTGTTGTTATGCTCCCCGCACATCTTAAAATTTTAAAGCAGTCAGGTTGAGTTTAGAAGCATAGAGTGTGAGGAGAAGTGTTTGCTTGGAGAAACAAAGTGGGGGATTTGTATTGTGATTTACGCTTGGAAGGTTTTTAACCCTGCCGTCTGTCTAAATCCGGTAAATGTTTAAATCCTGACAATGTCCTACAAAGAACCAAGAATCAGAAACTTGTAAAGATTGAATTATTTCCTTCAGATGATTGGATAGATGTTTGGTGCAAACCCTCTTTTTCCAAGTTATTTGACAACTCTATTGGAATTTAGAAACTTTAGATCAGTCTCTTTGTCAGTACTACAGTAGCTGGCACTAATTTCAGTTTGATGATCAGATCCAAATGAGACAACCTCCCTCCCATTTGCACTGATAGTTTATGCAAATAAAATAGTTTTGCTGCTAGTTAAAATCCAGCTACTGAGAGTTGCACACTCATACTCTATTACAACCACTCTGACATAGTATTCTATTATTTTAATGCAGATTTTTTTTAGATGATTGTCATTATATACCCATGCGTGCCAACTTTGCTGCACAGTAATAGTCTTGAAGATAAATACATTTTTATTAAAACCTTTTTTCTGTTCTGTGCCTGCAGCTTTTAAAAGAGCAATACCCCTTTCTGGTTGTTTTCATAACAATCTGGTTATCTGCTTTATGATTCTTAAAGTGATCCCATAAAACATGGCGTGGCTCAATTGTGCATGTTGCCTATATCTTGTTGCTGAAGTGGTGTCCTGCTCCATTTCAGATGGGATCATGGCTGTGATTCCTGTTTTTTCTGCGTGTGTTAGAATATAAACCCTCCTTCATCTGCTTAGATCGCTGCTCTCTGACCTCCATTGAACTTTGTGCTATATCCCGTCTCTTTATCTCCAGCAGCGGGCAAAGTTTGAACCTTGTTTTGAATGTGATACTGATGATGATGAAGTAGGTAAAAAAAACAAAAAACAGAAAATACTTTGTACATAGCCTGATTTCAGTAAGAGTGAGTAAAATTGGGTGGAAGGAAAAGATGGTTCATGAGTCTTTTTAAAAACAAATAATTTATCAATAAAATGTGAAAACTATCTACTTCATTGTGTATTTTTTTTGACTAGGATTAGGATTTTAGTCTAAAATGTGTGTTTATTTTTTGTTGAATTATATAGATGAGGTGCACAGCAGTGTAATCCTTGATTTTTGTATCCGCTGCAGTGAAAGTACAAAGCCAAAAAGAAAAAGAATTATAAAACGGGTTGAAATCACAGCAGAATTTTTTATTGTTTTTTATTAAAAACAAACCTAAACCCCAAAGAATATCCTTTCAGATTGGGGGAAAAAAAGATGGAACGGCTGTAATTTTAGTGCCAAGGATTCATAGATTTTTACATTTTTTTTTTTTTTACATTTTTCGTGTTGGTGTTTCTCAATATCATTTCACTTCTAATTTAAAGTAGGTTTTTATCCTGCAGTAGGTGAACCTGAAGTCTTTTCCAGCCCTTCATAGGTTTCTCCTCCACAGATTTCTCAATCAAGCCTTACATTAACTCTGACCGGCTTCCCAGTCTCTGCTTAAAAAAAGTATGACCATGTCAACGCTGGGTTTACTTTATAAATTTGATCACCTTGACAGTTTTTTTTCTAAATTTTTCTTTTGTTTCATTAATAAACTTAAAAAAACTTTAAACTTTACTCTTCTTTCTTCTTTTGCTAATTTCAAACACTGTCCACTACTCAATTTCACCAGCAGAGGGCTCACTTACCGACTAATTGCTCTCATTTAGCTACCATCTTCATGGGACCACATATTCATGCAGTAAACACAAGATAACCCTGACAACTGATTCTGTAATTAACTCATAAATTAAACAACATATTTAACGAAAATATTTAAATATGTTGTTTAATTAAAAGTGAAATATTTTACAGTAAATACAGTAAATTAGCTGTAAGGAACAGCAGAAATGAAAAACCAATATTGTAATGATTATAATATAGGGTTACACTAAAGAGCAGGACTTTTGAGATGGAGATAAAAAAAAAGGAACACTTAAAATAAGGATGAAACATTAACTTTCACATTGACTGTATAAAAATAACCTGCCGTTTCCCTACATTAAATCCCAATGGTACTGTCATAACTAGATTTTCTTACTACTAGACTGATATTGTATAAGACATGGCCTGTGGCAGGTAGAAGATCCTTTAAATCTACTTTTTATTTTGGCAACTTAGATAAAAGTTTAACTAGTGTGAAGGGAAACATCTGTGAGAAGTGGCCTCATTATGTCAATAAAATGCAGCCCCCCTTCAAAAGTTGCAGTACTGCTGAATTTCCAAACAGTGGAGCTGTTTTCTAATATTACTGACATAAATCTTCAGAAAAATTACTACAATGCCTTAACCTGATCAACTATGGTTAGATTTGAAAATCCTGCCAACTGTCTGCTGAGACTATAGTTATCCTAAGTAAAATCATTTGCAACAAATATCCTTCAGAATTAAACAATTTAATTAAAACAGTACCAAGGAAAATCCAGACAGGACAGGGATGAAGTTAAAGTATCTTTTCGACTGTTGAGTTGACTTTCTGAATGGCAGTATGGCACAACTTAAGACTTACCAAAACCAAAAAAAAGCTGAAAGGAGTGGCAAGGAGAGCGTTATTGAAAGATTGATGTTAGAGGTTTATAAAGATAAACAGGTCAGGTGAGAGGATCTGTGGTTGGGATAACTATTAGTCTTGTACTAGAGAAACCAGTTTCCTTGAAGGTGATCCAAATATAGAAAACCCAATTTGAAATTTGCTAAAAGCCATTTAAGGAAAATATAACATGTAGATTGAGGTCCTTTGTTCAGATCATACAAAAAATGCAACTTTTTGCTCTTCAAAAACCCCTCAAGCCTCTAAAATGAAGATTAAAACAAAGATAATTGCATCACACAGCAATAAAAATTTAAATAACAGAGAATGGACAGTCTTGAAGACTGTAAAGTGTTTTTTTAAATCTGGATTTAAACAGTTAAAGAGTGTCAATATTAATGTTTGATGGGAGAGAGTTCCAGAGTCTGGAAGAACAGTGAGAGTAAACTACTCCCAGAGGTAAAGAGGCAAAAAAAAGGGAACAGAGAGATGGATTGAGAAGATTGGAGGGAGCATTAGGAGGAGGTGACATGAAGGAGATCAGATGAGTAAGGGGAGAGTGAGGTTGATGACCTTGAGTATGAATAAAATAATTTTGAATTGAAATCTGAATTTGAGTGGGAGCCAGCAACGTTCTCTAAAACAATGAATGAAGATGTTCCCATAACAATTCAAGCAGCTGAGTTGTGGACCAGCTGAAGATTGATATTGTTTGTGGGAGGCCAAAGAAAAGGGAGCTGCAATAGTCAGTACAGGAAGTTACAAGACTGGGGGCAAATATGGAGGCAGAGTGAGGGGAAAGAGAAGGATGGAGGAGTTTGATGTATTTTACAGACCGGATATTTGCAGACTTTTATTGTCATTTTGTATACAAAGAGTGTATACCAAACAAAATTACTGATGTAAGAAATTAAAGCTGTAGAGCTATCAAGGATGCCCCGCAGACCACCACATGGTGGTGGCTGCATTATTCTGTGGGGATGCTTCTTGTCAGCAGGAACAGGTTAATCAATCAGAGTAAATAGGAAGACAGAGAGGGTAAAACCTGAGTAGATATGAGAGATAAGACTTCAGACTGACCAAAGTTTACCTTCTGTGTTATGTTTGTTTGGATCAGAGAACATTCATGAGGTACTGTCCTAATCAAAGTGCACACCATTAAATATTGATGGCAAGACCTGAAAATAGGCATTCACAAAGATTCTCTATCTTATTCAAATTAGTTTAAGTTATTTGCAGTGGTAGGACCAAGTTAGCCTCATTGTTTATTCTCAAATCTCATCAAAGTCAATCAAGGCAAAAACAAGTCTTAAGTCGAATCCCAAGGCTCAAACTTTAAACTTTCAAGTCATTTCAGGAGTTGTTTTTTTAAACTAAGTTCAATTATATGTTAAATATAATCCATATTTATCTTAATGTGATGAAAGTAAAACAACTGAACTTTTGCTAATGGGAAGAAATTTGCTACAATCAGCAATCTGATCACCACAAAACAAAAGTACCACCCACCCTTAATGATGCAACTTCAGCTGTTTCGGTCTCTGTCTGTGACTTTCTTCTTGCATGTGTTGCATATCGCATCTCATTTTTTGTTGTGTGCTTTAAAGATTATTTACCCCAAAACAGTTACACTTGGAAGCATACTTATATCTTTTTTTTTAAATCTAGTTAATTTGAGTGGTTGTGCTGCAACTTATACGCACATCTGTCCACATGTTGAAAGATACTGATTAATAACGCACCCTTCTTATACAAACAAGTGTTTTAAACTTTAGATTTTGGTCAAATATCTGGATAATAGGTTTGAGTCCAATTCAAGACCTAAGTCATTGGTTTAAAAGTCCAAGTCAAGTCAAACATGTTTGAGTTTTTTTTTTTTTTTAAGTCAAGTTGAAAGTAACACAATTAATGACTTGTGTTTGACTCGAGTCTAATTCATATGACTCGACCCCCCACCTCTGTTTATTTAGCACAGAGGAATTAGCCATTAGGCTGGAAAAGATATACCCTGAACCTGATGAAAGTTTAGTGAAAGACTGAATACAAATTCATGCCTCTTTCTACGATTGGAAAAAAAATTCAGGTGTATGCAGTACACTGAGTAAAGTAGTAGTAATATTGACTCGATCAACATGGTTTAAGGAAATCAAGACTGTTTGTTACAATTGTAAACCATACATCATATAAGATTTTGGGAAAACCTGAAAAGATAAACAAATGAAATATTATTTAAAAGCAATTAAACTTGAAATGTGAGAAAAACCTTGTGTTGTAGGTGCAGCATAAAACAAAACCCCAAAGAATGTAAACAGCATACACAACAATATCATCTTTATTTTAGTCCTTGTCTCAGTTCAACACACTAAAGATAGAAACTACAGAAATATGGTTTAATGAGCTTCCTGGAGCTGCTACAATTGACAATGTATTTCTAAGTGCTTCATGTAATTTCTCTTTCACATTCATTCAAGGTTTGATTTTAATCAGGGCACTCATATAATGAAAACAACAATGTTAATCAGAACAACTCAAAGTCTTATTCAAGCTAAACCTAATTATAAAATATAATCCTACAACTAGAAATAACTGGTCCAATGTCCTCAAAAAGACATCTAAGAAACAAACACAATACGATCCAGGTGACAATTCAGACCCCAGATCGGTTACTGATGGGCTCATAGCTTTTGGGGTTAAGGAACTTTTTATACACACAAACGTGAGCTACTGGAGCTACCACTGAACTCTGTAGGAACATGGAAAGTCATATATAGAAATCACCATGGGTCACAAGTACTGCTGCTTTAAGGAGCGTGAGGTGTTTCTGTGGGATGGCGATGTGATGACAGGTGTCTGTTTGTGCCTCACACCCATCAGTGATGATGTTGCTTGGTGCTGTGAAGCTTTCAGTTATTGTTGAGGACCCACCAAGAAGCTGCAGGTGAGACACAAATGATAAACCTCTTAGAAAATGTAGATTTCTCACACAGTCATATGTTATTGTCCAGTAAATCCTGAGCAAAGCATGCTGCACCAAATAACAGGAGCATTTTGGAAACTGTTATTACAGCTTAGTACTTTTAGAAAGTTCTGCAGGCATGAGGGATGTGGCCGTTGACTTACCAGGAACAAGCATGGTGGTGGTGGACTCGGGAGTTTCCAGGAAGTCTACGTTTGCCCTCTGAAAGGTTTTACTGTAGTTAGTCTGTAGGTGGCTATAAAACAGAGAATAGATTGTAGAGTATGAACAGATGACCGCTGTTTGTGTATAATGAGTCATTCGTTTGTCAAAGCTTCTCTGTTTCCTCATATAACACGCTTTATTATAAGCATTTTTCAGCAGTATAAATCTTCCTGGTTTAACAATTAAACCTTGATTAGGAGGTTTTAGTTTTATTGGACAGGAGGATGAACCGATCAAAGACACAAATTAGCAGGGTTTAAATGAAAGACAGTGGCTATAATGAGCCTGTTAAATTCTGTTTCATTCAGTTTATTTACATAGCACCAATTCATCACACGTCATCTCAAGGAAATCTACAGAGACAGTTCAACCACATCATACAATCAGAATGGTTATGTGATTTCTATTTAAGGAAAACCAGCTGATTGCATCAAATCATTGCCTCTTCAGCAATCCCTCACACAAAGCATGCATGTGGCGACAGTGGAGAGGAAAAACTCCCCTTTAACAGGAACAAACCTCCATCAAATTCAAGCTCAGGTTGGGCCACCATCTGCTGAGGCTGACCAGGGTTCAAGGAGATGTAATTAAAAGGAGTCTATTTAATTTATTTCTATGCATTACCTTCATTTGAATAAGATTTTTTTAACAACTAAATAATAAAACATATTAAGTTGTCGGTTTAAACAAAATAAATTAGGTTTTTATTCACAGGGTTGAAAAGTTCAGTTTGCAACTGGACATGAAGTTTTCTAATAGACGTTTCGCCTCTCATCCAAGAAGCTGCTTCAGTTCTAACTAGTGGTGGGGTGCAATGAGATTAATATGCTGTATGTGTAACAAAATAAAGAAATAATATTTTTCCCCTAGTTCCTTTGTTACACCATAAAATGAAAACATTTTAAAATAAGACGTTCAATAAAAACAATGCTTTGGACAGGGTCAAAAACAGATACCAAGGGCTTTGGGAACATCATCACCCATATCAACATTAATGGGTTTGAAGACTATCATGTTCGCAAGAATTGTAAAGTTCTTTATATTTATGTATAAAGTGCAGCACAATGTCACACACATGTTAAATAGTTTTCTTAATAATCCATAGCTGGCTTATTTGCGTGTCATTGTTATAAGAATATAAATAAAAAATATAATATAAACCAAATTTTAAGAGTGAAATTGTGCTCATGGACTAAAAGGTGAAATTACTGTTACGCTTTTTGAACATCTTCACCATCATTGCTGATATTAAGTTACATTGAATTTTTTATTTTACCATCTTTAATAAATATACTCCAAAAATATAGCACTGTTTTAAAATGTACAGGGAATATTTTAACTGAAACTAAATATGAGTGAAAATTTATTAAAAAAAATACATTGTTAATCATATTTATACAGTAAATGTGGAGAGCACTGTTAAAAAAGACCCCAAGGTAGAACAATAAAAAGATAAGGAAGAGAAGTATTTCCCTTTTAATTCCTCTGGTGCATGTTTCCACTCTGAGTTTCTTTCCCCATCAGGTTCATCAAAGTTCAAGCATTAACCAAACCCTCATAATGGGAACTTGATAATGGGTCCATGCAGAATGAAAGAGATAATGAAGAGTTAATATGAAATGATCCTGAGTGTGTTAACTCGGACGCACATGGTCCATGCACACATTAAGATACTCACTTCTTCCACACGTTGTTGTGCTCCCAGAATTCATAGAGAATGAAGCGTGATTCATTTGCCAGCCGCTGAACTGCGATGCTGTCGAGTACAAAACAAAAGAGAAGGCACAAGTCATGCAGTCGCTAATTAGTGTACTACATCATGTTCCCCAACAGAGCCTCTGTGTCTAAACTGTTCTCTTTACAATCTGTCTGTGCAAGCAGTGATGCTATGTTCATAAATGCATTTGAATCAGACATTTGAGCTCCTCAGTAACTGAGTTTGCATTTAACAAAGAAATATGTTGAAAAACATACTATTTAGACAACAAAACATCAAAAATCATTTAAAATCCCCAACTCTGCTGATTTGATTGAAAAATTGAGGATACAAGTTATCCTAAGAGGGAGTGAGGTTTAAAAAAATGCAACAAAGATAAACATTTAAGGTCTTAAGGCAGAAGAAGAGGAGAATAAACATAATGTTTTGGCTAAACACAGCTTAAGCACAAGAAAAAAACTTGACAGGCGAGACAAATATTCCAACGCTGCAGCACATTTTCTCTACGTTATGTGTTTCGATGTTGCTATTATCTAATGCAATATTCTCAGCGGGATGTGAAACTATTTAGTAATCCTGAAATTCTGTCAAGAATGATACCTTTTCAAACTGCTAAACCAGTGGAAAAGATCTTTAGTAAATGTGTTATTTTACTGCTAACATTTGGTGAGTATTTTGGAGCTTGATTGCAGCTCCTATAATGACTACATGTAAAACATTTTCCCAGGCCCAAATGGTATTGAATAAGGAGACATCTTTTTTTGGCTGCAATTGGAAAATAATAGTGAGTTTTAAAAACGCTCACTTAAACTCCTTAAATCAGAGTATTTTGAGTTTTCTTAATTAAGCTGTGCAGATCTATGATGAAGACGGTAGCTGTGTTTGCATGGATACAAATAATTGGATTGAAGGTCTGATCAAATCAGAAATGTTTCATGGAAACGTGAATATTCAGATTAAAGATACTGACCTGATTTGATCCAATAGGAGATAACCTTCATTACGCAAAATAGAGGAGATTTTTGCTGAACACCATTCCTACTGGCGTCCATTTACACCCCCATTCTGATCTTTGGAGTAAAAGTAATCCTCACTGCACAAAAGCAATGTCAGTGTGACATTTCTCAAAAATTAAACAGTTCCACGCACACTTAAATGATCCAGCCAGATGAAACACTTGGTACATGTCATGATCAAATCATTGCATTTAGTGTCCATGTAAACAGATATTTTGAATTTCTGATTAACCAAGGTTTACTGTAGATCGGATAGGGGAATTTCTACGTAGCTACTATTATGTATAAACTTTTTTGCAAATATTAAATCACAAGAAAATCATTCATTAAATCTTTAAATCTTTCACCAGTGCACTTCTTAATATCAGATTTGGATCTGCAGAGTGAACCATCAAGCATCAGCTGCTTGAAATTATAGTTAAGTCAATTTGATGATTTATTTTTTTACTCTTTGTTCTATAAACTGAATTATGCACACAGGTTATTTCACATGCTAGCTGAGGCAGCAGTAAAATGGTAAAATGCTGACATGCGAAACATTAAAATTTAATTAATTTAAGATTTCTACGACAGCAGGTTCTATGTTTGATGAGAATAGAATTAAGCTCATAATTTGAATGCTGCTTCTATATACCTGTCATATGTTTGATATAATTATATTCCTGAGTTTGCTGTTTAAAATCAAATAAACAATGTTTTCATAATATATTTAACCGTATGTATAGTTTTTTTTTTCTCCTGAAGACAGAAAATAATCAAAGGGCATTCTGCTTTATCCATGTTTAGTGGACTAAGGATTGTTTATATTAGACAAACACAAAGTAACATGTATCTGTAAAGTAAACTTTACAATTCTGTCCTTTACACACTGCAAAAAGTGAACTAAAAGTAAGTAAAAAAAACTGGTAAATAAAATGATCTGCCAGTGGAATGAGAATTTTGCACTTAAAGTAAGAAGAAAAACATCACCACTATATAACTTAAAGTGCTGTCTATATAATTTTCCTACTTTAGAGGAAAAACTCAAAACTTCATTGGCAGATGGATCTACTTACCTGCTTAAATCAAATGGAAATACAATTATTTCAACTACCGGTATTTATATTTCACTTTTTCCAGTGTGAATGAGTGGCAGGAAAAGAGTTGTTGAAAGTTAGTAGAAGTATCACTTAGATGATGAGACCAAAATAGTTTTTTTTTTTGGCCTACATGAATTTGAATTGTGATTACTGGACCTTTATTGAAATTGCAGTACCTGGATTGGATTCTGATTTGTTTGGACCAAGTGATATTTTTCCCTGATATGAACTTTTGAAGTTCGTTCACCCAATTCTTCTGTGCTCCTTCAGTAACTATGGACTCCCAGGCCATCTGGAGAAGCTTCACCCTGAGTTCTATTTTTTAAAACTTGGGTCCATTCTGTTGTGGTACAAGACATTTTTGCAGGAATTTTCTTTTTACTTATGCTATTTCCATCAAGCTTTTCTGATGCAACACTTAAAAAAGCGCATTAGAAAAAGCTGATGGAATCGACTTGTAATGGTTACAAGTCGATTACAAGCTGCTGCATTGCATTATGGGCCCTAAAACATGCATCCATTCTGTGATGCATGGATGCATGTTTTAGACCTGCATGCATTGAGCCTTACCAGTTAGTTGGACCCAAATATAAATATTGCAAGAATTGAAAATCTAAGTTGTTAACACATTCCATCCAGTCTGACCAGAGAGAAAACCTCACTTTTCGTCCTGCATTTTTTTCCCCCCAGTCCAGAAAAGATCACAATGTTATGCTGGCATACACATAAAATCCCACTAAAACCCATTGTTTTGTTGTAATAAATGTTACAAAATGATCACTTTTTCACAGCAGAGTAGCTACATACTGTATATAATAACACCTAAACCAAATTCCTCAAAGGAGAAAGGATAGTAAAGCAAACTGACTGTAAGCATCCTGTCTGGACGGAGGCACAATCAATGTACTGCCTAAGGGCCAGTCGAAACTCCTCCAGCTCCTCCTCCAGCACCGACAGCTGCCTTTGGACTATTAGGATGGGCTGTGAAGACAACAAACATTCAAAACTTCAGTTTGCTTCTGGCACGTTTAAATTATCAGCCTATTTGGATATCTGTGGAGAAGATACTACTCTGAGGATAGACAGAAGTGGATTTTGACATGACAGAAAGAGCAAAGGGGTGTTTAAACTCAACCTCTGGTTGAGACGTGTGAAGAGCAGAAAAAGCTTGGTTTTAATCGTGACAGCAGAAAGTCTGCTTATCATTTCCTGAGGCTGATAATGTGACAGGGAAGGCTGCAGATGAGATTAGGAAGTGAATGGTCTGCAGGGTGGCAATAAGGTACACTGTGTGTGTTAATGAGGGGGTGTTTTCTGCAGAGGAGCAAAAGTCGATGAAATGACCCAGTGTTTGTGTGCAGCCAGGACTGAGGCCCTCAGGATCCTATTTCTGTGGCTAATTGGGGAGAAAGACAGACACGATCTCAAGTTGTCAAACACATAAACAGCCACACATCAGGCTGGTCATTAATGGTTTCTTCAGCTACCATTTTATCTTGAGTGACACAAACCGTTAAGTCAATTACACGTTGATTCATTCATACAGAGATCTGCTCTGAGGCAGTAATGAGAAATTATCTTTTCATCTCCATGGATTAATTTACATCAGTATACTCGTTCTGTGCATATTACTTATTTCTTAGAGTAAATAGACTCTTAGGTCCTTTAACTTTATGCACATGACATCATATTGCCACAACAGTCAATGCATTTATTAGGATTTATTATGATCAACCAACACAAAGTTGTGCAGTGAAGAATTGAGATCTGGAAGGGAAACAATGGTTGTTTTTGGAGGGTGTTTTGGTAACAAAATCTAAAATCTGTGTTTTCCTGTTGTATGTAGCACATCCAAGTTAGTCTTTGTAGGATCACCTTTTGCAGCAGTTGGATGTGCAGGTCTTTGTCTGTAAAATCTAGATGTTTAAAATTGTTCCCATTCTTCGTTGTAAATAGCCTGGACAGATTAGATGGGTTTACAGAGAGGACCAAAAACTAAGCCTTGTTTTGGCTTAAAAAACATGCAAATTGAACCGGATGAACAGGTCCGCCCCTTAGGAATGCGGGTCGTTTGGGGTCTTTGTTAGCCTGCAATACCGGATACCTGTCTATGTATCTGAAAGGGGGGAGTCATTAGAGGGAATTGTTGGCCTGGCTGAACAGGCAAGGTTTTCTTCCCCTGTAAGGGGCTGCAATGATAGCCGGAAGGGATTAACTCAATTGCTGCATTGTAGGTTTTTGAAAGCTGAAACCTGAATCCGCCCCCTCTGTTTAAGGTTGTTTTTTTCTACCTTAACATAGATTCACACCCCTCTCTAACCATCTATCTTCTTTATCCAAAATTTGAAAACATTTTGGTCCTCAAAAGAATGTCCTTTGTCCATAGTTTGTAGATGTACTGTAGAGTCTTGTCCCGAGGAGGTAGCTCTTCTGTGTCGGGCCATGCGTCTGTGGAGAGGTATTGCAGGCTAACAGATAAACCCAAACAACCCCCATTCCAAAGGTGCAGACCCGTTTGTCCGGTTCAATTTGCATGTTTTCTAAGCAAAAACAAGGATTTGTTTTTGGTCCTTTCTATAAAGCCTCAAACTCAACACTATTTCTGACATTTTGAATTGAAAAAGCTTCCTGGATGGTAAGCAAAACTTATTTAAACTTTTTTTGGAATGACTATGACCTGGATGACTGTGAATCTTCAATGGCAAAATTAGTTAAATGTTTTTTTGAGTAACATTCTTCACTGATAACTTTACTTCAAATTAAGTGAAGTATTTTATCTAACTTACCATACTTTTACCTGATGTGTGTGTAGGCGTGGGGGGGGGGCGAATGGCACCTGTGGGGTGCCATTCGCCTGGGGGGCCAATCAGATTTTAGGTTGGGGTCCAGTGCCCCTTCTCCTCTCTCTAGCTCTGCCCCTGTCAATACTTACCCTTTCAATGGATTCTCCTTCAAATTTAAGTCTGAACTTTGATTCATATACTCTATTCTTAACAGTACTGTAAAGGCTATAATTATTATTTTAGGTTGTTGTCCTGCTGGAAGGTGAATCTCTAACATGCTTATCCTGTGTTTTTGTCCCCATTCGCCTCCCTATGATCTCTAAACAACTTCCCTGTACCTGTATATATATAAACACATACATATATATATATATATATATATATATATATATATATATATATATATATATATATATATATATATATATATATATATATATATATATATATATATATATATATATATATATATATAGTGTCCTACACAGCGAGGCATGGAACTGATTTTAAAACCTCCCACAGCCTGCAGTCACAAAAATTGTTTTAATGTTGTTTAGGTCATGAGTTACTAAAGTAGGGCATTAAAAAATAGGTCTTTACTAACATCTTATGTAACGTCATAAAAGTATTCACTTTCCCCTCGCAGCTGCAGGCTAACTTATGCATTTAGTCGGCTCTGTTTAAGTCCAAAGAGACTTCAGCAGAGCGGTGGAGCACGCAGGCACAGATAGGGCAGAAGGTGGGTATTAGGCTTAATCATGTCTTCCTAGTCTGAGTTCCTGGCAAACAAATCTAACAAGGGTAGTTCAAGCTAAAGGTGAAGGCCCCCAGACACCTGCATGACTTTTTATGTGATACATCTTATAAATAAAGGTGGTATAAAGGATTTACATCATATTGAAGGAGAATGTACTGGAACACAAAGGAAGCACATGTGTAAAAGCTTTTCCTCTTGCAACCCACTTTTTTATATTAGGCTATTTTATTTGCTTTTTTTTTTTTTATTGATCTGCTTTCACGTATGGGCAGTAACGATAGACCCAGACTTGTTCGATGTTACCTCAGTTGAAAAAGCAGTCACAATGCACATAGCCTCAAGACTAGATTAAATGTGTTTGTTTGTTTACATGTCTGTGTAGTCATAATGCGTATAACTTGTTTTGACCCTTTGATAAGTCATCAAGACAGAAAAAATAGAACCAACATTATCCATTCAAACTGAGGTGTCTGTCTACATGTCAAACATCCTCATACCTTCATACCCGAATTAACCATAGATGGACGGATTAATAATGATGGCAGGCTAAGTAAAAAAAAAAAAAAAAGCAGGGAAGCACTACTGTTTCTATGGCAACTGCTGTCTTGTCATTATCAGTCTTGCCTCGGCTTCTGTAAAACCCCTCCACATGACAGCGGAGAAATAAACACAGCACAGACCCTGACTGGTGAAAGGAGGATGAAAGTCAAACCAACCGATTTGCTCTCCAGAACCTCCTCTTCGACGGGCTCCATACGGATCTCCTGCAAGAGAGGAGCAAGTTTATGGCATTGAGTTCTTTACCTGTGTTACAGCATACAGATGTGCATTTTGTTTTCATTTTTACATAGATATTGGTACAAGTTTAGAGGGAAATCTTAGATCACAACTTAGACTACATATAATTATCAAAACCACGTTTAAGCAGGAAGTTAAATTTGAAATACAAAATATTCTTAAATAGCCACTATTAAAAAGCTGTTTTAATTTGCTTTAATGAAAAAAATTACAACACAATTACATACAGTATTATACCACCATATATGGAATGGCACAACTCTCGATTGTCATGTAAAAAATGAGGGCATCCTAAATCAGTTTTTCATGTGCAATACTATCAATGATTCTTTTATTGTATTCTACAGCTTTAAACACATATCTTAAACTAGTTTTCATTTATTCTGGATTTTTTTATTATCTTCTAGTCCTGGTCCCTGTAGTCATTTTCTTTTTTTAGATGATTCCCAGCTTCAACAAACCAGATTCAAACGATTCAGTAGATTTTTTGCAGAAACCTGTTAATGACTGGTTTTATTCATTGAGGATATTTGAATAAAGGTAATGATGTCAGCATAATGGATAATAATGAACCTTGATGAAGATGATGGCCCGTATTCAGATTTAAAGTATATTTCAAAAATAGCAACTTTTAGGGCGGTATTTCTCTATTAAAATGTTTTTGTATTGGTCTGGCATTAAATTTTAATGTTTAATTTAATTTAACATGGTCATACATAAACAGGTTCTCTTCAGTCAAAGGCTTTTTCCTATCAAGTGTAGGACAGACTGCTACAAGGAAAGATTCTACAGCCAAAAGAATCTACTACAACTTGTTAAGGGAACCCATATAAGTTGAGACAACGTTTATTTCCTTTTAGACTTATTAAAGTATTTTTGAATAAAATTTTAGTAGCTGTAAGCTAAAAAATGGTTGTTAAGACAAGTAAAAGCTTGAAAATGTTACTCTGACAATTACAATTATACGAGATGTGTATCATTTAGGGGTCATTCACAATTCAACATTTTAACATGTGTACAAAACATACTTTCTTAAACCCCCCCTATCTTATATCAAAACATATCAATAAATCGAACAAAAAGAAACTGAGTAAAATTTTCCTGCACAAATATAACAAAATATGTAATAATATGAGCTACACAAGTGTATGTGTCGTTCACTTGTTAAAACTGTGAATGACCTATTAGGGACTGCAGAAAATGAAATAAATGAAGTTTTCAAAAATATTCAAACTTGTTGGTCTGTATATTTAATTCTACGGTATATAACCAATCCCCCATTTCTTGTCACCGAGGTCTCATCAGAATCACCCTATTTGAGTTTGATCTGCTTTATATCTTCTCTATGAGCATATGTGTATGTGTTCATAATGTGGGCAGGTGCTGTTTTACACTCTGAAATTGTTGTGAATCTGCTCATGATTTGGAGTCGGTTTCAGGAGATAATGTATTGAACAGATCGCTGGAGGCAAACAAAGACACAAAATAAGTTGTAAGAAGAATAATATAAGAAATATTCTTAATAAAAAGGTGAAGCCACCTTCTGCTCTAGGCGGTCGATAAGCTTCTGCAGCCTGTTGACCTGAACCGTCCACTGACAATCTTCATCATAAACACCTAGGGGAGAAAGGAAAAGCACAGAGGGAGCTGCATAAAAAAAAAAAAGATGAAAGCTGCTGCATACATCACAGCTATTTAAAATATTTTTAGCCATTGACCCTTTGGAGCAAATGCAGGTATGAATGACGGCAGTGTGCCAGGGGGTCAATTCAGGGTTTCCTTTCATGTCAGGCGGCAAACAACCAGGACAATCAATAGGAACGCTTCGAGTCCTGTAATCGCTTTGTTTGGCTCCTGTGCCTGTTTCCCAGATCTGCAGGCAATCACAGCCGGCGGTGCGTTGGAGAGGCAATGAAGAGGTGACTGTGTGAAATCAATGGTTAAAAAAAATGATGAGAACTGAAATGGAGACAATCAGTCACTTCTGAATCAGACACAAACATAACTTGTATCAGGTCTGGAAATGTGAGGAAAATGTTAGCTTTGTTTTCAATAAATATTATTATTTAGACTAGGTTTGTAGGAGCATACAGGTGCTGGTCATAAAATTAGAATATCATGAAAAAGTAGATTGATTTCAGTAATTCCATTTAAAAAGTGAAACTTGTATATTATATTCATACATTACATACAAACTCATATATTTAAGATGTTTATTTTGTTTAATTTTGATGATTACAAATGACAACAAATGAAAATCTCAAATTCATCATATCAGAAAATTAGAATATTACTGAAGACCAATAAAAACAAAGGATTTATAGAAATGTTGGCCAACTGAAAAGTATGAACATGAAAAGTATGAGCATGTACAGCACTCAGTATTTAGTTGGGCCTCCTTTGGCCTGTATTACTGCAGCAATGCGGCGTGGCATGGTGTCGATCAGTCTGTGGCACTGCTCAGGTGTTATGATAGCCCAGGTTGCTCTAATAGTGGCTTTTAGCTCTTCTGAATTGTTGGGTCTGGTGTATTGCATCATCTTCTTCACAATACCCCATAGATTTTCTATGGGGTTAAGGTCAGGAGAGTTTGCTGGCCAATTAAGAACAGGGATACCATGGTCCTTCAACCAGGTACTGGTAGCTTTGGCACTGTGTGCAGGTGCCAAGTCCTGTTGGAAAATGAAATCTGCATCTCCAAAAAGTTGGTCAGCTGCAGGAAGCATGAAGTGCTCTAAAACTTCCTGGTATGTGGCTGCGTTGACCCTGGACCTCAGAAAACACAATGGACCAACACCAGCAGATGACATGGCACCCCAAACCATCACTGACTGTGGAAACTTTACACTGGACTTCAAGCAACGTGGATGAAGTGCCTCTCTTCTTTTCCTCCAGACTCTGGGACTTTGATTTCCAAAGGAAATGCAAAATTTACTTTCATCAGAGAACATGACTTTGGACCACTCACCAGCAGTCCAGTCCTGTTTCTCTTTAGCCCAGGCAAGACGCTTCTGACGCTGTCTGTGGTTCAAGAGTGGCTTGACACAAGGAATGCGACAGCAGAAACCCATGTCTTTCATACGTCTGTGTGTGGTGGTTCTTGAAGCACTCACTCCAGCTGCAGTCCACTCTTTGTGAATCTCCCCCACATTTTTGAATGGGTTTTGTTTCACAATCCTCTCCAGGGTGCGGTTATCTCTCTTGCTTGTACACTTTTTTCGACCACATCTTTTCCTTCCCTTCGCCTCTCTATTAATGTGCTTGGACACTGAGCTCTGTGAACAGCCAGCCTCTTTAGCGATGACCTTTTGTGTCTTGCCCTCCTTGTGCAAGGTGTTGATGGTCGTCTTTTGGACAACTGTCAAGTCAGCAGTCTTCCCCATGATTGTGTAGCCTATAGAACTAGACTGAAAGACCATTTAAAGGCTTTTGCAGGTGGTTTGAGTTAATTAGCTGATTAGAGTGTGGCACCAGGGGCCATCAATTTTGAACCTTTTCACAATATTCTAATTTTCTGATATGATGAATTTGAGATTTTCATTTGTTGTCATTTGTAATCATCAAAATTAAACAAAATAAACATCTGAAATATATGAGTTTGTATGTAATGTATGAATATAATATACAAGTTTCACTTTTTAAATGGAATTACTGAAATCAATCTACTTTTTCATGATATTCTAATTTTATGACCAGCACCTGTATTAACTCTGACGAAATGATGCTTAATAAATTTGCTGCCAAATGAACATTAGCATATCATGAGGCTTGAAATTAAAAGTACAAACTAATGTTGTTGTATCTCAATTAATATAGAATCGCTCTGATGTCATATCAGTGTAAGACTTTTGATTCGTCACCTAAAGTTATGTACATTTTACATTAACCAAAAACAAAACTAAATCCAAGTATACAGCACTCAGATAAAACCAAACTGAAAGTTGGGGGGATAATGATAGGTCTGTAGAAACTTTGGATGCAATGGATAAGGTCCACAGCACAGGAGCAGGACAGCAATCAAATCTAGTCTTAATGGAGCAGCTGCTGAGAAAACTGGAGTCAGTCCTGTTTGCAGATCATCACAAGCCAAGTAGAGGACACTGCAAACATGTGGATGGATGCGTTCTGGTCAGATGAAACAAATCAAAATTTCTGGTCTTTGTACAAAATACTTTCTTGTGGAAAAATTGTTCTTCAAAGAAGGGAGAAGGAATTGGTCCCTAGATTTTCAAAAGCTGTTAAAAACTTGTAGCCCAATAAACAAGACTAAATGTTTAAATGTGTAATTTCTTGTTTGCTAATTATTTAAAACTAATAAAATCCACCACTGTTGTTGTATAAACACATGATAATCATACTTTGTCGCATAAATGCATATGATCTTACAATTCCTTACTTTTTTGTTGGATGTGAAACTATAACCACACGAAATTGGGGCAGTAACTGATATTGGTTATGAAACCCCTGATCTGTAAATTTCATTGATGCGTATTTAAAACCCCAAAGCTCCATCTGAGGACAGCAATTCCCCTCCAGGCTCTCCCTGCCCTTTACTCTGCCTCACCTCTGCTTACCTTCCTTCCACCTCTTTGTTGTGCATTCTGATCAGCAGAGATGGGCTCGTTTTTTACCTTGCAGCTGTTTCTTTGCAAACACCAACATCGCATTAAGTTATTTAAAATGAGCATCAAATATGGAAACACATAGGCCTACCTGAGTTAACCAGACTGAGGAGAGGGTTGCTGGGAGAGAGGCTGTTGTTTCTCTGAAGCCTTCGATTGGACCGACGACCAGAGAGCTGGATGGAGAGACCCTCTGGCTTTACTGGGCCCTGTCTGGACTCATAAAAGATCAGTTTTAGCCTCACATCAATACAGTATTAGTTGATCTCATTTGGTGCCAATTTACAACAAATCTTGTCTAAACAACAACAAACAAGATAAAAAAAATAAAAATAAAAAATGTATACAATGACATTTACAATCTATCATATTTAATCATGTAGTGTAAACAGATGCAGCTAAATGGATTCCAAGATTTTAAACAATGATGTTAAGTTAATTTACCATTCCAGTTGTTCAAAGTTTTATATCTACGGAAATTCAGCCAATTTACATCTGACTTTTCAGCAGCAACTCTTCCTGAATGAGAATGTAGCCACAGAGAACAACCAATTGCATTGACTACTTAGCTTTGCAGCATCCCTTGGACTGAACGTGCATTTAGTGACAGTAGAAAATCCTATTTAAAAAGAAGAAACCTCCAGGACAACATCATTGAATTAAAAAGAAAAAGTAGTTTTAATGGGAGCAGTAGCTCCTATAATGGCTTAATTTAGGAGAGAAACACAAATCAAATAGATAAGCTCTGAGCTATCTGTAAAATCCTTCAATTAAGAGAGAATACTTAGTTGCAGTATTGCTCCTTTAAATACTTTGTCGTTAAACAAAGTAGTGTATAATTCATAGAAAGAGAACATAGAATTAATGCAGCTATAGCTCAGCCAGTGAACCACTTAGCATAAGCTAGGTCTGCTTCCATGAAGAGAGAAGAGAGAGAAAACATAAAGTTAAAAGCAGCAAATCATGCAGATAGTGAGTAACTGGAGAGGGTGTAGCAGAAGTTTATGTCCTCCAGCACTCTAAGCTTATAGCAGAAATCTTTAACATCAGGACCATGATCACTTTTTTTGTAAGAGTTAAAACTTGGGATCGCTCTGAGGTGACTAGATGGAGCTGGGAATACATTTAGCAAACCCAGAGTTGTCCTGTTTTATTCCTGTAACATTGACACTAATGTTAGTGACAAGGTGCATACTCCCAGAGGGTGACATCACCTAAGATTTATCATACTGTCTCCAACTTGTTTTTTCCCCCTACACTGAAAAGACTGGAGGGATTCTGAGCACACACAGATTTTTTTTATGCTGAAAGTTTATTTTAGGTTCTTCTGCACAATCCCTTTTGAAACCTCGGCGGATTTCTACCTATTGGTGGTTCTCTGTAATCTCAAGGCTAATAATTATTTAACCCTGTTGCTTCTGAAAAACGTAGGCCAGCATATGGCAATGTTTATATAAAACAAAAGATTCATTAGAATTTGAACTCTCCACATCTTCTTCAATTTGATCCAGTAAGGACACCACTAAACCGACTGAAAGATAAAAATGCGTGTTAAAAAGCTAAAACAGCTGATAAACTATAACAATTTAGATCTGATTAAGTTATTTTTGATTGGAAATAAGAAAATTATATATTCAAGCTATCAAATAATTGATTATATACTTACCAAGCATGGATTTTTGTAAAATTTGTTAATAAACATTAACTGTCTTTTTAAGAATTTAACCAAAACATCGTGTTTGATTAATTAGATGTCTGTAGGGTAACTTTTACATCTTCTTCTTACTACGCTTTCAGTGTAAATTAAAATTACGTTACGTAGAACACCCTGACTTGCAAAGGGTCATTTGCTTCTCTGCCTATGGAAAAAAGAAACATACAATTTGCTTTTGGTTTTCGTTTTATGTTAAATCAGACCCAGTGATCCCCCTAATATAGGTAGGAACCAAGCCATGCCTCATATGTTCCTCTGCACCCCAATACTGATGCAGCCAGTGTGTTTAGCATAGGCTCTTGGTCTAATATTAGCAATCACTAAAATCACCAATAGCAATAGTTTTCCTAGCATTAAAACATATATTAAAAGTGTTTGATTGGTGAACAGAGTAGCTAAAGGTTAAAGCCAATGCACTGCACTAGAGAAGTGCTTAAAAAGGCATTATATGTGCAGAGAGTGTGTGGACTGTTGGCTTCATGTGTCAAAATCTAAGTCATTTCCAGCTTAGCAGGTGGTAAATTCTCAGTTGGACTTTCTGTATTTAAATTTATGTAGATATTTTTTTCTTTATATGCATTTTAATGCCCTTTTTCTTAAAGGGCTCCATTGCGAACCCCTGATTCAACTATTGTAAATTTAAAAACAAATAAAATGGTAAAGACCTTGTTTTTCTAGAATAAGGACATGCTTATTCATGCTGATTTACTACTAAAAAGGAGAGCTGCAGGGGGCCTATGACACCATTTAGTCCCCAGCCAAATTCAGTTGAAATGTAGTGTGAAATATCCACAAGCTGACATCTGGTATGTATTATGGGTATTTCTGAGTCTACTGGTGAGTCATAATCTCAGCCGCATAGCCACTTTCATAGGTAAAACTGGCATCTTAAAAGGAGAAAAAGAGGACTTCAAATGCTGGAGAGCAAAGTGGGAGGCCAGAGAAATAACAGTCAGGATAATAATGATAATAATAAGTCCGTCACCTTCTGTTTAAGCTGAAGAGCCAACCTATTATTTAAAGAGCTCAGTTTACAAGTATATACAACATTCTTTGAAAAGTCAGAGTAAAATTCAATATTAATGGGTATGAATGTAAGACTAAGAAGATAGTCTGTGCAAATAAATGGCTTTGCAAGAAGAAAAATATAATTTGAAATTCATAATATCAGATAAGCCTGGTGCAAAGTATGGCTTTAGGTCAGAACAGCTCTTCATTTGCTCACAGCCTCTTAAAAGCACAAAGGTAAATTAAAACCCACCACAGTAACAGCTCCTGATGTTTGCCAGAGCACAGTGATTACATCCAGACTCACAGGGGGATTTATCAAGTAACAAGACAGAGAAGAGGCAGCCGGGGAGTGAGGGAAGGTCACATTGTAATGATATAAAATAGGAAGTATTGAATGGAAGTACATTTTAAATGTGTATAGCATGTTCTATTGATTTGTCCTCTTTCCAAGCTCAACATACAATTCGGGAGAAGTTGCAATGTTTTCAATCTCTCTAGGTCTGGGTTTGAGACCTAGGAGACCTTTATTAAAGCTTAATCATTGGTAAAATTGTTATGGCTGAGTGTCTAGGGAGCCACAACTTGATAAATTGAAAAACCAAATATAATTTCAACTCAGAGCCAGACATTTTACGAGTGTGAAGGTGTGAAACAGCATTAACACAAATTTGCCCTTAATGTTTCTCAGTTAAAAAATAGTCTTTTTAAAATACACGTTTTCGACATTAAAGAGCCTTTCTACTCAAACACTCAGAACAGGAGACCCAGTTCTATCTATGACAAGACGCAGACAGGTGAAAAAGTTTACATCATTAGCCGTCGAATAAATATAGGGTGCCACAAATAAACACAGACATTACCCGCAGGGAGGATTCACCTACACTGCAAAAACAATCCAGAAATAAGTAAAAAATGGCTTAAATTAAGTATATTTAGCCTTAATTTGAGCAGGTAAATAAGATGATTTGCCAATGGAATGAGTATTTTCACTCTTAAAATAAGATAGTTAGATAATATTTACTTGAAATAAGACGATAAAATAGTTTTTTCTTATTTTAAAAGGAAATTGTCTTGTTCCATTGGCAAAGTGTCTTACTTATCTCCTCAAATCAAGGAAAAACACACTTATTTTAAGAAAAAATAACTTATTGAGATTTATATTTTTTGCAGTGTATACGTCTGTCTGCACAATGCAATCCATGTGAGGGATCTGTGCATGTGTGAGCTGTGAGTCATTGCCAACGCTAATGACCTGAGCACACCGGAAGCATGTTGGAGCTCTGAATACACACCCAGACTCGTCAAGAACTACATGCACACATGCAACCAAACCCTCTGAGAATCACTGCCTGCTCATGGCTGAACCCTTTTGACAAGAACCACTGAGGGTTCATCATCACCAGCCAGTACTGTTATTGATTTATGAATAAACTATCTAATGATGAGCAGGGGTGAGATTTAAATGATATGTTAAATAAGATGACATTTTTGCTATTTTTAGAAAATTTCTTACTTGTAATCTTACATTTTTATGCAATTACCTTTTTACTCTTTAAATTTGAGGAAACAAACTAGCTACTTGTATTCCATTTCACCTTGTTTTCGTGATGGCTGACAGTATTTGAAAAAAAAAATACTGAAAACTATGAAGAAAGCAGAACGACATGCAGATGTAAATAGCTTAGCATGAATGTTTACAATAGTTATGCTGCTCTAGGCTGCTCTAGGCTTAGACTGCTGGAGGGCATAGGGACCCTTTTTTATCCTTCTGCTTCATTCTATCTCTATTGTCTAATTCTTCAGAATTTGTTGGTTCAATCTCTTACATTACACTCTCTCTGCTTTTTCTCGTAGTAGCTTCATCTGATCTGTTCCTGTTTGGCTGTGTCACCCTCCTGGAGAGTTTGTGGATGTTGGGGTTTGGCCTGTTTTTCAGTATAGTCCTGTTTCTCTGACTGTGACTAACTGTATGTGCTCTCTTTCATCTTCTAACATGGGAGCTGGCTGGAACCCTTCTGCCTGGCTGTGCGTTTCCTGGACGGGTAAGCCTGTGGAGCTGGTTGACAGTTGCCTTATGTATCTCTGCTTCTTTCTTTCTGTATGCCAGCTTTTTTCTCCTTGAACCCCAGTTGGCCACAGTAGATGGCGGTTCACACTGAGTCTGGTTCTGCTGGAGGTTTCTTCCTGTTAAAAGGGAGTTGTTGCTCTCCACCGTCGCCACAAGCAAGCTTTGTGTGAGGGATTGCCTTTGAGTCAATAAGTCCATGAATCAACTAGTTTTCCGTAAAAAAAAAAACTTTGAACCAATCTGACTCTGTCTTTGATCTGGTTGAATTGTCTCTGTTAAGATGATGTTGAGATGGTGTTGCTATATAAATAAATTGAATTGATTTGAATTGAATGTATTGTCTTCTACTTATCCAAGACCCAATTAATCAAGTAGAGAAAGGAAACTCTGTCTTTCTTCTCAGTGAAAGCTCATTTGGCGGATTCTGAGACATTCTTACACCAAAAGAATAATCTAGGGCACCCAAGTTCTGGTTCTCTTGTTTCCCCTTTTGTTCTTTCGTCTTTATTTTGTTATAAATGTGGCCTATCCAGGCGGCTGTCCAAGCACCATGTGACTTGCTGTATCATTAATTCGATAAAGTTACCAGCAACTTTTTGCCTCCTGTCGTAGATCTCATCTATTACTAACACCAAAAAGCAACCAGACCCCCTACATTGTTTTCCTGTTGCAGACTACATATTTTTATAAATAACAATTTAAACAAGTTTTATTTTTCTCTTTTGAAATTTATATAATAAAAATACTATAAAACTCTTTATGACTAAGGGGGATTAACAGCAAGTATGTAGGTCCACCGGCTCGCTTGGCCCTCTCTTGGTGTCCCCTCTTGTCCTGATTACATCCTGTCTTAGTCCCTTCTCTCAGATCTTAACAAGCTCTCTTTAATTGGCTGACGTTTGTCTGTATCAAGGCGATGAAAATGTACTTAATAAACAAATGATGAGTCACATAAGTTGTGTCTATTACAAAGAGGAGCAGGTGTATAGGCATGCATGTCTCTAATGAGAGATATAAATTACAACAAACAAAACATGCACGTAATTATTAGCGTCTAATTACAGGTCTCAATGTTCATTTTCATGTTTTGGTGCCTGAGTGTGCGATTGTGCTTGTTGGTGTGAAGGACCAGAGGGATTTGCACTCACTTCTCCTGGCGAGTTTGCTCAGCTGTGGTTTCCATGGCGCACTCAAGCGAGCTTTGAAGTGAATGAAGCTGATTGGTTGTCTCTTTCAGCAAGAAGCGGGTCACAAACTGCTCCAGGTGGGTGGACTCCTGATAGTCCTGTCAATCAAGGTGGGGAATAGGGGGAGGACAAGTTTGAGTGGGCGGAACAACAAAGGGAAGCTGTGACAGGTTTCGAATGCCACTCCAGAGTCACTAAACGTCCAAACCTCCTATGCTAATTAAAATGTACCCACAAGATTGTTCAGGAGAGATTATGTAACACTTCTTCTCAAGAGGAAAAAACATGGAAAAGTGTATGAGGAAGAAGTGTTAGGTTTCATGGATATTTCTAATATTTACGATGCAAAATTGATCGTACTTTCTGTGATTCCTGTTTTGAGATTACTAAAATAATTTTAATGCTTTAAATGGCATGATATGTGCACCAAGTCCTCTGGGTTTAAAATAGCCATAGAGCCTAATACTGCCACCTCCGTACCTCACAGTTTGGATGGTGTTGATTTGTTTCGGAGTAATGGCTTACCGGGCTCACCAGGTTGCCTTTCAGACCATTCTATTACATCTAATTTTGCCTCAAGTTCTGATAAAGTTTGGCCAACTGGTAGGTGTATTTTTCCTCAAACAACTCTTCAACATCATCATCATAACTTGTAGCTTTTTTGAAAACTATCCAGACATTTCTCAATTTGGGCTAGACAAACCAAGTGCTTTCTCAAACTCAGAGTTTTTTAATTTGTCTCCTTTGGAAGAAATTTACCTTGAAAACAGAGATAGATTGCATGCACTCTTCCATAATGTCAAAAGATAACAAATATGTAGATAACTAAGTAAAATCCTTTTTTGAAAAAAGATTAGTGATCCAGTTATGAACCGCAGTGCACTGTCCTGCTCCTTCTGCAACTAGGTTTTAAATGCTGGTCTTCAAACTTCAGAATATGGCCAAATAAAGTTTAATAAATATGAAAACTTTAAGCGCTTTTCCACCCTTTCTTTTGACCTCTGACCTTTAGCAGCAGATTAACGGATTAGAGGTTGGATCTTAATTTTTGGCTTGTTTATTTACTTATTTATTTTCAGGAATACCACTAATTACCACTAATGCTATGTTGCTAGGTTACTTAAAATCCATCCATCCATCCATTTTATGTTAAGCTGGGTGCTCACGAGGGGTGCTGTTGGCTATTTCAAGCTGTCTACGGGCGAGAGGCGGGGTACACCCTGGACAGGTCACCAGTCCATCGCAGGGCAACACAGAGACAAACAAGAGAAATAACCATTCACACACACATCTAATGCTGAGCCTTCGACACACCTGAGGCGCATCTCATCATCAGAGGATCCACAGTATATAAGCTGCCTTCAGACCTTGCCTCGACGCCGCAGTGTTAAATCCAGTTGGTTAGCACCTAAGCCTAGTATCTTCTGAGAACCTTTGTTGCCATTGAATCCAGATAGGATTCTTACCCTTTGTCTCTGTTTTTAGGAATCCTGTTTTTCTCCTGTGAAGCTCTGGAAGAGCTTAACCTGCCGAGCCTGCCCTCTGAGCCAAACCTGAAGACTCTTCTCTGGATTCCCATGCAGCTCTGGACTAAGAGCTGGAAACTCAAAACCAAGGTCTGCCCTCACGCTAGAAGTAAGACGCTGAAGCAGTTATCGGACTCTGCTGAACAAAACTATCTCTGGACCCAACAGTGCCTCTCTCAAAGCTTTAACCGGACTTCTCAAGGTATAAACCTGAAACTCTCTAAATCAAGCTCAACTGATTCAACGCTAACTGAACTGTCTCCTACACAGACTCCAGTGAACCAGCCCCCAGGCCTGAACCAGTACCAGTGTTATTTCCATGTGCTTTGTGAACAAATAAACTTGTTAAACTTTTCTTCAGTCTCCGTGGTGTTCTGCATCTTGGGCCTTTCAGTAACCCATCATGACAAATTAACCTAATAGTCATGTTTTTGGACTGTGGGAAGAAGCCGTGAAGTAACTAGGTTTATGTGGTATGGCCTTAAACCTAGTTACTTTAAATAACTTTGACATTCAACCACCAGTTTTTGTATGCCTTATTATAGGGTGCTATAAATAAATATTTTCAAATGAAACATAAGATAAATCTAAAGTCCATCATTCTTTAGATAAACAAAATAATCCTTTGAGTAAGTGAGGAATACATCCTGTGGACAAAATAATACCATTTTATACTAACTATTTATTTACATTATTGCAGATTAAGCAACCATTAGGAAACTGATTGTATATTGGCACCGTAGAATAGAATAGAATTCAACTTTATTGTCATTACACTGTCACAATTACCAAGCAAAAAAATGTAGTTTGCATTTATCCGGAGGTGCTATATGGAATAGAGATATCTATCCACATGTGTACAGAAACCATTTATGTATTGATTATAAATGGTATATATAGGCAGATAGTAATTGTAAGAGGCTATAAAATAAATAAATATGAAAACAATATACAAATTTTACAGAAATGTTAGGATATGGATTATATATATATTAGTGGGGTTATAATACAGGATAAATAACTATAGTTGAGAAATGCATGTAAGTGGTGTTTGATCCGTTATAGTTACAGTTAATGTTCAAGCCAATTTAAGGCAGCAAATTAGTATCAACCTGCCCCCATTTTTTCAAAGGAAAGTGTTTATTTGGGACATTATAGCAGGAAACCAAACCTACCCTGATTTCTTCTGACTGACGGATAATAAGAAAATAAAGAAGTAAGGAACTGAAGTCCATTTCTACTGTTATCCTGTGGTCCATGAGAAATGAGTTGATGAATCATCCTGATGCAGCCTTTTTTTTCCTGATTTGCACAACAGGTGTTTGCATAATGAGCAAAACATGTTTATGTTTCTGCTATGTTTAATAGTCAACCTCAATGTATGATGGAGTCATTGGCATCTTGTCATTTTATGAGGTTTTTTTTTTTTTTTTTTGGTCAGGCTGTGACTATTGGATAAACTTACTGAGATGGAAAAATATACCTCTGACATTGAGGACATATCATCTGCTGTGCCAGAAACAAAGCAGGAGGGCTGACTGTTTTTTAGAATCTAATCAAAGGGGAGGTAAAGGTGCTTGGCTCTGTAGAGTTAGATCTGCACGCTCTGCAGCTGCTCACTCAGTTCTGAGCTCTGAGACTATTCTTATTATAAGCAAAACCAAGATTTAAAAACATAGAAGTGTACAAAAAAGATATGCTGATTGAAAATAAAAATGTAGTTACATTTCTGACCACATGGTGTGTCATTCTGCTAACCAGAAATATATAATCCTTTATGCTAACACATTTTGAACATAAATGTGCAATGAACTGAACTCTGACAGACTGGTAAAGGTCAGCCACTTGCAGTCTCGGCAGCGTATGTTCGTTTCACAGATTTACAGTCATTTAAAGTAAATTTGCCGTCTGCCTGATTTTTATTCCTTTTTGCCTCTCCTACATACTTAATTGCCTGCTGCACAAAAGGTCAAATGGGAGCTGTGGTGAAGGCAATGACTTTTAACTCTCTGCATATACTTCTGTCCAAAAACCCACCATGCAAAAAGAAAATGTCTGAATTTATACAAATCTGGACCTTTGCCTGCAAATGATCCTAGACATGACGTATCCTCCATACTAAAAGAAAAAATAATGAAAAATCTTTAAAAACTTAAAGTTCCTTATCATCCCAACACATTTACTTCAACTCAATGATTTGCTTTTTTTCGTGTTTCTGAGGTTAATTTCTAAACTATGTGCATACCATTTGCAGTTTTCATCAACTGTCTCATTACTATCACAAACTTCAATGTAAAAAAAATGCTATGGGATACAGCAGTATCAAACTTGTCTCTTAAATCAAATGAAATATGGTTTTCCAAATCCTCCCCACTAAATACTTTGCAGAACCACCTTTAGTAGTAAATATGTCTGCAGATGTTTTGGATTTTGTATCTATCAATATGTGCAAGAGGAGAGGACAACATTCCCCTTGATTTCATTCATGGGTAGAAGGGACATAAACACTCAGGATACTTTATAGTTTTGAGAAGAAAAAAAATCAATAAAGCACCTAGACATGCAGACTGTTTCCTCCATATTTCTTTCAAGACAAGACTATAGTGTGATACCATGCCAAATAATCTCTTCTCATTACTAAACATTTTAGTTGATGCTACTGGGAAAGACAGTAGCTTAGTAGTAGACCACATCAAATCACAGAGTGGGGTTAGACATGCTGAGATGTGTAATGTAGAAGTGATTGAAGTGCAAAAAGTTCCTGCAGCCTTCAGAGTAGTTCAAGAACAGAGAATAGAGAAATCAGCAGAAGTCCTGCATGGTAAAGGATTTGGGGATTATTTGGGGATGATTTTGTGCACTAGTGCAGAAACCAAGGGTTATGAAAGTATGGCTGTTGTTAGGTGTGGAAGAACTTGCCAGGCCTGCAGATAATCCCCTAACAAACTGAATTCTGAAAGAAATATCAGGAAATCCTATGAAAAAATATCCCTAATTCATGCAGAAAGCCATCCCAGAGAAGCCAAACCTATTGTAGCCACAAAGGAGATGAACGCTGTAGGCTATGGGATGTCACTCAGATAAGTCTGTTTTATAATTAAGTGTATTCCTTAAAATGGGATTGTGTCCTGTCTAACTAAATGTTAAATGTTTTATTATTATTCTAATTTTAACCTTTTAATTTTGATACCATGATAAAGAACGGATGTATTTCAGGGCCTTCTTTTTAACAAGCAGGCTAATCATTGCAGAGGGTACTGAAAATGGAAAAGATGATTTTTGTGTATTGTATCATATTGTTGAAGTGAATATAAACAGATTCTTTAAAAGACTATCATTAAATAATTATTCTTTCTGTTTACTATGAGGATGTGCAATGGCAATGTATTTGTATGTAAACATTTTTCTATCGACTCCCGCACCACCTTTTAGATTACAGTATGCTCTGAAACAAAAATCTGTGCTTTCCTGTAGCACAGATAAGTGGGCCAAAACAAATGTTTATATAATATGAGATGGTATGGTATAATATGAGATGGTATGGTATTTACATAAGATCCACATTTGTGTTT